AGAAAGAAGGAGGGGAAGGAGGAGGAGGAAGAGGAGAGGAACTTGAGGAACGTGAAATGGAGTGGCGTGAGAAGCGAAGGAATGGAACACAAGGCAAGGCAAGGCAAAGCAACAAGAGAGGAGTACCTAAGTCCTGTCAGACGCAGCTTCCCGATTGTTACTGTGACGTAGGCGTAGGGAAGGGTACGGGTACGCATACGCATACGCAAACGCAGCATAGAAAGCAAGGAACTGTACCTAGGCCTAGGTACCTTTCCCCGCAAACATGCTTGACCATGGTACCTCCCCATAGGTACTTTCGTACTGTACTATATCATCACTTTGTTTCGTGTGGCGCAATGCATGAAGTACTCGTATGCATGAGAAGAAGCTGAGGGGGCGAGGGGGCGTCGGGGAGGGGAAAGGAAAGGCAGGGAAAGGCATGTATGTACATAAACGCGGGGTCTGGTCTGTTCAGGTTTTGCTAAATCACGTGCCTTTTGTCATATCTCATAGTGCACTACTCTACTCTACTCTACTCTACCATCCATCCTGTCCGTGTGCAACATTACTCCGTCTCGCTTTGATTCCTTCTCCTTCGTCCTACCACTTTTCTGCAGTACCGAGCCGAGTAACACCATCGATCGGTTCCGGCATGTCGAACATGCAATTCTTAAGGTCAAGCCGCCATCAACCCCTCCCTTCCTTTGCCTTCCTTTAGTCAAGATATACAAGTGAAATCTAAAATTACATCTTCATCCCAGATGTGAAAATAGCATACCTTACGATACCTGGGTTAAAGTATGTGATCAATACTTCACACCCCATGTTTCATTTCCACCAGCCACTTGCCGCGCCACACAGATGATCCCGAGGCCCCAGCTGATTGCGTGCCCTCCAAGCTCTCACACATCAACACATCAACACGATAACAACAATCTTCCTTTCCACCTCTACATCCATCATGAAGCTCACATTATTATCGGCATTAGCTTTGACAGCTGCAGTGACAAATGCCCGCTTCGTAGAGCAACACGAAACCGACCAGGTCGTCCTGAACATCGAATCCGCCGATAACGACCAGTATCTGGTTGAGCTTGCTCCTGGAAAGACACAATGGGTGACTGAGGAGGGGAAGTGGGAGTTGAGACGAGTATGTACCAGCTTCTAATATCCCCGGTTTCATGCTGACCATCTCCAGAATGGTCAAAACTTCATCGACATCACCGAATACCCCAGCCTCGGCCCCATGAACCTCAAGAAAGACCCCAAGTTCCCCAAGAAGCCAGTCCTCCAAGATGAACTCTCCCCCTTGATAAAGAACCTTTCCAAATCAAACATGCAAGAGAACCTCGAAAAGTTTTCCTCCTTCCACACCCGATACTACAAGTCCGACTACGGCAGGCAGTCATCGGAATGGCTCTTGAAGCGAGTACAGGAGATTATCAAGGATGCAGGAGCAGACAAATACGGCGTGGAAGCTAAACATTTCGCTCACCCATGGGGCCAAAACAGCATCATCGCCACGATTCCCGGCAAGAAGAACTCCACCGTCGTAGTAGGAGCACATCAAGACAGCATCAACCTCTTCCTACCCTCCATCTTCTCGGCACCGGGTGCAGATGACGATGGAAGTGGAACTGTGACAATTTTTGAAGCTCTTCGCGTGCTCCTTACATCCGAAGATATCATCAAAGGAAAAGGTGAGAATACCGTTGAGTTCCATTGGTATTCCGCCGAAGAAGGAGGTCTATTAGGCAGCCAAGCTATTTTCTCGGAATACGAGAAGACGGGTCGGGATATCAAGGCGATGTTGCAGCAGGATATGACTGGATATGTGCAGGGGACGTTGGATGCAGGAAAGAAGGAGAGCGTGGGAGTCATTACTGATTTTGTCGATCCTGCTCTTACCACTTTTATCAAGACTGTTATCACTGAGGTATTCCACTCTTTTCTTATTCGGCAATAACCATCTCTAACAGCGTGTAGTACTGCGACATTCCATACACCGAGACAAAGTGTGGTTACGCTTGCTCTGATCATGCATCTGCTTCTAAGGCTGGATACCCCTCGGCATTTGTGATTGAGTCTGATTTTGCGAATTCGGATAAGAAGATTCATACTTCGGATGATAAGATTGAGTATTTGAGCTTTGATCACATGTTGCAGCATGCAAAGTTGACGCTGGGCTTGGTATATGAATTGGCTTTTGCCAAGCTATAAGTGTCAGGATATTCCTATTTGTATATTATATACAGAATACAAAAGGTGTATTTTCTTGGATATAGACCGAAGTGAGAACAAAGGATTCACTAGCTGTTGTAATGCACCGGGTATGTAAATTTGCCGTACTTTTGTTTCCAAAATTATACCCTACTAATAACATCTACAAACTATCAAAGTAGTTTAAATCTTCAAACATCACACTTTATACAGCCTTTGCTCACATGCACTTCTGAATCATTCCGACTCACTGTAGAGTCACAAGGCAGATCACTTAGTCCAGCCATCACCTGCACGGACTCTTCCCCTAATTTCTGATTCGCCAATCTCCACGTACTATACAGACGATTACGCATCGACCTCCTCGGGATCTAGCCGGCCGGCTTATCGCGAACACGTCCACCTAACTACCTCCCTCCCTTTCCCATCTCTCTCATCTCTCCCTCTTCCATCATAAAACCATCTGTCGCATCATCTCTCTCCGTCAAATATTTCTTCAGTGAAGCCAGAATCCCAAAAATTCCCCTCTACCGCAATAATGGCCATCTACTCCGCAGTCCCACCTCTCGAGCAACAAGGACAAGCTCCCCCCGTCGCACAGAGCACAAGTCCAAGTGTAGGCAAAACAGTCACATTGACAATCCCCCTTGACAAGCATGATGAAGTCAAAGAAGCGCGGCCGCGCAAAGAGCCCTTGCGCCGCGATAGTCTGAAGGGTCGCGAGGCTCTGCTTAGGGGCAAGGAAGGCAGTAGACGGAGACAGCGATGGGAGAATGGTAAGTAGTTTAATCCCCACATGCCTCATTCATCCCCTTCAACCCCTCCCTCTCTTTCTTATCCATAACAATTCAATGAATATTTACATGTATATGTGTCCTGCGACAGATCGTCTCTTACACGTCCCAAACGCGCAACCTCCACTCCCCAGTGACTGGGAAGTAAGACCTACATGGACCGTCCACCACGTTCCCTACTACCTTGCACCCCTCTGGGACCTCCGCGCCGAAGAACGCTCGCGCTCTGCCAAAAATTCCAGCCCCACCTCTTCCACCCCTTCGGAATTCGGCCGCGTGCCGCAGGAACTCAAAGCCAAGCTTAAGAAATCCAAAGGCGCCAGAACGCTGCTCCAAGAGTTGGAGCTGGAGGTTCGGAAGTTCGTCAGGGAGTATGAGTGCGGTATGAAAGGCGAACGGTGGGAGGAGCAGACGGGAGATACGGAGACGGAAACGGAGACGGAGGGCGATTCGGAGGATGAGGAGATTGTCTTTGTAGGCCGTAATGGGCGTATGAGCGACGAGGCGCGCGCGCGCGTGGAGCGGGTGTTGGAGAGGGAGAAGAAGGTGTGGGAGGGTGATGTTAATGATCGCGGTGCTGGCTTCGGGTACGTTTCTGTTTGTTTCATATACATCTTTCAAGAGCAACCCCTTTATTTCCACTTTACTTTACAAAACTTAACTAACCTAACACGCCCTCAGTCGCTGGCTCGTTCATTCCATCGCCGAATACTACGGCCTCTCGTCCCGCTCCATCACCGTCGGCAACCCAGCGCGCAGGGAAGCCTATGTAGCTATCAAGCAGATTGGCATAAAGAGTGGTCATTGTCGTAGTCGAGAACCTGCTATGGCGTATAACCATGACCTCCCGAGACCGCTTTACGGATTAGTCTAGTCGATTAGTTCCTCTAGCGTAACGGTTTTGGGCGAATGAATGAAGACAAAGGCTATCAGCGCCTACTTCTTGTGCGAAATACGAGTACTGTTTGTTTTGGTTTGCTTCTATTGGCTTGTATTTATTTGATATATTAATTGACTTGTCGTTTGGCGAGAGAGAGAGTGCATGTATTGTATATATGATTCTGAGAGTGCATGTAGAGTGGAGCGAAGTAGAGTAGACTTTATATTACACCCCCTTCGCTTTAATCAAAGTGCTTCGCCATCCATTTCTATTTATCACACATTCAGCTGCCAAAACGTACCTACCTGCGCCCACCCTAACGATCAGTATCACGTTATGTAGGTATTGAGCGCCAGCGCTAGAGGTTCGCTTACCTATAGACTTGGTCCGTGCCTTGAGGTTATTCCCAACTCCAACTCTTTATATCCTAGGTACTTAATTTTACCTTCCTTTCCCTTATTAACAAACCCTTTATATCAATCCATACTCTACCAAACCGGCATATAAACTAGCGGGACCTTCTCTCTATACGTTTTTCTATCTGATATAGCTCGTGCTATTTGTACCAGCGTGCACCATTTACGAAATTCGGACAAAGAGTTCCCTCTCTGAAGATTTCATGGATGACGACGACGAGGTGATCATGCAAATGGTGCCGCTGCTTGGGAAGCTCCCGGAACCGTGGTGGAGCTCTTGGAAAGCACGAGGGCAGTGGTACGAGGATGATGCAACGCCGCTGGTTAATTTTGAGACCGGAAGGCCGTAATGGCAGCGCAAATAAAGTTCGACCCAAGACTTAATAACAGAAGCCCAGGGCTTATAAGTACTAGCGTTAAGCATCTGATTGGTTTATAGGGGGGGCTGCTTTTCAGAGGGGGACTATATCCTAACTTATACGGTATTACAAGATCCTTTATTCCTAGAAAAAGCTTAGCAGAGTTAAGTCTTGGTAAATAGCTTACGTTGACTTGACTTGACTTGTTTTACGCGCCGACAATACCTAAATCTACGTATTCAGGGGCAGATTCAACGTCATAGGCACTTTACCTTGAAAGGAAGTCGGTAGCTGATTCATGTACGTTCAGATACAGTGTATGATAGATAGGTTTTGGAAACCAGAGCTAAACCAGCGCCACCTCCACCGTAACGGCGGTGCGGCACTGTCAATTCCTTGCTATCAAGGTGCTCAACATGCGGTGCATACTGTCAAAAGACTAGCCAAGCCAGTAGGAAAGGTCCCTTTCCTCCCCTATCAAAAGGGACGGGCCGCTGTCTATGTGTAACCCAATAGTTATGAATGACTACCGGTAAGAAGCACATCCGGCACTGCGAGTCTTGAGAAACTCCACTGTTGTGGCATTTCCTCTTGTCATAATAGGAAGATGCTAGGAATCGGTTTCATGTTGGGCGGGGTAGACATGGGTTGTGCAGGAAAATCTCATATGGGTTAATGGGGGGTGCATATGCAACTCATTTATACTTGCATGAAAGGACTGGAAAGAAGACATACACAACTGCGGAACGGGGTAATGAAAGCCGAAGTGAATTATGACATTGGTATATGATTGATCTTTTTCTGCTATTTATTAGAGGTGAGGAGGAAATCATTGGCATTGATTTTCTAAACATTGCCACAAACCAACCTTCAAATAACTCTGTTAACACTTCAATTTTACTATGGCTTTCACTTTGTCGACCACCAATGTTTTCATTGTGAGCATTGTTATGGTGAGTCAAAATAAAGTACCCTTACATGCGTCGACAGAACACATAAATTAATGTTCTGCAGCTCCTGTTCTATCGTTTCGCTACCCTTATTTATCGATTCTATTTCCACCCACTCTCCAAATTTCCCGGTCCCAAGTATCTAGCTGCGTCGGCCCTATCCCAGTTCTACTATCAAAACATCAAAGGAACCTTCTACAAGGAAATCCGAGACTTGCATGATCAGTATGGAGAGATTGTTCGCGTGGCACCCAACGAACTGTCAATCGATGGGTCAATCGGCTGGGATGACATTTATGGGCACAAGAAAGCCGGACAGGTGGAATTCGGCAAGGATTCGTTGTTCTATCGTCCGCTAGATCAGGGCAAAGGTCTCGATGGCCATGGTGCACACGATATCATAATGTCGAATCGAGAAGACCATCGACGGCAAAGGCGACTCATGGCTCATGCTTTCTCCGATGCGGCACTCTATGCGCAGGAAGATATTATCAAGTCCTATGTTGATCTTTTGATGCGAAGACTAGAAGAACACTCGGTTCAAGGAAAGAAACTCGACATGGTTAAGTGGTATAACTACACTACATTCGACATTATCAGCGATCTCGCGTTTAATGATACGTTTGGAAGCTTGGAGAGCAGCGCCATGCACCCCTGGGTTAGCATGATCTTCGATTTCATAAAAGTGAACACACAGTTACGGCTGTTCGCCCAGTATCCAATCCTGAAGCCATTCGTCGGTTTCGTCATCAACCAAAGCGACATCGATGTAATCGAGCGGAACCAAGCCCTCACTTCCGCCAAACTCGACAAAAGACTGGCGCAAGAGACGAACGGGGCGAGGAATGACTTCCTCACCTACATCCTGCAACATAACGATGAGAAAGGGATGAGCCATCCAGAGATCCTCGGCAACTGCGAGACTCTCATCGTGGCGGGCAGCGAGACCACGGCTACACTTCTGTCGGGCTTAACTTACTATCTAAGTCAGAGCCCAGAGGCCTGGAAACGGTTGAAGGATGAAGTCCGGGGAGCTTTCAAGACGGAAGAGGAAATCACCATGCGCTCTACGGCCGCTCTGCCATACCTGTTTGCTTGTCTGGAAGAAGGCTTGAGAATGTACCCGCCTGCCGTCGTAACCCCACCACGATTCTCCCCCGGCGCGACCGTGAACGGAGAATACATCCCTGAAGGCGTGAGTCCTGGTTCTTCCATACACACTAAACACATACAAACCTTAGATCCCATATCTCTAGTCGAGAACATGCAAGGCAAATCCATATCTCTTCCGAACATATTACCCAAGACTACTCAGCTGACACCCAAGAATCAGACAAAAGTATGGATCCACGCATACTCCACCACGCACCGCAGCAGCAACTTCCACCTCCCCGACACCTTCGCCCCCGAACGCTGGCTCCCGGACATGCACCCGTACTACTCGCCGCGCTTCGCGCACGACAACCGCAGTAGCATGCGGCCGTTCTCCCACGGCCCGCGCAACTGCATCGGCAAGAACCTGGCTTATTCCGAGATGCGGCTTATCCTCGCGAAGCTGGCATGGAAGTTTGAGCTCGAGCTGGCGCCGGAGAGCGAGGGCTGGGATGTGGGACAGAAGGTGTTTACAAATTTTGAGAAGCCACCGTTGGTTATGAGGTTGCATTTGGTTGCTGGGGCGGGAGAGAAATGAGAATCGGGGTTGGAGGGGAGAGGGTGAGTTGGGTGAGTGCGGATTGAGATCTTGGGGAATGAATGACAGCTGGGTAGCATTACACATTTTCCATCTAAATACAATTGCTTTTATACCATGGATTTTATCCCATTGCAGATTGTTTTATCAATTTGAAGCACTCTTTGTTTTAGGTCATTACGGGAAGTAAGCTGCTGTGATCGATTTGAAGACTCTGGCGTAGCCGGATAGAAGAGATATGCTTTAATCATCCTGGACTCAAGACATGCAGCATCAAAGGATATTGAGGTACTTTAACATTAGTTCTTCTAATCTCAACTAATGAAATGCAGATTTCCTTCTAGGCATATTTCATAAAGAAGTAAAGGCACATTAGTAGTAGCATGTACGTTATAGCACCGTAGACTAAGCTCCTACTTCTCTTCACCGATCCTCTTCTTCATCTCTATATTATCCCTTGCAGTAAATAGCCTATTAATTGTTTACCCTAATATAGATTCTTGGAATCGCAAAATAAGAATGATGTCAAAGTAAGAATTCATGGTTCGGGGCTCTAAAAGGAACCTTAAATCTAAGCTTCTTGCGTAGCGCAGGATCTACAAGTTTTGAGTAATGATAATAGGATTGATGCTAACGACGTAAAAAGCAGTCGAGTACTAAGAGGCTCTTGGAAAGCCGAATGGTTTTGTGATCTCGCTATGGAGAAATTTGACACAACGTTCTCCCGTAGCTCTCGGCATCAGCGCAGCAAAGGGCATCCTGCTTTTGTAATCGATAATAACAAATACGAACTGGTTTCCTCTTGCGGTGATTGGAGTGATCGGTCCAATGAAGTCGAAACCAATAAGGTCCAAGGGCTGTAACTCTAATATTGGTAGCACGAATCGCGCTTTGAGGGACCAATGTGGAAAGCTATGCGTTCAGTGTGTGTGTGATGCGGCTTGAATTGAGGTGAAACTAAAGAAGGAAGAGAGAGAGAGAGAAGGTGACTTCAGAGGAGACCCCATCTAACCTCCCCCGCAACTGACTAATCATTGTGATGCCTTAAGCTCTACAACTACTCGCCTTTGTTTTAAGTCTGACAACTCACCTGAATTATACTTATAGATATATACTCTGCGCCACTTAGAGAGCTGAGATCTAATAATTATAGGCTTCTAAGAGGTCTAAACTTACTTTGAGATTAGTATAATCTATGGTTTTAAGGATATATACTAGGATAAAAGAGCTGGTTAGATGTATACGATCGGTACGAGGTACGAGGTACGAGAGGTACAAACAAGTACCATGCGCGGCTAAGAAACTTAAAATAGATAAATATGGGTATTCTTCCTCCCTAAGATCCTTTATGTCAAGCTTGTTTCTTAATATTGCGGGGCAATTGTTACTCTGAACAACTCAATCTCCTTTACCTAGAATAATTAAATTCATAACCTTTCTCCATAAAATATAGAATCATATGGAACCTGAATAGCTAGAAGCCTTATAGGTCCTATAAAGCTGACATTCTATTTATCGCGAAAGTACTTATAAGCTCCTCGGCGTACTCCGTAGTAATATTTTTTCAAGCTCGTATAGTGGGGCGAAAGATTATCAATGATTATCCAGGGGTACCATTAGATTGCGGCGCTGCGAGGCGCAGAGCTCAAGGATGCTGTATTAAGTTCCCTTCTACCACGAGCTGATTGCAATTTTTGTAATATTTGAGTCAAAAAACAGAAATAAGCCCTAAAGATCCTCATAACTTGATAGCACGATATATTTCATCTCCACTACTTCAATCCTCTTCAATCCTTCTTATTTTAAGGTACTTTATCTTTAGAGACATTTCTATGTATATAAAGGATAGCTTCTCGACTAACATATGCTATTAATCACTCATCAACCTTCTTCTTTCGAACTCTCGAATTATCTCCAAGCACCATCATTAAAATGCATGCCTTTTTTACGATCATTGCTGCTGGGTGCCTCGCTTCACAGGCGTTGGCTGCTCCAGCAAACGAAGCAGCTCGCATTGTCCTGCGAGCTACCGGAACTAGTCCACCAGCGCTCCAAATTTCACATTCCCCATTTCTGTTACACCCACAAGCAGATTCCACAGTTAGTGGTTGGACAGACAGTGGAACTTGGTAAATACTAGCTCCTGCTTATAAGACGCCCAGCGCAATGCTAATACATATCCCAGTGAAACCGAACTTGATAATGGAGCGGTCCCAGCCGCCGCAACAGGAACAAACTGTTATAACTTCGATGCGAGAGCTACGAATGTCAAAATCATCTGGCCTAAAGATGATACTTTAGTTTGGGTTACTACTTTCGGGGGAATGGATTGTGCGTCTGAGAGAAACATCACTGTTAGCAGGAGAGATAATTCGCCCGTCGGTAATTATCAATGCTTGAACGTTCCACAAAAAACAGCTACTGTGTCGCCGTTTGTGTGGGGGCCTTATGGGAGTATTCTGCTTGGAAGTGGGGCGCAGCCCAAGACCATTCTTTGACCAATCGGCCATAACAGGTCTATGATATGGTCGAATGTAGCGCTTGAGATTTGGATGTGGATATACATATACTTGTATTTAGTATCATCAGACCCCGAGCTCATAAAATTCGGATGGGGAAGTGGTAGAGTGTCTATGTAAGGGAATATCTTGTATCCATTAGGGCGAGAAGGAGTTATTGTATATAAAGGCGTTTGATATCTATCCTTGATATTAGATGACTAGGTTATAAATGCTGCTTATAGTTTACTAGTGATAATTCTCTACTCTCTCTTCCCTACTCTTCATAGTCGCATACTCCGCCCGGCTTGTATTAACCCAAGGTGATGAATAAGATTTTAAATAGAAAAACATTATACCGTTTAACCATCTGAGAAACATATGATTCATAGAGTTTGATTATAGAAATATCTGATTTGCGATATAATAACTCTCAGACTATAGATTGCTTGCTAACGTAACCTTACTAAAAGGGGCTCGGTTAGCTAGTACGGATCCAAATTACAGCTCTGTAACTTGTAACCCGCTTGACCTATCCTCTGCTTAACGCAGGACGCGAATCTTGAGTCTTGCCTTGTGAAAGTGATTCAACAAGATCCAGGAGAGTGACTAAGCGCTCCTAGCCGGGATATGAGATGCTTGAGTCGGTAAAAAATAGAACCGAGCAGAACGAGGCAAAAAGGTATAAATCAAGCTTGAATTTAGTATCGAGAAATACCGAATTACGGGTATATATGTCAAAGTGTAAAAATCTTTACCCTACCTAGGTTGGGGGGGTATCACGCGGTCTATACCTAAGGACGGACATGTTTTAAAGAAAAGGCTCCAAGAACTCCATATACCTCCCTCCGTCATGCATGGGCAGTCTTGAAAGATGGGGGTGCATATGATAATGCTATCAACACCTTATATACCTTGTATACCCCGCCCCCTCATTTCATCTCATCTCATCTCATGCAAGAAGCAGCAAGCAAGCATGTTACTCCATACTATTCTATGCCGAGTTTATGATCTGCATGCAATCATCCCATATAGGAAGAAGGCATCGTGGCGTGATTCTAGAGAAGGGAAGGGATGGATGGTTACCCCACCTGCGGACACTCTCACTCTCCAGTCTGGATCACGCAAGCGAGGTCACGAGTCAGGACCCCACCCCCACCTTTACAGTACAGTAGCCCAAGCAAGGCCCGTGCTCGCAGGTCAAAAAATAGACATCGACATCCCGCAAAAAGCATCTTCTCGTTACAGTATCCGCTCTCCGCTCCGTACACGTACATGAGATTGGAGATTGAGGTCCGACCGAAATAGATATTACAATCACTCCCCCCTCCTCTCCTCGTAAACATGCCGTTCGACTTCGACGCCGTCATCCACAAACAATACGACATTGTGCCACTGGATCGCGACTTCATCCCCTCCAAGCAAGTAGCCAAGCCGCATATCCTGTGGGTGGGATGCTCGGATAGCTTGACGCTGGAGACGTTCACGCTCGATGTATTGCAGGATGAGATATTCGTGCACAGGAACCTGGGCAATATTCTGAGTAATGGCGATCTGAGCAGTGAAAGCGCCGTGGCGTGGGCTGTGGACTTGCTCAAGGTATGTTGAGCCCGCCCTTGATATATCAATGGGCTGGCTGCAAAGGCTGATGGAGAGTAAAGGTTGAGCATATTGTTGTCTGTGGGCATTATGGCTGTGGGTTGACCAAGTCGAATGATCCCAAGGCCTTGTATGGCTGGTCCAAGTAAGTGCATGCATGCATGCTTTCTCTCCAACGTCAGCGAGCACATACAACGAAACGTGCTAATTGCGAACAGAGATATCGCTCGGCTGCATAAAATGAACGAAGAGTTCCTGGGCGAGGTGAAAGACAAGTCTGATGAGAGGAGTCACGAGCATCGGTTGGAGGAAATATACACATTGGCAGAAGCTGGCTGGCTGAGGAGACAACCGAATGTGAAGGAGGCGATTCGAGAGCGGGGGCTACAGATCCATGCGTTTGTGTACGATAGGGAAACGAATTCGGCTGTACGACTGGTCGAGATAGATGAGAAGCGGGAGACATAACTATAATTCAGAAGTTACTACATCGTCACGTTCACGTTTTGAAGTTGAAATTTGCATTGAGTTGACTTGAGTTTATACGAGTCGTAGGCCTTGTCAAGCATATGAAGGAGTAGAAAACCAATGCTGATCTCCATTCCATGTTAAGCAATACGAGCCAATTGTAGATGTAGAGATATACAAGGTTATTGCGTTGTATTCTACACTGAGTACGGTTTGAGGCTGAGAGTTTCCCCGCACGCGTTGGACGCGCCTATTACATACACGTACAATTAAATTTATATGTATAACCTCACTCTCCATATTCCAACACCATCAACTACCTCACGAATCCACCTTCACGACTGCAGACTATGCCTGAAGCATCAAGCGATAATGCGACAAACCCTTGGTTTTTATATTTCTTTATCTTCTAGTGACGCTCCGCTGGCCCTCCGGGAGCCACTGCCGTGGAGGCCGAGAAGATTCCCTCTTTTACATTTCGAAATTGATATAGATTGTGCCCTTCCCGTCCTCCACGGCAGTGGCCCCCGGAGGGCAGCGGAGCGTCATGATAGAAGGGAGGAGGGTATTCTTGTCTTCTATAAGTGATAACTCGAATACAGACTGTCGTCAAATATGAGCATCAATGCATCTGTCACGCTACTGGACTACCTGCCAAACAGGGCCATCAAAGGCTACAATCTCTAACCTCATGCCATGGCAATCCACCACCTTCAACGACCGCCTTGAGCTTCACTCTTCCGCGGTATTCACAATAAACATACCTGGATACACGACTTCAAAATGCTCTACGGTCTCTTATCTACCAGCGGCGTATCTTTTACGCCTGCAAAAGATATCCCAGACCTATCCGGAAAAGTGATATTCATCACCGGCGGTACTTCCCCCCAAATACCTCTCATCTTGCCCCTCCTCCTCCACCACCACAGCTAGCTTAGTACTAACATACCCAGGCAACGCCGGCCTCGGAAAAGAAAGCGCCCTCCAACTCTCCGCCCACAACCCCTCACACATCTACCTATCCTGCCGCGACGGCTCCAAAGCCAAAGCAGCGATCCAGGACATTCAATCCAGCGTGCCCTCCGCCCGCCTCACATTCATCCAATGCGACCTCACGTCCCTGGCCTCGGTGCTAGCCGCAGCGCAGGAATTCACACGTGTGGAATCCCGCCTCGATATCCTAATGCTGAACGCGGGGATAATGGCCGTCCCGCCGTCAACGACCGAGGACGGCTACGAGATCCAATTTGGCACGAACCACGTCGGGCACGCGCTGCTGACGAAACTGCTCATGCTTACGCTGTTGCGCACCGCGGAAGCGGGGGCGGATGTAAGGGTCGTGGCGCTGTCTAGTATAGCACATGTAACGGCGAGCGGGATACAGTTTAGTGGACTGAAGAGCGCGGCTGGGGGGGTCTTCACGAATATGACGCGGTATGGGCAGAGCAAGCTGGCGAATATACTGTTTGTGCGGGAGCTGCAGCGGCGGTATGGGGCGCGGGGGGTGACGGCGGTGGCGGTGCATCCGGGGATTGTGAGGACGGAGTTGTATGGGAGTGTGTTTGGGGGATTGTTGACGGGGGCGGTGGGGAGGATGGTCAAGGCGTGGTATACGAGTGTGGGGGATGGGGCGAGGGGACAGCTGTGGGCGGCCACGGGGAAGAAGGGGGAGGTGGTGGGTGGGGGGTATTATACGCCGGTTGGGGTTGTGGAGCAGTGTACGGGTGTGAGTAGGGATACGAAACTTGCTGCTGAACTGTGGGAGTGGACGGAGAAGGAGCTGGAGGCTTATAATATCTGAGTCTACTTCACGTCATGTCCATCTGCTTGCTTCCCTTCTAGCATAACATTGTAATATATCTTGGAGCTTCAATTTGTTGTATATACTTCTATTGAATATTTCTGTCACTATCTAACCACTAATGTTCCCCAAATGATCCCACCCACCCTCAACTTTCTAGTGCCCTCTATTATCATCATCTTCATCTCAATCATCTTCATCCTCTTCATCCGCAATTCAGACCCATAAAAGCAGACAAGAGACTGAATACAGTATCCAAATTATATCTCCATAATCTCCGACCCAAGATCTCAGAGCAATTACCTGAATGAAAACGGCCATATCATCTAGGGGGAGTATTCCTCCTTTATACCCGTCCCAGCCCGTTTTCAGGAACGTATCGTTTATCAACTACCTATTATTGCCTTGCTACCATCCAGTATATCTAAATTTAGTTGCATCGCAGCAGTCTGTAGTGGCAATCACTAGTTGGCGTCGCTGTTGTGGCCATGACGACCCGTGCGTGTGCTTGAGGCAACATTATAGAGATGCACGTATGCATGCGGAAGCTTGACTTATAGCGGTGAGATGAGATAGATGGTATTTCAGGCATATACTCGTAAGGGGGTATGGGAAAAAGGGAAGTATGAGTTTCTTGATAGTTAGTACTATAGCAGGTGTTTGAGGAAACGAGAATTGATTGTTTGTTTTAGCTGCGTAGTTGCGTGAGATAGAACGTGGATGTGTTTAAGATGTAAGGCAAGGTATGATTGATGGGTATACCCGGATATATATCCAGTTTCTGTATAATTTTGATTGCAAAACTGAATGTTAGATATAGAGATATAAGAGATTATTATATTATAAACCACATTGCTAGAATATGGAGAAACTGAATTTGTTGATTGAAGTGGTCGAGATTGTGAGGGCCAGACTAGGGTCCATCGCATCTTTGTTTCCGAGGTGCTAAATTGAGATGTAATAATAAGTTCGTAATGACTAACAGAGGCTTTATATTACACTTGTGATCCTCATGGCACTTGCGAGCGGAAAGTCCCAGGGAAAAAATCTCTGTTGATATCCATTTTACAATCTAATGATCATCCCTCTCAAGCCACTGCTTACTCGCATCATACAGCGTCCCAAAAGCAGGTTCAATGCTCACAACTCTCTCATACAACTTCACATCAATAGTCTTGAAGAACTGCAACCATCCCAAAATCACAAAATCCGCATACGAAGCTATCATTATTCACCGATCAGTAACTTTCCCTTCCATCCCACATATCAAATCAGGAGAAAGAAAGAAAGAAAGAAAGAAAGAATGAAAGAAAACATACGAGTCTTCCCCATCATAAACGGCCCTCCCTCGGCCTTCAACAAAGCTCCTAACTCCTTCAACTCGGGAATAGCAGCCATCCAAGCCTCCTCGCCACCGGATTCTTGCGCAATCTGAGCCAGAGGCTTGCCGAGCCTCTCGTAACGGGTGCGCTCGAAATACTCTTTCGAACTGGGGTTCAACAGATTCGCAGGCACGGCCGGCTGCCAGAGACCTCCTAGTGGAGGCAGGATTTTCGGAAGGAGGGCTTGAACTTTTGGGAGGAGCGGGGAGTCGAGGTGTAGGGATGGAGTGGGGTGATCTTTTTCGAGACGCTGGGCGATGGCTTGGGATTCCATCATGTAGGTGGAGTCGGGGGAATTGGACAGCGGGAATTGTGTAGGCGGCCCAGGATGGAGAGTCAGTTTTGGGGTTTGGGGGAACACTGGATGGATGGAGGGTCAGAGGGGTGATTGGGGTGTAGAGGTGGGAGGAACGGACTGGGGACTGAGACGGGATGCGATGTCTGGGTATTCGATCCATTCTGTTTTGTAGTCGATGTTTTTGAAATTCAAGGCCAGACGAGCTGGATGTGTTAGATTTGAAGGGAATGGTAAGAGACCACTTACTTTTCCATGGGTTGAGGGACCAGCAGCGACAATGGCCTTTGCTTGGGAGGTCGTATAGAGTGAGTTTTGACATTTTGAGATTCCAAATGGGGTAAGAAAGAGGTCTGTTGTTGTGGGACTAGAATGGATTTTGAGGAAGGAGAGATTCAAGATTGACTCGGAGTAGAGAAGCAGCGGTGAAGTTGAAGTTAGGGTATCAAATATGAATATGTAAGTATCTTATGATCCGGGTTATATATTCGAGGTAAAACCAATGGGTTCCACAATTGTTACCCCTCATCGCCATATCACGTGAAGCATACCCCTCATTCGAAGCGCGAAGTTCTGTATTGAGGATTTAAAAATTTATCAGTAGGAGTAAGTTTACAGGCCCATAAATTAAGAGCGATAACTTCCTATTATTGAACAAACGCTTCAGTAAGGGCTGGTAATTTAGAGAGGGACTGGAAGGGTTAGAGTCCACGTGACAACTGAGTACCAGATGAGGTGAGGCTAGCTCATCATCCCCTCCAAAGGTCCGTGCGATATCACGTCCACCAACTTCTACAAAGTACCGGGTCCTCCAACACCACAACACTACAACACTACAACACCATAAACAAGCACAACAACTGACTCCAGTAATACCCAGAACACACAAACAATGGGCTCCGTCGTCCTCCCCCATCTTGTCACCGGCTGGCATGTCGACCAAGCCATCATGTCTGAAGAAGAGCGTCTGGTCATAATCCGCTTTGGTCGCGACTGGGACCCCGACTGCATGCGACAAGACGAAGTCCTCTATCGTATCGCCGACCGTGTCAAGAACTTTGCCGTCATCTACGTCTGCGACTTGGACCAAGTCCCCGACTTTAAGCAAATGTACGAACTCTACGACCCCGTCACCCTTATGTTCTTCTTCCGCAACAAACACATGATGTGCGATTTCGGCACGGGCAATAATAATAAGTTGAACTGGGTGCTGGACGATAAGCAGGAGTTGATTGATATTATTGAGACGATCTATCGTGGGGCGAAGAAGGGTCGTGGTTTGGTTGTTAGTCCGAAAGGTGAGTCAAGGCTGCTTGGATCACACGATCATGCTAAAGGTTACGCAGATTATTCAACCAGGTATCGTTACTAGATGTCACGAGAAGGATAATCGATACATTGGCTACACACATTCCCTGGAAGGGCGCACGAAATTGGCTTGGGAAGGAAAGGCGTTATGGCTGTTTGAGCGGGTTTTTATTACTTGATTGATCACTTCCAAATATCCGCGGCCCTTGGTACACTATCACCTCCAAGTCAAGCAAGCAAAGTAAACATACTCTCTTTATTCGCAGGGTCAAATGGGGTTTGTATTCAAGAAGCAGAAGTAATCGCACGCGCCGAATTCAACGTCCCAAGCATCCAACCCCTGAAATTTATTGCACATCTCCCACTCCCGCCAAAACAACTCACAAACCCCAGAAACTCCAGTGAATCGCTACCATGCAAGACGCAACGCAACACCCTCGCAACACAGTCTCAGGTCTGCTCCAATCTACCTATCTATCGAATGATGATGCACTTGCTGCAACGGACGTGGGCGCATTTGATGCATTCAGACTCGGTCATGGGACTCTTGGTGCCGCACTGCTTGGACGTTTAGCTCTTGATTAATTACGAAAGACGTGGAACAAGGGATACGGACAGCCTTCTTCTCGCTGTTGAGTGCGGTGCACTGCCACTTTGCGTTGGCATCGGCGATGGGCTCGAAGCCAGTAGCGGTCCAGGATGCACCGCCGTTCTTGGTAGGAGGCATGTCGGAGTAGGTGGTATGGGAATACTTTGGATGGTTTGGTATGGGTTGTAGTGGTAGGCTAGTGTTGACGGAGGAAAGGAGTTGCAAATTATCAGAGTGAAGTGGCTGTGGTATCAAGTATGTGACTGGGGTTTTTCCTTGTTGAGGGTTGACAGGTCTTGAGGTCAAGAATGTCTTGTGCGTTTATATTCATTCGGCTGTCTGTCCTGCCTGTTCTTTCCTAAATTGAATTATTTGCTGCCACTACCGCCTATGATTGTATTCCTTGCCTCCATTGAATAAGCCCAGAGGCCCAATGCAAATCAAATGGTAGTCTGCAAATGCCGTGCCTATTTTCTGTGGTTGGGGGGACTAAGAGATGCCGAGTATGAAGTGTCACTGAGAATACGAGAAGATTTATGATGATGTTCCATACGCCAAAACTAATATGCTACATTACGCCTCCCACATTCTCACATTCCTATTCATGCTCTCCATGGATAGTTCCTAGAGTCGAAACACTTGGGACACCTTTCGTGGGCGCATCTCTTACACGGAGAATCGGGAAGAATTTGTCTGTTCAAACACTACGTATTGTATATTAGCTTGGGGAGGAGGAAATGATGTTCAGACTAACAGGTGATAAGAAGGTAGCATTAGGAGGTGTTTTGCAGCAGAGCCAGTATGGTCTATCGTCAGGATCGTCGACGGTGTTGGAAGCTGGCTCTACCGTGTTTTTTTTTTTTTGCGTGGGAGACGGTGTGCCGTTGGCTGGCTTGGAAATTGCGCTGCCCATTCTAAGCGTTGTGTCGGAAAGTCTTTCTGGAGTTGAGAAGAATGTTCTCGTCTTGAAATGAAGCTTGGGTTTATGTTGTTGAAAGGAGATACGTCAAGTCTCGAAGTGAAGTATGTCCATTATATAACATGCGTGCGGATGTATAGTTATTGTAAGGAATGTCCCAGTCCCAGTTCCTAGCAATCATTCGCCTTTGTCACACACATACTAAGTCACATACGATCTCCTGACTGGCCCTTTTCGATATCCGTGAAGAAGCCCCCGTCGTCACCTTGCCTTTGCGCCCGCACATGGCACTGTTTGCACCTTTTATGCCCACAGCTTCCACATGTGGCCTTGAGCAGATAGTTTCTAGTCAGACACTATGAACACAGTTACCGAACCCGGAGAGAAGAGAGCGAGAAATAGGAGGGTACCGGGTGAAGTTCATGACCAGAATTTGGATTTGTACTGTGGTTGTCGGGATAAGAGCAGCAATACCAGTAGACGAAGCGAGTGTTTGGGGGCGTCGTAAGAACGGGAAAATGTTGCCCAGGAATGTGCCTTGTCGGCTCGTGGGATTTGGGGATGAATAGGGCATTTTGCACAACTTGAAGTTTGATTGAAGTACTCATATAATTACACTTATGGGTGAACAGTTAGAGATGAGGAGGCCGCATGCAGTTGCCTCGTTCTGTAGCTTCTACTTATACATTGAACTGGATCCCTATATTCAAGTGGAAAACAAAACCAACTTCTTCAAAATCCGCCACTAACACATCCTAATTCATCAATCATTTCGGCCTATCGCTTTCACTTTCGGTGAAGACAAATTTCTAGAGGTAAAAGGGGGATCACACATGCAGCGGAGCAGGGCTTGGGTGAGCGCTATACCAAAAAGGGCTCACCCATGGGTGAGCCCTTTTTGGTATAGCGCAAACTCGTGCCGTTCCGTTTGTTCAAGTCCCACGCCTTCTTTCGCTGTTTACCCTAATACACTATTTTCTCGACTTTAAGATAATATTGCAAAGGCCAATTAACGGCTTCTTTGGAACTGGTTCTGAGTATATTGTTTACTTGGAGTCGAAAGTATAGAGCTTGATTGCATATCCTTAACCTCTATCTCCTCCGCCTTCGTTCAATGGAGATTACGCTCTTGAAATTTATAATATGACCTGAGTTTAAGTACGCAAGGTTCCCTAAAGCCTCCCCAGCCTGCAAGGAGGCGACGAATGTACGATAATTGGGAGCGCCAAATGAATGTAAGAATTAGCGATATAGTAGTCTGGATAAATACAAGATTGCGAGCATTCAGCAACTTGATGCGTGTGAATGTTCTATAATGTGTATTCCGTACAATCTCGATTACCCACCTAGAATTCCCTAGCATGAGTTTTGTACTGTGTGAATGGGCAGGATATGGAGAAGGGTTTATCACTAGTGGGCCTACCTTTTAGAAGAAAGAGTAGGCATCTGAATGGAGAGGAATTGTGGATAAATGGCCATACAACTTGCAAGAAGGGAAACTACATCAAACGCTACTAAACGCAAAAGGCAAAGAACGGTATTTGAAGATTGAATTTGACCTATTCTTTACCCCCACCCACCCAATCTGAACGGTCCAGCCAGTCCATGAATATCTTCCATTTACTTTCCTTGCCAAAGAGCATATTCAAGCCTAACCCCAATCCCAATAATCCCCCTTCTTCCCCTAGTGATGACTAACTCTCCCTTCCTTGGACTCCCAGACTGTCGAATCCAGACCACACAGCTCGTACATTTCGTGTGACTGCATGATGAGCACGTGGTGCATTGCAGATCATTCTGGTTGCCACACTTCAGGTAAGCTACTCGATTCGTCTTGGGTGATTGAAAGGGTAAGTTACAGAGCCTTTGTGGTCTCTGGGCCCCTTCTGCTGGGTACGAACTAGGCAGCATGTCCAAAAGTTTTTCGGGGATGGGCATCTTTAGAGTTTGGGATACACCTTGTAGCATTTCTTCGAAACTGGTGTCTGGTGCTGTGTACTTTTCCGTTTCCATCGCAAAGATTTGATGTCCGAAAGGATTGGGATATTGGGTAGAGATAGGTCTACAAGGAGTCAATTAAGGGCAACTTTTAAAATGACACACGTTCGGACTTTTGATTGGGGCGTCTCGACGCGGGGTTTACATTTGACACCAAAATTAGTTCCTTGTGACTGTTCTTCGACTCTGGATGTTTCGGATAGCTCTTATCATATTACATCGTACGATTGACTCTGCAGGGGAAACTGACTATCGTCAATCCAGTTCTCCCAATATTTCAGACCCTCGATACTCTCTTCCCGACAGAGTGCGCCTCTCTCTTCTGCCATCTCCAATTCTTCTTCTGCCACGCCTATGCTCCATCCGAAATTCTCAGCTGCATCTTGGGCTGTGACACCCCGGCCAAACAATTGCCAATCCCATAAAAGCTCTCTATCTGGAGGGAGTGAGTGCAAATCGCTGAGCCAAACAAGTAATGTTTTGATGGTCTTGTCATCTGTACGATCGCTGGCTTGGACCACTAGAACGCCACTCTTGAATTCTCGCAGTCGTACTGGAAGCTTCAGCTTCTCCCAAAGCCTGGCGGCCTTTTCAAAGTCAAAGGGACTAACGAGCTCCACGCCACCTTGGGCACGATTGAACTTCGCCCAAAGGTCGACCAGAGTGATGATCCCTCCAGATTTTCGCAGAACACCCCTAGCATCGTCTGTCAAGAACTCTGCCAGATTTCTCGAAAGCTCAGAGATATATAATGACTCAGAATTGCTGCCACCGCCTAACATTTCTTTTGTAGTGACCAGTCCTAATGCATTTGCGACTGCACTAGTTTCTGACGTGCCACTCCCATTGGAAGTGGCAAAAGATTCGGCGAGAGCTACAATCTCTTTAGCAGACGCCATCAGTGTCTCAAGGTCCTCAAAAGCATTTCCTATAGCTAGCTCGTTGTTCTTCCGTACCTCAAGACGTCGCTGTTCAAGACCAGCAATGCCCGCTGTCTTGACTCTTTCTCCCAACGGTGTTGATGTCCCAGATGATCCCGTATCTGAACCTGCCGGCCGGTTTGGCTTTGGAACTGGAGGAGCCCCTTGAAGAAGCCATTTCCGTTGTGTCATGCAACCTTTCAAGCGCTCATGAAATAGTTTCTCGCCACCTCCCCGGAACGACAATTTAATGCTTTCGTTTTCTTCCGTACCAGGCGCGGGTAATTGATTTAATGTTGGGCCAGGAGATTCTGGTCTCAGCAAGGGATTCTCTAAATCAGTTGATGCATCGTCGGGGAATAATCGAGCCCCACAGATCTCACACTCTCTTAGTGAAGGATGGTTTAGAAATGTACATCTAGGGCATTGAGTCGAAGTGCTCTTGCTTGCCTCTTGACCTTGTTGGTTAAACCTTTGGCCTTGGATTGAAGACGGTTCGTTTCCTACATCTGACTGCAGCCGAGACGCATCAGTGCGTCCGCGGACGGGTAGGGGCGTTCTGAGTGCTACAGAAGATGATGGGGAAGGTCGGTTAGCTGCATTTGATATTGCTGCTTTCAGAACATGACCGAACTGGGGCTTTATTCCGCAGTTGAGGCATGGGGCCAGGGGAGTTATGAGCTCGCTAGCCGTTGTGGGGTCAAAGTTCGAAGGAACAGGATTTGAAAAAGAGCATATTGTACAGATCCAAGTTGCAGTACTTGCCGGCGTTGGCTCGGGTGTGGGTAAATGAAAGGGACTATCTGTTCGAGACAAGGGCGAGGCCGTAGCGCTCCTAGACGGACTATAGAGACTAGATATAGCTCGATTTTGTACAGAGGATCGTTTGGGAGGTTTCGGGACGAGCGTGATCTTTGCAGAAGACTTCAAAAAGCCAGCCTACACCTAATTAGAGGGTGTGCGCGAATGGGTACTCATCAAAAACATACGTAGAACTCATAGCGGTCAACCTCCTTCAAATCTATTGCCGTCGAGTTCTTTCGGGGATCTTGGTTGTCGACGTAGCAGATTCGATGGGAAGTAAGGTAAACATGGCCATTTTGATAGTCTGGAATCTTGTTTTTGCTGGGCATAACCTCATCAGCTCTTGCTTTCAAGCTGGTGTCTTCAAAGATACTTTACCCCTCATAGAGCCCCACATTGTCCTGGACATACAAAAGGACCTCATCTGGTAGGTATGCCGGCCTCAGCGCAGTTGTGAGGTCGACTTGTTTTAGAAACATCCGGTCCAGCCATGTGCCGTCTTGACGTTGGATGGCGCAGGAAGGAGGAGCTTCAGGGATACATGGAATTACAAAAAAGATAAGGACAAGGACAAGAAGCAGAACACAAGTCACTATCGCGTTGCAGCTATCAGATCTTATCGTTGATCACTTGGTGACCACAATTACGCCCGTTAATAACGCATTTCTCAGCATGGATTACGTCAGCGTCTTATTCACCGCACATCAGTACCAGCCGCCCAAGTCCAGAACCGCATTTCAGGCATTTCTTCATTTTACACTTCATCCCCTTTTCTCCATCCACCCGCCCTCCTATTGCCGTCAAACCAAGAACTCTCATCTGCGATCATTTAATCGCTTCACTAACACTTCCTGGATTTACAAGCAAGACTATACGAAACTATTTGGATGTTCACTACGATGAACACGTCGTGGGCAGTTCCGCCGCCTCCAGGAACGCAAGGGCAGCCATATGGGTATCAAAGTAAGTCGCAGAGCCACATCGCCTTCAAACTACACAAGACTTCCAGAGCAGTACCTGATATGTCTACAGACCCGCCAGCATATCACCCTGTCCAAGTACGGCAGTCCTTTAGCCAGCCGGCCCTTCACTATCCCCCAATGGTACAGCAACCCCCTCAAGCTACGGACCAAGCCGCCGAAGCAGGTGAAAAGAAGAAAATAGACTGGCCAGTTCCTGTTCGCAACTATGTGCAGAGATCCTTTGAGCCCGGGCGTATGGATCCGGATGTGCCAAGAGCCGAGATGGAGGCCAAATTAAAAGAAACCATTTCCACTGCCACCGAGAAGAATGTTCTTTACACCCTTGACTGGGACAAATTACCCCTTCCTCAAGAAATGATTCGCCATGATCGGAGGAAGGCCGCTGGAGTCGCTCAAGAAGCGTGGCGGCAGCAATCTGCGGCTGGGAAGAGTTTTGTCGATACTTCGACATCTAAAAAGAGAAAATCGCAAGAGCTTGTTGGAGATAATGAGGACTCCCTTCCACCATGGCGTGCAACTAACCCTCGCAATGGATTCGAAGATCGTGTCACATATCCTGCGGAACGCTTCGACAAGCGACAACAACCCATCCAAGACGAGAATCTCAAAGGTACAAGTAAGTTTCACAAAAACCTCGAGAAACGACAGCGCCGCTTTGATGGCGGATACAAATCCTCGTACAAATCTCCATCGCCTGAGCCCGTGTCAGGCCCTGTCATCGGAACGTGTCAAATCCTTGAAAAGCAATACTTTCGCCTCACCTCCGCCCCCATCCCATCCCAAGTCCGCCCCGAAAGCATACTGAGACAAACCCTTGATCTTTTAAAGAAGAAGTGGAAGAAGGAAGGCAACTACTCTTACATTTGCGATCAGTTCAAATCTATGCGCCAAGACCTTACAGTCCAACGCATCAAAAATGCTTTCACTGTCACTGTTTACGAGATCCACGCTCGGATCGCTCTAGAGAAAGGCGATCTTGGTGAGTATAATCAATGCCAAACCCAGCTACGAGCCCTCTATACACAAAACCTGGGAGGGAACCCAGTGGAATTCAAGGCGTATCGTATCTTGTATTTCATTCATACATCTAACCGCACTGCGTTGAATGACGTTTTGGCGGATCTAACCACAGCAGAAAAGCAAGAGAAGGCGATTAAGCATGCGCTCGATGTTCGTTCAGCATTAGCCTTGGGCAACTACCACAGATTTTTCAGGCTTTACCTCGAAACCCCCAACATGGGCGCCTACCTCATGGATATGTTCGTTGTCAGAGAACGTTTAGCAGCCATGTCAAACATTTGTAGAGCGTTAGTGCTACCCCGAACCCTCAAAAGATGTTGCTGACCACTCGTAGATTCAAACCAGATGTACCATTAAGATTTGTCACCGAGGAACTTGGATTCGAATCAGACAGCGATGCCGCGCAGTTCATCTGCGACTATAATGGTCAAGCTCTACTTGAGGAGAAGGAAGGGAACATGCGATTTCTCTCCGGCAAAGCAGGCCAAATTTTCGAAGTTGCAAAGAGCGAAGCTTTCCGGAAAGTCGATATTAAGGGCCAAATCTAATCCATTTCTCGTTTGCACGTCGACTTTTATTCCAAACGTGCTATCTACGTGTAGCGTTGTGTTTTCGGATCTCTTTCGTCCCATTTTCCTCACCTTCACTTACATTACACCTTAACATTCCTCGTGGTACCTACGAATCACTGGTTTGTTCCAGCCGGTCATTGGTGACGAAGTCAACGGGTTGGATTATGGACCGATATACTTGTTACTCATTGTCAGCGGGTATCGAGGCCACTGTGATGCACTGGTACAATACAGTGGCTTGCTTTTTCTATTTTTCCTTGGCGATCACGATTGGACTTCTTGCCTATACCCATTTTCCTGCATTCCACTTTCGGCAGTGTATCGATTAGGCGTTGAAGGCTGTTCTTGAAATGGGTTGCTCGCTGCGAAGCACGATTTTAGGTTGGTTGCATGGGATGAGGTTGCATTTAAGAGGCTCGTTTGTGTCTATTTCCATTTATGTATAGATACCCTCTTAGCAGGCCGGGAACTCCTCAGAAAGTCTCCTGGCGAGGTGTCACCTATAGAAAAGGCTAATAATAAATTAACCAGCTTCAAATTTGCTCCTTGAACTTAGAAATCTGACTGCTTGCTTCACAGTTGCTGTAAACACCAGTGAAGATGAGGCACGGGACATAGATTGAAGGGCACGCAAGCACCTTTATTATTATCTCTCTCGCTAAACAGTCCTCCTGTTCGTTTCACTTGTGTTATTATTTGTGGAACATGAGAGGAAATGTGCCAAGGTCCCACTTCATGAGCTTCTTTTCTTTATTCTGCCCCTGGCCCCCGGAGCAGGAATATACAACACAAGACTGATTTCATACCAGTAGGCTACGTGCCGTCACTAATGAAGGATCAACAAGATCTAAAGGCCTTTTGGGACGGCTAGGTTGGGACAAAGGTCGCATTGGTACTGAGGTTTCCAATGGAAAGCAGTTCTGGTAAGAACCCTTGGAACATTTCACCACGTGGATTTGCAGCCCTATGACTCTCTTTTCAAAAGCATAGCTGACTGTTTCTCGTAGGAACTTTGGTGATGTCTTACCCCGGGGTCTTTATTTATCTTTATTGGGAAGGTCGGTAAGGTATCAGGCACACGCGCGGCGTAGCAAGGACTTGGCTACAGTAATGAGCATTCTTTATAAAAGGCGTTGGAAATTACTCTTCAAAAGCTTATTTCAACCATGGCCCTATTCCAGACTTCGATCCTTCTCGGGTTGCTAACTCTCGGTCAGAGCATATTCATTCCTCCAAGTCTAATTGGACAGTTGCCGGTTGGAGTGGTATCTTATGAACTAAACAACACTTCCACATTCCCGAACCGGGATCTCATGGTATCCATCTTCTACCCGGCTCTGGAATCCGAATACCAAAAACATCGGCTACAAGCCGACTTGCCCCTCGTCTTCGCCAATGATTACTCCGATAGCTGGCTCGGCTTGCCCCAAAATGCCTCCGCGTCTGTAATCCAACATGCCTACAACTCTCCACAGATTGCATCCTCTGGCTTTCCCGTCCTCTTCTTCTCTCCAGGATATGGTGCCGGGCGCCTATATTACAATGGTGCTGCGCAAAACCTCGCCTCTCAAGGTTATATAGTAGTCTCCATGGATCATCCAAACGACACGGATTTTATTGTATATCCCGATGGCCGGACAGCGACTTTCAACGAGTCGACTGATGACCGGACAGAGACAGACGTCGTACTGCTACGAGTTTCGGATAACTTATTTGTCCTAGATCATCTTGAGCAGAGTGCACGTGAGAATATTCCAGGGCTGGTAGGTAGCTTAGATACCAACAGAGTTGGGATACTAGGCCATTCAGCCGGGGGCTCGACAGCTGCCTAAGCAATGCTCAACGATACCCGTTTCGTCGCCGGCATCAACATGGACGGTCCAGCTACCGAGCCAGTCGGGTCCGCTGGGCTAGATCGGCCATTCTTGTTGATGGGTCAACAAGCTCATGCGCTGAACTCGTCTTTTGATCCTACTTGGACGACCTTTTACAGTAACTTGCGCGGCTGGAAACTGGCGATGATCGTGAATCAAACCATACATCATCATTTCTGTGATTCATTGTATTTTTTGGAGCAGTTGAGTGCAGATGGGTATCCGGAGGGTGAAGGGTACTTGAATGGAACCTATATGTTTGGGTTAGAAAGTGCATATACTGCGAACTTCTTTGATAAGTGGATGAAGGGGGGGGAGGGCGAGCTGTTTTATGGGCTAAGTGCGCAATGGCCGGAAGTGACTTTCGACGGATGATTGAAGCGCATACTGGTGATTCTTAATTTTCAATTTTCAAGATGGTCATTTTTTGGTCCCTTATCCAGGTCGCCTTACTCATATATCATATAATACTCAAATGAGATCTAATTAAGATATTTTTTGGTCAACTTATACAACTTGTATTCGAACTGTCTTTCGCTTGGCAAGGGATGACCCGGACGACTTGACTTGGATGTTAGCTTAAGAATGATCTTCGGGAAAGATTTAGGACGTCCTTGGAATCTGAATATCAGCTGACGGTGGGGATTCTACTTGGAAAACGATGAAGGTTAACCATACATGTTATTTGAAGCATGAAAGATGTAAAAAAAAAGATTCCCATTTCAGATCGATAATTGAAAAAACACGGACATGAAACCACCCCACCGATCCATCCGCACTCTTCATATACTCTCCATTTACATCTCAAAACAAGACTTTCCCAACCCCTGGTATTCGCACCATACCCCACGCCACGGCCCAACTCCCCACCACCCCAACCGACCCACAAACAATACTCTTCAGCAAACCACCTGCCCCCCAGTCCTCAGCAGCAGCTTGAACACCAACACAGATAATCGGATGTACAAGGAAGGCAGCATACGAATATCGCCCCACGCTCCGCCATCGCCTCCTCCCCCATTCTTTGCGCTCGAAGAGATTCATGAGACTAGCACCGAGGAGAAATCCCGTGCTCTCATTCCAGACGGCATAAGCAACAGAGACTGCATTGAATCCGCTATCCAAGAATACAAACGAGTATGATTCTGGTCCTGCTCTCGATCTAAGCAGGCCGATAATGTAGGATCCGGATAGAACACTGGTTGCTAGGAGTGCATTGCGCCTTCCCGGAGTGAGCAATGGAGGTGGAGGTGGAGATGCAGGGTCTTTCGGCCCTGAGCATGTGCCCAAGATATAGGCGATGAGATATTGAGGGAAGTAGTCTGATCGTACGCTCAGCGGAGCGAATACTTTGTGTGCCAGATTGGGTATCCGGAGAAGAGAACAGGCTGCTATGTCCAAGATCATAGCTGGCCAGAACCCTAGGTTTGGAAGAGCGATTTGAGGCAGGAGCGAATAAGCGGTATCGAACACGAGAAGGAGCGAGGAATACCACACCGGTCCTCTGACGCTCCTCAGTGCTTTCAAGTGGCCTATCAGTAGCTCCCAGAAATCTGCATTTGTGCCTCTGAGCAGTCTTATTACTGCAATCTGCGTCGGCGGTGCAAGGAGCGTGTACAACGCGGCGGGGATTCCCAATTTAATCCACTTCGTTTTCAAAAATTGTGAAATTGACTTCTTCTTTTTGAGGGATTGAAAAGACATCACGCCTGACATGTAGAAGAATGAGCCCATGAAGAAGGTTTGATTGAGCGCATTGAATGCCGTAAGGCTAGGAGACGAGCCCTGGACATGATGGGGAGAAATGTATTGCCATGTGCCTAAGCCACCGTATGGGATCGAGGTGTGGTGGTAAATTACCAGTGCCGTAAGGAAGGTACGGAAGTTATCTAGGTGGTAAAGTCGCCCTGGCTCTGGAGCTGATGGTCTAGAGTTCGTTTGTCCCATCTTGGGGCTGGGAACCAGAATAAAAGCAGTGAGATATTTCTAGCATCTGAGACTGAAATCAAATCGAGGACAAGGAAAACATCGCAATATATAAGCATCTTCTTCACCTTGCGCAACGCGCCTCCCTTAGGCATTTGCATAAGACGGCTTGATCATTCCCGAACTCCCTAGACAGAAACCAGTTCCACTGTCAAAAGAATCTTGACAGCGATTGATCGTCTTTTCCCGGCTGCTTGCTTACATAATATTTTAGGCCAAATTGTTACATAAGCAGCAACCCACTAGACTCCTTTCCAAGTAAACAAAAACCTTATACCGTCAGCACAACCCGAACCAGACTTACCTATATTTCCTGAAACAAGGAACATAAACCATTAAACAGTCGTGAGAATGATGGTATGGTATAAGCTCTTGAATTTCTTTCTTGAGCAGCTTCTCGTCCAAAGGCTAACCTCAATGTTTTGAATTATGGCTGCTACTCTGAGCCTAATGCTTTATTGGCAGATCTTTGGTTGGGTGGGGGGTATGAAGAGCCTCTGGCCAAGAAGTGTGTGGGACGAATTGTGTTCTTTCGGCGTGATACTTGTAAGGAGAAGGAAAAAACAATCAGGAGCAGGCAAGGCTAAAAATATTAAAAATATCCCACAGTATAAAGACAAAGTCGCACAGGACGGACGGTACATGAACGATAGATGGGGGGAACAACGACATATCTAAAGTGTGCGCAAGGAACCCAAAACTATTAGATGAATGCAAAAAAAAAGAAAAGGAAAATAGTTGGGTCAGGACACCCTCGAGCAAGCTCGACGATACATTCTTGAAGACACCTAGACCAGTACACCATTACACTCGGATGTGTTTTGAATTGTGTTTATTTAGTTATATATACCCACTACCCTACGCTCGGCCCGGCGGCTTGGTGAATGTGAATTCGCGGAAAAAGAAAATAATCTGCGGAGTCTCGCTTTAGATTGGGGTGGGTGGACATGATATGATGGTGTCTTCAGTGCTCGAATAGGAGAACCGCAGACGGGAATCTTGCTAAACCATGCTGTTGTTACAGTGTCCTAGCTAGAACTAAGTCTCATCTACTGGTCGCGGCATATCTTTGCCTGTGTATCTAGCATTCACAAACGGTAAATCGTTCTAAATAGCTTATATCATAGAGCTGCGCCGGTCAGTCAGTTATTACTGCTCAAGTGGAAGTATGAACAACTTACGCCTGTCTCGTCCTTCTTCGGTGTGCTCACTTCTTCCGTCAACTTGTCGCTAGTGAAGCCGTAGCTTCATAGCCCAAGTATTTAGGCCTGGTTATCCCTATACCAAGACCTATACAAGGTATGTTTCTTTTTCCTCGTGAGTTGTGAGATATGGCTCTCTCAATCTGTCTCATGTCCCTCACATGACAACATGCATACTCATATGCTCCACAGCATCCTTAATGCTCGACATCCATCTCGAATTGATGCAATACGGGCACTTGATCGGCTGCTCGCCAACAGCCCTCAACGCAGCCGCGCCCCTAGCTGGGACAGCAGGCGCAACAACTCCATTCGCAGCATGTAACGTAAAGGGATGTGCGCTCTGGTTCGGTGTCGTAACCTTGTTCCTATTCCCATTCGGATTATTGACATTCCCATTTCCAATCCCATTCATATCTCCAAACAGCTGATTGGAAGGCTCGTTTGTGCTCTCGCTGCCCATATCCGCACTATCCATCCGATGAGAAGTATCCGGTCTCTGCCCGTGGTTATTCTGTCCTTGTCCCGGAGTCTCCGACCCATCTTCTAGTCTCTTCTTCAGAATCTCCGTCTTAGCACGTCTGCACTGCTGCAAATGCACCTCGGCGCCATATTCCCTCAGCAAGCACTCCCTAATCTCGATCGGCGTGGTATCTTTCGTAATAATCATCAACCGTGGCAATATATCCATGAGAAAGGGTAACCTGGAAGCAGAATTCCTCTGGACTTTCGGCAGCACAGGAACACCAGGCGGCCCAACATCGTTCGCCCCTCCCTGTTTATCGATCGGTCCCAACACCCTCGCACCACCTACAATATTGCCCTCCTCATCCTGCCTGATACCCACCTGCGGACTCATACTCATTCCATTCACATTCCCACCCCCCATACCCGGTGGTCCCCCACCTAAACCACCACCACCAATTCCACCACCTCCTCCCATCCCATTTCCCATCCCATTCATACCTGCAAGTGGCGACGCAGTCGTCCACTCAATACCATTCAAACACGTATGCCTATCCCTCAACACCGTAACCCTAGCCAGCGGCTCCCTTCCATTCTTGCGCTCCCAGTTACAGCGCACGACAAACGGACAATTGGGGTCGCGTTTACAGCCCACGCGCACCCTACCCGTATCTGATTTCAGGATCCTAGGCTCAAAATGTGCTTCGATGGCCCATGCATGCAGAGCATCTTTAAAGGCTTTCAGGGTTGGGAATTCCTCGCGGAGTTGGAGGGGTGGCATTCTTTCTTTCCCCCTTCTCTTCTCTTCTCCTCTCGTTCGGTTGCCCGCGCCCGCAGAGGGATAGGGGGGTGGTCGCGTTTATCGTTTATCGTTGTTGTGGGTACTGATTGTACTGGATCGGGTTGGAGGGGTTGAGTAAATGAGTGCGTGGGATGGTGAGGTATTTGACGTTGGGGAGGGTAGTGAGGAGAGTCGAGGTGGGTATGCGGGAATGGGGCGTTGTTTGCCAGACTGGCTATTTTGGGGTCATCGAACACAGAAAGATCCCGCCCGCGCACAAATGACCCCTGCATTATTGCATTACTATTTTAATGCCTTGCATAATGCAAACCCTGTCATACTAATACTCACTTCTCAGATAGTCCTACTTGACTCAGAATCAAACTGGATGAGGTGTTCAACAATAGCTTGCCTCGACTAGATTAACTTGCTTGTGAAGTTCGGTAAACCACAGAGTTATTCTACATCACACATTCATAGGAAAATATCTCTTCATAATTGCTTTTGAATTGCCATTCACCATATCTCGTACCTACTCAAATACTTCCTCGGTCATGCATCAACCCCACATATAGCTATAATCCCATCATTCCATCATTTCTTTGTTCTTAAAACATGACAAATGAGAACCCTGGTATGTCCACCTCGTCCAGCCTATGCAACCCACATAACTCAAATAAATACTCTGTAAAGAAAAAGCGAAGCTCGCAATGTCGGCTCAAACCCAGCCATAATACGCCGATTCCCTGTATTCACTCCTTCATCGTCCCCATGAAAATGTTGTGCTCTGAAATAAAGTTCTGCCTCGAATTTGAGACTCATGTGAAGGTGGATTGGCTGACAGCTTATCATCAATGAGTGAAATCAGCTACTACCGCTCCAAAAGTCTGTACATCTGAAGCAGATTAAGAAGTTATAATGATGAAGGTGAATATGTAGTTCCAAGATTTGAGCGAGGTTGTGTCCAGCCAGTTTTACCAGCGCATCTCGAAAAGGTCTTCGCTCGGCGAGGTAGCTGCCAGCAGTTGTATAAGTTCTGGGCTCTTGCTGACTTCCAGATCAGGCGTCTTCGACATAAATAACCAGTTTGTCGTTCCTCCTGAGGGCAGTATCTAGATCGTTATTGCTCACGAGGCCAGGTCTTTCTCCAGTAGCTTCATCCTTGTAGTATAATGCTATCTCCTCTGTAGCTGCGATCTTTAGCCTGTCTCTAATCTTCTCGTGAAGTTGTTGGTATTGGATGTCGGTTGGTACCCGAATTGCAATCAAGTCCTCTCCAAAGTAAATCTTGACTTTCATTGCAGAAGGTTGCTGCCCATTCAGACCAGGGGAGAGGGATTGTTTGGATGGCTGAGAAAGAGATGATGTTTGACGTGTTGGTGCGAGATTTCCATTCCCGTTTACAGATAACGAAGGTTGGTTTCTTTGGTGGGGCGAGTTTCTCGCAGGTGCTGCTGTAAGTCCTCCTGCATAACCTGCGCCATTCAGATTGCCACGAGACGATTGTCTTGATGCTCGATTACTTGGCGAGTCACTTGAAGATTGCTGCGACCCTCCAGATAACCTATACTCCTCATTTACGGCATTCGGATCCATTTCGTAGTCTCCTTCCCTGGGCGCAAAGAACTGCTTCACCAGTGTACATCTCGAGATATACGGTGGTTGTGTAAGCAGGTTCTTGACATATGCGTCGAGATTGTGTTGCCGGCCCTCTGTAATCGCATCCGTCACATAATTGACAGGTCCAGGCATATAGGGCAAAGTCCTCTTTTGGGTTCCGGTGTTACCCGCCTCAGCAGGGAATTCTGTCAAGAGTGCAATTTGAAAGTCATAAAAGTCCTCGTAATATCTCGAAAGCTCCCAGTGCCGTCCATCTTCTAATCCAGCTTCAATAACAAACCAGTACTTATCCTCTGCGAAGCAATATCGCGGTATGCGCGCTGAGATAGGAGCATAAAGCTGAGAAGTTGATTTTGAAGCGTAGTTATTCTGCAGCGGTTGGGCTGCTTGCATAGGTCTGCTTTGTTGGGATTGCCTCTGTTGCTACGCCGCATTAGTTTCTGCCAGTCACTTCACATTGGGGAAACTTACAAAGCCATTTTGCTGACTCTGCCGACCTCCTTGCTGTAGGCTCATCCTATCCATGCCCTGCTCTAACCCTGGCGACCCCGAATTTGGTACTTCGAACTTCCCAAGCGTAATGCTGCTGTTCTTGTAGTCCGCTGCCATTTTCTTCCACTCCTCAACCTTTGGCACGCCAGCCCTTTGAACAGCATCTTGTGCATCCGGTACCGCCTGGCCGGAAGTCATATCTCTGATTTCGATAAATGACACAGGGATCAAGCCAGGTCCTCCCAACCTTCCAATAGGTTTCGCCACAAACCACTCCGGATTCGATTGAGCAATGACAATGATTGCCTCTCCAGCCTTCGCATCCAGCTCATCTGGCCGTTCCGCGGCAAAATCGTACATCACAATTCCGTACACCATGGCGCCTATTCCTTTCGTCGTAGATTTGGATGAACGTTGTGTTTCCGTCCCAACTAGAGTCCCAGAGCCCGATGTGTCCGAGTATCCTGAATCGTGATCGGGTAATCTTACAGGTTGTGGCGAAGTGTCAGATTGCCCACTGTCCCTTTCTGTCTTTCCCAGCGCCTGAAAAAATGCTACCGGTACCAGTCCTCGGGCATCTGGCAACGCTGGGTTGCATGCCTCATACCAATCTGTATCGTTTTCTCGTCCAATTACATGAAAAAAGTCGCCTTTCGAGAAGCCCAACTCCTGGTTCGATTGTGCCTCATAATCGTATAATGCGCGAATTACCTAGATATGGATCAGCAGAAACTCGAGAGCATGGAGCTGGCGACAAACCTTTTTCGGAGGGACTATAGATATCGCTGATTTCGGAGCTATCGAAATATGTTGGGCTTTGGAATCCTTATCCCCCTTTATGCTGCGTCTGAGAGCCTAGTCATATCTTTGTGAGCAAAATAGCGTTGCGACGACCCCTCGATCGTTTTGACGGAGCAGCGACTTACCTTCATACTGAATATAACTCCTCTGAATGACGGCGCAGCACTCCGAGTGGGCAGAGGGACAGATCCTTCTCACTCCGAGATGGTTCTGTTTCAAGCAGGGTCGAGGGTGGTCGTCGACAGGAGCCAGCTAGGTGGGTGGTGTTGGCTTGTCCTCGCAACGTTGGCGGCAGCGTGATCGAGGTAAGAATGAAAGAGGAGGATGAGGAAAGGAGTGTTCAAAGGATCGATGCGCCCAGAAAATGAAGGGGTGCAGTCCCGTAGATTTGGAACTTTCTATGCACGTTGCGCGGTGGGAACGCTTGAGGGTGGAGAACTTGAAGGGAGAGGATGTGTTCCCTGGAGCGGACGGAAGATGGATTGACGCTACCGAGATTAGAGCGGCGGCAAGTCTTTGTTGCTGGAGGATGGGGCGACACTAAATAATAATTGAGGAGAGGGCTCCGGTAAGCAATGCGGTAGAGATGTCCTTTGTTACTTATGAAGTAGCCTTGTAGTTGATGATAATATATCAAGACGATTGTCCAGCCACTTCTGAGAGATAGCTGTAGCATAGACACCTACCCAGTGTAGGTAGGGGCAGATGCAGCTCTCCAGACTGATACCCCCCCCCCCCCTAATACCACGCTGTACGCTATGCGGTCCCTGTACCGTCTTGCAGCGTGCTCTCCCGATGCTAATCGACGAACCACGTTTTTTTTTTTCCTCTGCCGTCGCAGGTTTATGATAGCTTGTATGCACCCGGGAATTAGACCTTAGCACACGTTATATACCGTTGGAGGCCGAGGATGTTGTAGACTGAGAAACACTTCTACTATTCAAAATACTGGTACAAGTGCTGTCCAAGGCTGCACAGCACAGGCCCACCCCCTCCCCTCCCCCCTCTTGCCTTCATATCAGGCACGAAATTCCTCCCTTCATGCCTAAGCCGCCACTTTTCTTTTGTGATGGGATGGCCGCTTCGACGCATCATATTATATCAATCACCAACAAATTGCTCAGAACAGATCACTCGCAAATCCACTCATCGACTTCTCCTAGGCACATCTCTTCACTACTGCACTGCACAAAGTCTGCACCCTGCAGGTCCCATTGGAGTCTAAATGGCCTCTTTCTCACCCAATACCTGACATCCCTCTCAACTGTACCGCCTGCGAAAAGCCACAACGGCGGCTATCCTTGATCACCACATGTTAGTGGTTGAACCCTAGGCCTAGGGCTGAGATGCCTATCAGCAACTGGCCCCCAGTAGATGCTCTCATTTTTGTACTTCGCCACCTACCGAAGTGTCTCTTTCTCTTTACGCAACCTGGTATAACTGGCTATATTAGGAAACCATATCAGGTGTTTAAAAGCCACAGATAGATAAAGCCGAAGGATTCTACTATGGAGTAGATTGAGAATCCCCGGTTGCGGATCACTTTGTGTACCGTGCACCTCGTGGAAATTCATCGCTGCATTTAACTTATTCTACTCGTACACCAGGATTCGTTCCCCGAAGAAGGACTTCATCGTGGGTTCCACGTTATGCTCACCCTTCCGGGGCCCGCCCCCTCCATTGCTGTATTGATACCGGCTCGCCCCTCAAAGGTCCCCGCGTGCGTGAAACAGTAAACGGGTATGTATTGTACCAAAGCACTCGAGCAGGTACAGTACGGTACCAAGTCACCAAACCAATCTCCGAAGATTGATTTATGATTTCAGGCCAGCCAACAAAGAGAGAAAAGCAAGCAAGGTTCACAAAATTTTAAATCTAATTTTCTTGCTTGCAAAAAAAAGAAACGAAAGAAGATTGATCTCTCCACTCTCCTTAACGGAGCTCCCACCAGCCAGCCAGCCGACAAAGTCACGCAATTCGTCATCACGATTCACGACAAAGAAAGCTCATTCATGCAGAAGATAATATAATAAAGAAATGAACAACCAGCCCAACCGTGCGAGCCCTCCGGAAGCCTTTGCCTTCCTTCTCCCAACATCTGTAACACGGATCGTCCCCGCCCCGAACCCTCACCACACCACCACCATCCATGGCATAAGGCGCGGAGAAAGGGCTGAAACACCACTAAGCTATATTCGGAAATCTAGATAAGGAAAATACTCTAGATAAATTAAGGTTTGTTCTTTTGCTCTCTTCTGGAACCCGAGATGCAATAATGGATGCATGCATGGCATAATAGATAACGGAATAGGAACCCATGCAAGGAAACCGTTAAGCAAAGCGTGCGACCGTTTTGCCATTTTGGTAGTACCGTACCTTAACGAGAGGCTACCTGGTTTGGGGGTCTCGCTTAGTAAAAGGGGGGAGTGAAGCGGCGATGGGTGACTTTGTTTTGAGTTTCGGGTTTGGACACCAAATCACTCGCTCAAATCACGACTGGAATAAGGCCAGCTACTACATGCTGATGGTGATTAAGTGATAATCTATGCACTTACTCACTTGACACAAAGCTGACATCTCTTGGATATTTTACAAAAATTCACTTCCGTTTGCTATAACATCAGAATGGTTGTAGTCTCGGAAAACACCGCTTGGCTGTCATCAAATTTCTCGTTCATATATGTATATTTGCTGTCAAATCCACACTTGCATAGTGCGAAAAACGGCTAGCATTTCATGCTGCCTGTCCAAATGAATACCTTACGTGCTCTGTTTCTCTAGTATTCCCTTGTGACAGATCTCTAGATATGCAACTGAAGCCTCTTGCATAAATCACAAGATTGTTCATGCCCTTAGGATATTAATATCATTCGTTGTTCTTTGAGCGACTAGTTAGTTGAATATACAACCAGGTGCTCTTGAAAAGAGATGCGTGCGGTCTGTAGCCTTTCAATTCCAATACACTTCACCACAGTTTAGCTCTCTTGAAAGCCCAAGCCAATCAGTCCCGGTCAATATGCTATAACATGATGCTATAATTATTTAGAGATGCTCTAAATTCCATGGAGAAGCTTAATAGTTGCCAGGATTACAAACAGATGGGGTCCTACTTCTCAGGCTAACGGCCTCATCAGCTTAGCTTCTTCCAAAGTTGATAGGCCTTTCACACTATAGTAATGTAGAAAAAACAATATGAACTCAAAAACAGAGAGGAGCCCCGACATCCATTAAAAACATCATCATCAATATCATCATCGGAACATTTAACTAATATAAATATGATAACGTATGATTTAAGTTTAAGGAACCGAACAAAAAAACATTTACCCCTTACAATTAGAAACCCTTTCTGTTGCCTTACTCACTCAGCGGGCTGCAAATTTGCCACACCACGTATAGTCCTCCATATTAGTTGACTCATGTAGGAAGACGTTACGAAATCTCAACCTGTTTACTGCTTGTATTCCTTTGACAACACGATATATATAGTAATATAAGGAGTACGCAACCGCACTCTACTGGATTAAAATGCATACATAGCAAGATCCCATCCTGCATACAGCAAGAACCGCTTACTCCATTTACGTATATGAACCTCAGCTTGGGATAAACAATAACCCGCAACGACAAGAACCCGAAACTATACCCCACTCTCACCTTCTTGGATTTCAATCTAGAAACATATGAATCTTCCAAGAATATTCAATCCGTCTCAGTCCAAATAATTAACTCTAAATATATCGCTGCTTCAACCATCCATCCATCTAATCTCTTCAAAACCTCAACGTTCATACCAGTGAATGACAGCAACTATAACATGACAGCACTAAACCTCCCAACCGTCTTCCAATAGTCTTCAAGCCCAACTCTACAGCTAGCAGACGACTGACTAAACTTAGACTTTCACCGCGATAAACCCTGCGCGATCGATGCTTCTTGGTAAGTTGGTAGTGAGCTCGGTCCTCGGGAGCCTCTATTTAAGGGTTCGAGTAGTTATAGCTTTGGTAAGTCGTTTGGTGTATAATATGCTCCTTCTTAGCACAGCAGGGAGGGATGAAGGGGCGGCGGTGCTCCCTTGAGAAGAATTCACGGGATATACTCAAGCAATTGCAACAGGAAACGGAAATAGAAGAACTCTTCCTACCACACTGAACGGAGGGCTTTGAAAGGGTTACAAACACATCTCTCGAGGACGAAACGGTCGTCGAACAAAAACCTACGCTGCATTGGGTATTCAACTATCAAGCCGCAGTAAAAAACTCGCGAATCCCACTTATTACAACCACATTACACCCCTCAAACCTCACCCCGCACTATTCCTAGTCTTCGCATCCTCCACCGCCTTCCCCCCAATCCGCCTTTATCAAGAACCAGGCCTCAGCCGCAGCAACCAAGCCCAACGCAATAGCCACCCCCGTCCACAGCCCCTCCAACTCCCAATGCAGCCCAAACGCAGTGCCGAAACTAATCGGCATCGCCACCACGTAATAGCAAACCAGGTTAATATACCCACCTATCTCCTGGTATCCTAGTCCGCGAAGCAAGCCGTTACAATCTGCGGCCAGAGCGTCGAAGAGCTGGAAGGCGGCGCAGATGGGCAGGACGCTCGAGACGAGACGGATTACTTCGGGGTCCGAGGTGAAGAGTTGGGGGATGGAGTTTCGGAGGCTGGAGAGGAGGAGGACGTTGCATATGCCGACTAGGGATGCTACTACGAAGGCCTGGGGTGAAGTCAGCAGGAGAACTTTGCGTACAAATGGTATAAAGGGGAAACTGATACATACCACTTTAGCGCTAGTCTTTGCGGCGTCTGAAAGCGTGGCTCCGATGAGATTTGCTACTCGCGTGGAGGCTGCAATTGAGATGCCGAAGGGGATTTGGAAGGTAAGTGCTGTCAAGGTGCTGAGAACACTCTGAGCTGCGAGATGGGTCACCGAGAAGTAGCTCGACGCCAGTGTGAGTATTTCAAAAGCTAGAAATTCTGCTTCCACCATGATAAGTCCAGGAAGAGCAAGTTTGATCATGGGACCTATTGAAATTAGCACCCGGTTGCAAAATATTGCATCAAGAGACTGACCCCAATTATGGAACGCCTTCTTCGTAAACCCATTCCAGCATTGCCTTCCATCTACGAACCTGACATACAGAAGCAGTAAGATCGGAAGAAGAGTATCGGTAATAGCCACGGCAATCGGAGCTCCTACAAATCCCCACTTGAACTGCCATACAAATAGCCAGTTCATGAAGGCATTGAGGGGTGCAGCAATAAGCAAGACGTAGGTAGTAGCAGAAAACAGCCCCTGGGATTGCACAAATCGCTTCCCAGCCTCAAAACAAGAATATCCAGGCGCTCCAAGAAGCAAGATCCGCAGATAAAGTCCAGCGAGTTTAGCAGTTTCCTTCTCTGGGACCATCATCTCTAGGATCTTCTCTGCAGACAGCCAGATTACGCCAATAGGAATGGTCAGCGCCCACAGAAAGTAGACCATTCTCTGCAGCTGCAATCCAACCAAGTGTTTCTTCCCAGAACCATAAGCCTGCGCACACAGCGTATCCAGACTCGTAGCTAGTCCTTGATAAATGGAATATCCAGTAATATTCGCAGTCATACTAGCCAAACTCACCGCACCGAGTTCCAGAGTCCCCAGATGGCCAACGGTGAATATACTTGCAACTGGGAGAGAATATTGTAAGAGAAATGTTACGACCAGCGGACTGGCATATCTCCATAATGTCTTCGCTTCTCGCTGCCATGTCGTCTTGATCTTGCCTGCTGCCACTGCTGCTTCCCATTGCCTGTTCAATCGTTCGTGGTGTGTTCGCGCTGATTCCTGTGCGCTGTTTGGTAGTAATGCTGAAGTTTCCGACGGCTGTGCTGTGAATATTGCTTCGGGAGGAACTTCCAGATCCGCTTCTGTCTTTGGTCTCTTGGTGCTGAATAACCGCCTGTATAATCGGCTGAAGGCACTCCTTTGCGCCGGCTCTGCGTGTTTTGGTGGAGCAAGATGGTTATCCCGCAGCAAACTCCTCTCTTCATTCCTCGACTGCTTCTTTTCTTTCTTCGTAAGGTATGCCGTGTCTACTCCCGGATGCGGTGTGATAGCTGCTCTCGTACCTCCAAAAGCAACGAAGCTGGGTCTCCGGTAGGAGCTAGCCATTGAGTTGTGAGCAACATCTGGCCGGAGAGTTGAAGTATCGGACTCTGATTCGGAACTGCTCTCCCCGTCATCGCTCTCTTGTTGTTCGACTTCATCTTCGGAATACTCTGCAAGATCTCGTGCTATGGATTCTTGAGCGATGGGGGATTGTGAGAGGTAGGAGTTGCCAAAGGGAGATCGAGCAATGGAGAAGTTTGGACTTGCTTGCCGTTCTATGGATTGAGGCGTCGACATGGTACAAGATGTTGTGGAATCGTGACACAATGCGTGATTAAGGGTTGTGATTCTACCCCGCCAGCTTTCATGCAGCTATCGCCAATTTGTCTGAGATAAGGTACCTTCGTATTGGATCTAAGATGTTTGATCGTAAAATCTCTATATCTTAAAAAAGCGGAAATGCTTTAGATATGCCGAGAAATATTTATAGAGAGAGTCAAAGAAAAAAGTGAGAGCAAACATTAGAGAGAGAGAGGGAGGGAGGAAATAATACTCATCCCCAAAACACCGGGGAGCTTCCCGCCGTTAGTCATTTGAGAGCAGCGGTGAGCCAATGGATAAGCGTGATTGATATGGGATGAGTACAAGTACGAGTAGGAAGAGCCTTATCCACGATAGGCAACTCTATCCATGCCTTTCAACATTCGACATCCCTGCACAAAGCTCGAGTTACTCTTTGTATTATGACCAGATCAGAGAAATATATCGTCGACATACAGCAATTGAACTCGACTTCAACCAGGAGACGGAATAATAAATATGGTTCAGCCGGGAGACGAGGAAGAGGCATCTGGTCTAAGGAATACATATAATCCATTGGGGATACCAGTACACCCACGCCCCGTCAATGTCGCAGAGTACGTTCTATTCTACCCCTCTTATTCACGTTCACTTCCCTTTCCTACCTTCGCGGGGCTCTCGACTAACACCCCTCCCCCCTCCTCCCAGACACCAACGAGACCGCTCCAACATCTTCTGCATCCCCCCTCTCATCGGCCCCCTGCTCTTCGACAACACCGACAGCGATGCCCGCGATCACTGCGCAAACGAGCGTACATTCCTCTCCTATCTCCGCCTATCCCTCTACATGTCCATAGTAGCAGTCGCTATCGTCATTTCCTTCCATCTAAAATCTAAGCCCACGCCTCTCGAACTGCGCATGGCGAAGCCCCTGGGCATCATATTCTGGGTTCTCAGTGTAGCTTGTTTGTGTTTGGGGACTGGGAATTATGTCAAGACGGTTAATAAGTATTCGAGACGAGCGGCGATTGTGCAGACGGGGTGGAAGACTCAGAGTGTGAGTAGTGTTTTGCGAAAGAGACGAGGACGTGCTAATGATGTGTTGGCAGGTTTTGACGGTGGTGGCTTTTGCTATTGGTGCCGTTTGCATACTTTTCCTGGCGACGAATTCGAAGAGATATTGAGGATTATTCATGTATGGGCGTCTGCTATAACGAAGTACACATCTCACGAACACGAATCTGGACATCACAAGCATAGCGAAAGGAGTTAGGAGTTAGGGGGTTTTAAATATTGGTTGACTCTTCATAAAACGCTATATACCATATACCATAAGTCCTAATCTAATCCTTTCAAAGCATCATTGCAGACCAAAATCAAAATGATATCTCAATCACTGTCACTCACATACTCTTTCGCTTCTTCAGTAACAATAGCTCAACATTCATCTGCATCACCGTCATATTCATTCGAACTATTGTCATATTTCTTGGAGTTATCTTCGCATTCCTTAGGGTTATCCTCGTCCTGCGGACCAATGTCCAAGTCGCGTTTTCTTGGAGTGAGACTAAGAAACTCGTGAAGAGGATGTCCTGCGGCGAAAAGCTCATGAGGCAGAGCATCAAATGACGGGTCCCAGTCTGAATGCACAGGTGCATCTGAGGCAGTAAATGTTGGCTGCGAAGCTTTGGCAGCATAGCTAGTAGCAGAATCTTGAAGCGACTTTACTTCAGCTAAGAGGCTTGGAGCCAGATCGGCAAGTGCCGCATCATCCACTGACAGCAGAGGCACCTTTGGGATGATGGCTGTTGGCAGCAAAGCTAGAAGTGGGCTGGCAATTGGGAATCTGCCTGGTGCTGAATCGTTTGAGTGGACAGTATTTGTGAAGAGCGTAGGCAGTGCGGCTGGAAATGAAGTAAGAGTTGTGCTGGTTTGCGCGAAAAGGATTGACATGACATCTGCAACTGGGTTGCCGGTGACTTTCGAAGTATTCGATGTTTGCCTAGAGACGGACAGGCTTGAAGCCTGGAGCATGCCCTCTGCGAGGGGTAGAGTCTGAGGTGTGCTAGATGGTTTGAGAGGGTTCGAGCTTGTTGAGTTAATAAACGGCATGAACGCGCTGATATTCACAAGCTGCTGGAAAGTGGATGGTGTTGGCAGCCTTGACACCGACGAGTTATTTGGTGTCAATTTCCCAATAGAGCTATTCGAAACGACCAGCTCGACTCGAGGAGAAGTAGACGCTCTTCCACAGCTTTGAAAATTGAGACGCAAATTGTGGGCTTTGATGATGTCTGCTGCCTGGGAAACTATTAGCATTGCTGTATGCATACTGGCAAGGGAACCTACTTTCTCAGCAATGGCATAGACAGGTGCTTGAAGATGAGTTGCAGGTACGAGTGGCATAATCCCTCCGTCTACTATCCTCAAGTTTTTTGTTCCATAGACGCGAAGATGCGAGTCAACGACACCTCCATGTTCTAGTGGAAGCATGGAAGATGATCCAGCACCATGAAACTCTGTTCTGATTCCAGACCTAACTGCAGGCATCAACGTCTCTGGAGTAGCATCCTGAAGGAAAGGATAGTATGGAGCCGGGCCCAGTTGACGCATTGAGCTTGTATTAATGAGACGATTGTTGAACAGAAGGCCTTCTACAATGACCTGGCAATCAAGTGGATTTGAACAGAAACGAGGGTCGATCAAGGGCTGCGTAAATGGATTGGTGTCCTGCATATGAACATGACCCCGAGACAAAGTACGCACTGCAGCGACTGAGAGAAGGCCAATGTTGTCACTCAAGATTTCGTAGGCACTGGCATCGCTGCGACCCAGGAGGTTCACAAGAATATCCTTTTGCGCTTGGTAACCTGCAATGATTGTTGGATCGAGATTTGGAAGCAAGTATGCCGTAGGAGATTGACTCTCGGCGTCAGCGATCATATTCGTCCAATTCTTGGAGATGGAGGGCAACGACGGAAATGCTACTGTATTTATTGCTCCCGCAGTCCAGGGCCCTTAAAGGTCAGAGTCAGTCAACCCATCGAGCATTATCTAAGAACCATACCTGTCTTATTAGCGTAATATTCTTGCTCATCCTGACGCAAAAGAGTTGGGTTCTTGTAAATCATGGAAAGAGTCAGATAACTCATGTTGGAGACTAACCAAAGTCAGCGTCGACCATGGTTTCTTAGAGAGGGGGTTCTACATACCATAGTGGACTACACCAAGATAAGGATGATCTTGAAAATTGTTGCCCACTCCTGGCAGCTTGATTTTTGTTGGAATATTAAACTTGTTCAGAACATTCGGATCACCGATGCCAGAAAACTCAAGAATCTGAGGAGTATGGACAGCCCCAGCGGCGAGGATGACCTCCTGTGAGCAGGTGACATTGCGAATAGACAGAGTACCGTCAGGAATGAACTATCAGGGTCAGAGTGCATTTCGGTCAGGACTGTGCGAAGATTGCTGCGAAAGGTTCACTTACCTGCACTCCTGACACCCAGCGGTCATCAGCGTGATGTTTTGGAGAAGAGGTCTGAGGCTGAGACTTCTGAGTAGCAGAGTCCATGATGAGACGATAAACATGCTGGTTAGTTACCACTTGTAAGTTTGGGCGTCTGTCGATGAAACCATCAAGATAAGCTAGTCGAGCCGTCGAGCGAGTCTGATTATCTGGATTGATGTTGTTGGGTATGAGCATCCCACCAGCAGTAAATCCATTATTTGGATCCTTCAAGATGGGAATGCCGAGTTCATTTAGGCCTTCAAGGAAGACCTCTGGTGCAAATCAGTTTTGTAGCTCGAGATACTTCTGTGATACTACTTACGAGACTGGTTGTAGAAATATCGTGGGTAGCTGACATGTACGTAGCCATCAGTACCATGAAAGGAGGGGTCTGGTTGGATATAAAGTCTTTTGCTGAAATCGGCGTCGACATTATCGGTGTAGTTCTCCGTCTGAAAGATGCACATCAGTGTTGAGACTACCTCGTATGGTGCTGACTTACCTTCTTAAAGTATGGAAGCATACCATCCCAGCCCCAGCCCGGATTTCCAAGAGCTTCCCAAGCATCGTAGTCTGCACGACCTCCTCTAGTCCAGCACATTCCATTGATTAAGCTGCCGCCTCCAACTCCTCTGCCAGTATCATATGGACGTCCTCGTCCATCAAGAGAAGTTTGAGGAGCTGTCCAGAGGTTCCAGTCATATTTGGTACCGAGACCATAGTCGCTGTCAATGGGATATAGAATGGTTTCTTCATAGTTGTCACTGAATTGTGTATAAGCAGAGAAAACAAGAAAGGGGCAATCGACGTACAGAGAGCCTGCTTCGAGAACAAGGACAGTCACTTCAGAGTATTGTCAGTATCATATTTCAGTTGAATCCGTTGAGAATTTACCACTTGGATCTTCCGTGAGACGGTTGGCAACTACGAGACCGGAGACGCCTCCTCCAACTATGATGTAGTCATAGCAATCTAGAATTTGTCCGTTAACATCGCGATCGTCAAGGTGAAGTGAGGAGACAAATGTAAGGAGGTACAAAGCGACGGCCAGAATAGGAGCTTCGAAAAGCAACATTGAGCAACGGCAGAGTGAGTGAAGCAAGACCAAAGAAGGGAGTTTGGACGTGGGCCAAAAGTAACGAGCAAAGGAGTGTTCGTGTTTGCAAAGGGAGGAATCGGCTGAAGTCGCATATTGTAAGGTAGCCCCCAGGATGGGCTGCTCCTGCCTGAACATTGGAGGGTTTATATGTAGGAAAAAGCTCCCAGCACCATAAATGGATTGCCACGGGTTCTGCAATTCGGGAGAAGGACCGACCAAGACAAAACGGGAAAGTACGATTCCGGCCATTTTGCAGCAGTAAAGTACTCCTGGCTACTGGTAGGAAAGCACCACACTGATGCATTACGTAGACATCTTAGTTGTGAACCGTGACTTTGTATTGAACTAGCTTGCATACTTGCTTTATTCTACCTCTACTTGAAAGTAAAGATCGCAAGGGAAAGAAATAGCGCGACCATCTCGATCTGTCAAGTCGAGAGAGGTATTGAAATTCCAAAGCAATAAGTGCCGCTTTCACGTCAATGGCAAGCTTACGTGGGAACGCGAGTCTTGAACATGGACTGAAGTGGCGGGACTTTCTTTGCTAATAAAGCTGGCATACGCAGTTTTTCTTTTGTGCTGCCTTTCATCTCTAGCCTGAATAATAGAATAGCTTTTCGATCGAGTTTTCCGCGCATTCGCGTCCCAGCTCTGCGTAAGGCCAATGTGAAGACCAGGCTTGGGCCTCAAAAATACCAGGATGATAACCAATATTCTCATCATACAGCAAAGCCATCATGCATTGGTAGATCGCAGGAATTTCCCTGCAGCATGTCAGACTGGAGACACTTCGTCCTTGGAAACATGCTGATTGATCTCAGGCTTCTCTTTAGCTGTAACCTGGCCTCTATCGGCGTCACCGCTGACTTACACGGCTATTTTGGCTTCCTAGCCTGGGCATTAGGATGACACTGTTCCATGATGTTAATGAAAACGTCTCTTGTGATATTACCTGCCACCCCTTCATGGTGTTTCTTCTTTCTCGTACAATATCATTGCCAGATGCCGCACAAGTAAACCATTTTTAGAAATGGCATGACCTGTGAAGTAGAGATCTCCAACTTGTTCATGCATTCATACTGTTCATGGCAGTTTCTGTGTAATGGTCTGCCTTCAAGAAACATTTGAAAGTACAATCCTTCCACACTTTGAAATCTGGAAGGTATATGTCTGACAAGGCGTCCAGCAATTTGATGAACTCCAAGGATTCGAATGCAGAGATATTGTAGATGTCTAGAGCATCGAGTCCAAGCTTGTCGCACATGAAGAATCGACAGTATGACTTGGGGGACCACACGCTCCAGATGTTACTAATTTTTCCAACAGCTGGTAATTTCATGTACCATTGTACCATTATCTTCTCTTGTTAGAGCCATCTGTTGTGTTAGAACACGCATATGCGATCGCGTTCGCTAAAGAAGACAGCCACGGATTAATTGTCGCCTTGCACGCATCAGTTCTAATTCAACACGTTCCCGTCTTTTCGTATAAATTGATCCCACATAATCGAGGGACCAGGTTGCAATTTCGAAGATGCGCATATATAGCGGACCGCCGACGCGTCGTTTGAAGATAATACCGGTGGGTGATATCTTAGGATACAATCGTCGAGAAAGTTGCTGCTAAATGCAATTTCGCTGATAACCTAGAGTATGTCGACGCGCTTAGCTTTCCAATTGAACGAGAAAAAGAATGCGATGAAGGACGAGTTATTTTTTTGAAAGATACATTCTGTGAAATGGAGAAATGTCACAGATGCTGTTGAAGCTGGGCTGGAAGGGTCACGGGTCTCCAGATATTGATTAGTCAGCATAGAATAGTTAATCACGCGGCGGCGTGACCCTCCTTGATCGCAACCTCCATCTCTGGCTTACCATATATATTGCCGGGCTGTTGTTTCTTGGCCGAGCTGATCAGAAATGAAAGAATCGCCGAACGTTTGATGGAAATACATGATAACATGACTTGCGACTGAGTTATTTCAGGGATGGTGAGAAGCATAATTCGCGGTCAATTATTAAACCCTGAAAATGGCGGAACATATGGATCTAGATACGGAGAATTTGAGAGGTACCAAGAGAAAAGCCTCTGAGATACCTCTGGAAGTTTCAGCTCCCCGAAGGATTAGGGTGAGTTTCATAAACACCTCGTCGAAATAGATGTTTGTTTACTGATTCTTTTCAAAGGCTCTTGATCCAGATGTTGTCAACAAGATCGCTGCTGGCGAGATTATCGTGGCGCCAGTGCACGCATTGAAAGAACTTATAGAAAATGCTGTTGATGCCGGATCTACTTCTCTCGAGGTTCTCGTCAAAGAGGGCGGATTAAAGCTTTTGCAAATCACAGATAATGGTCATGGGATTTCAGTAAGTACTATCAAGGTGTTGTCTTCCAAGCTAACAGTAAATAGAAAGAAGATCTACCAATTCTATGCAAGCGGTTTACAACTTCAAAGCTCAAGGCTTTCGAGGACTTGACTTCTATCGGTACCTATGGATTTCGCGGAGAAGCACTCGCTAGTATCAGCCATATTGCTCATCTTACTGTAACTACGAAGACGAAAGACTCTAGCTGTGCTTGGAGGGCACACTACGACAGCGGGAATTTGATTCCCGCAAAGCCTGGTCAAAGTGCGGATCCGAAGCCCACGGCTGGGCGCCCAGGAACGCAAATCACCGTGGAAGACCTCTTTTACAACGTCCCCACCCGCCGACGTGCTTTCAGATCAGCTTCAGAGGAGTACAACAAGATCTTAGACGTTGTGGGGAGATATGCAATTCACTGTGATGGGGTTGCTTTCAGCTGTAAGAAACACGGCGAGGCCAGTACTACGATATCGACGCAGTCTAATTCTTCGACTGTTGATCGTATTCGACAAATCCATGGAAGCTCAGTAGCAGCCGAATTAATCGAATTTACATCCTCCGACGAAACATACGGATATCGGGCTCGAGGATGGACAACGAATGCTAACTATCACGTCAAGAAGACTGTGTTGCTCCTGTTCATCAACCACCGTTCTGTGGATTCTACAAACATTCGGAAAGCCATCGAACAGACATATTCAAACTTTTTACCCAAGGGAGGACATCCCTTCACATACCTCAGCCTCGACATCGACCCTCAACGAGTAGACGTCAACGTCCACCCAACAAAAAACGAAGTCAACTTCCTGAACGAAGACGAGATAATCGAAAAGATATGCGGCGACATCCGCGTAAAACTCGCAAACGTCGATACAAGCCGTACTTTCATGACCCAGACCCTCCTCCCCGGTGCTCACATACCTCTAATATCAGCAGACTCAACCGGCAGCGATGTCCCAAGCAAGTCAAACAGTACCCCCAAACCTAAACCCTACGAAAATAACCTCGTCCGCACTGACGCCAAAGTCCGCAAAATAACCAGCATGCTCCCACCAAGCGCTCCCCGCGGTAGCGAAACCCCTCTACCACCAAACACGCACCCCTCAGACCTTGAGTACCAACAATCTGACCGCGATCCTATCAACTGCCGTCTCATGACCGTCAAAGACCTGCGCGCCGAAGTCCGCGACGAGATGCACAACGACCTCACCGAGATTTTTGCCTCCCACACCTTTGTAGGCGTCGTCGACGAACGCAGACGCTTAGCTGCTATCCAAGGAGGCGTACGACTATTCCTCGTGGATTACGGCATGGTGGCCAACGAATACTTCTACCAAGTAGGCCTCACGGACTTCGGAAACTTTGGTGTCATCCGCTTCGAAACCCCTCTCAACCTCCGCGAACTCCTCGGCCTGGCAGCAGAGCACGAGAAAGCCTCTCCTACTCCGACAAACACGGAAGATGATTTCGAGGTCCAGGATGCAGTTGATCTCGTCTCCGAGCAGCTGATAGAGCGTCGAGACATGCTGCTAGAATACTTCTCCTTTGAGATATCCCCCGAAGGCGACATAATCTCCATTCCGCTCCTCCTCAAAGGCTACACTCCCTCCCTCGCCAAACTCCCACGTTTCCTGCTCCGTCTCGGGCCGCATGTCAACTGGAGCAGCGAGAAAGACTGCTTTGAGACCTTTCTCCGTGAACTGGCTTCTTTCTACGTGCCTGAGCAACTACCTCCTAGCGGTGGTCCTGAGGATTCTGAGGAGGGTGTGGATGAGGAGCTTAAGAGTAGGAGGGCGGAGGTGGTGAAGGTCGTTGAAGACATACTATTTCCAGCATTTAGGGCGCGACTGGTTGCAACAAGGTCGTTGGGCAAGGGTGCTGTTGTTGAGATTGCGAATTTGAAGGGCTTGTACAGGGTGTTCGAACGATGCTAGTGTTATCACCATGTTGTATATTTGTTGCTTTGTGCATAAATACATATCGGGCATTTACTGGGTTATGCGGCGGGAATGGAGGGAACGGCGTCGCTCACGGAATGTTGCATTTTTGGCTTTAGCTACTAGGGGCATCTCGGGTATAGCATTTGCATTGTATCACCACATAGCATAGCAGAGCAGAGCAGAGCATTAACAATCCACGAGAAAGCCTTGTTATCATCTAGTATCATTTTTGTAGCCACGATGCTCCGACGAGATCATGCCTACGGCTATTATACAGTTTATTTCATTTCGTTCCAATCTTGACAGCCGCTCCTTTAGCTCTTCCCATCATCCCATTCTGGGTTCTATTTCAAAATAAAGTCAGTGACAATCCTAAATATTCAATTACTATTTTTGGGGCATAACATACCTTTCTCAAAATGACCAAACCCTCAAGAGTATTAGTCAAGGGAATATACTGCTCATCCTCCAACTCTGCACGCTCACCATACGCCAAAAGAACCGGTGTGCTCTGCGTCTGCCATCCTGTAATCGTTTTTGGTCGTCCAGCCTGTCCTACAACATCAACGGCTTGTCCTACCCGTACATTGACGGTCAAAGGCTTTAGGTCTTCGTCGAGGGTGACCAGGAATCGGGGATGCATGGCTGTGACGAGGTAGTAGAGGAGGTAGTGTGATTTGTCGGTGACAAATTGTTTGGCGTCGATCATGGCGACTAAGACAGAGAGGAGACCGCCGGCGGAAACTCTTGAGAGAACTTGGCGGTCGGTGTGGAAGGGTGATATGGAGAGAGTGCCCTTGCCCATATGGAGGAGACCTTGGGCAATTCGGACCATGAACAAGGATTCTTGATCCCGGTGGTAATAGCTGGCCAGCTGCCTGAGGAGTTGGGCCAGTCTGGCGTTGTTGGTTCCAGCACCGAGAAGACCCATAGCGAAGATGGCGTTGATGGCGACGTCGTTGTCATTGTCGTGGGAGTACCTCGATAATGTGTCGTAGACCTTCATTTGAGGGTTGCTAGGGCTGAGAAGACCCATTGCCAGGGGAACTGCTCTCCGAATATTGGCCTCACCATAGTGCATGAGGTGGCCAAATTGTCGGAGAACCATCTCCTGCCCAACATCTTCGCCCATTGCAACAAGACCCAGGCCAATAACGGCATAAGCTTGAAGCAATTCATCACCCTTCTTGTCATCCGTCTCTTCAATATGGTCGTTACAGATGTGGAGGAGCTCTTGCATCTTCAAAACAGTACCAGTGCCTGCCCAGGCGCAAATCTCGGCAAGGACTGAAGTTGGCTTCGACATGGGGTGGTCAATAGCCTTAAGGGTCTCCAAGATGACATCGACTTCTTCATGGCGTCCAAAGTACAATAGACCAAGACCAAGAGCCATGAATCGTGTCCACTTGTCCTGTAATTGAGATTTCCGCTCATCATCAAGGAAAGTTTGGATGATTGCCTCAATGACATCGCTGTTCCCGGATCCAATAAAGATCATTCCGAGAGAAAGCGTAGCCATTGCCGATATTTGCATATCGATTGATGTATCTCCAACTATTGGCAAGAGCAACTCCAGAATATCTTCTCTATTTGAACCAGCGTAGGCAAGACCTAGACCCATAATTGAAGCAACTCGGATCTGCGGACTCTTGTGGTTCAGCTTGTCCTCATCACCAAGAAGGGCCTTGGCTGGATCAGAGTCAATTCGGACACCGGAGTTCATGATGCCAATGGCTAATTGGGCACCGGCTTGAATCTGATCCTCTTGAGCATATGTGTATTTGTCGATTTTGTCGAGGCCACCTTCAACATCCCAGAGCAATAGCGTTCCCAGAGATGCGACTGTGGAGGTCATGCCCTCTTCTTTCGTCTTCCATACCCAGCTAGATTTGTCTTCGTCAACCATCATCATCTTGTCATTCCCAAAACCAGCATTCACAAAAGCATTTACGAAAGCGGCAGCCAGATTGTGCCGTGCAGAATCGAGATTTGTGAGACCAGCCACTCGGTTGCTCTCCAGATGACTCTTGTAAATGTCCTCCGTTGTCTTCGGGTCCAGAATATTCAGCTCCTTGCCCAACGCCTTGAAATGCTCCGGAAGCTTGGTGTTGTTCAAGCACTCGGCAATCTCTTGTTCTTCCTCCGTCTCAGGGTCGAAATCCAGGACAATTTGTTGCCTGGCAATAAGAAAAGCCATCTGCTTTTTGAGAGCAACATCTTTCGTGGAGTTGAAATCAGCTTGAATGAGTTCGATATCGTTTAAGCGAATGGCCAGAACGATAGCTTGGGTAAGCTGGTCGTAGCGCTTATAGATATCATGTGCGGTTCGGAGGAATTGCTGGTCTTCAGGGTATGTCAAAAGGTTCACCATGCTAACCATGTAAAGGCAGACTCGCGGGTATGTATCTTTGTCGAGGAATTTTGGGATGTCTGTGATGATCTCCATTTCACTCATCAAATCCACAGCATCTGCTTCGGCATTGCTCTTCAGGAAGAGGGGTACTAGAACTAGGGTAAGGTCAATGAGATCTTGGTAAGGCTCATCTGCTGTTAATCGCTTGGTATAGACCTCTCCAAGTTCCAGAGCAAGATGCCGCGTGTATTCGTGACCCCATGAGGCAATATCTGATGTGGGAGCAAGCAATCGGAATTTGAGGGTATCTTGTCGGTCTTCGTCTGAGAATGTCATGCCAATCACTGACAGTACGTCTGCCAGTGATGTCTTATCATCCCCAGCAGGCCACTTCTCGTAGAGTTCAATCATAGGCTCGTAATGTGGTCGGAGGAATTTGAGGGGTTTGGGTACGGCGGTCATCGAGGATGTTGATGTTTTGATGGACTCTTTGATTGCCTCCAGAGCTGATTTATAAAGTGTTGAATCCGACTCCTTGAATCATGTTAGCACCCAGCAGCAAGCAACCTGGAGAAAGTAAACATACCGTCAGACGCTCCACTAGCATATCCAGCTCGCTCTTCAGCTGCTGGTCCTCCTCACTGAGCTCCTCTGTCGCTGAAGTGGCTGTTAGCACGAACCTCCCAAATCCAAACCAAGAGCTTACCTCCAACAGCCCCATCTTCCTTTTTCCCATTAACAATAGGTTTCCCATCTTTGTCCTTCTTGACCTCCTCGGTTTTGCTGGGTTCACCTTCTACGGCCTTTCCCTTGCCCTTGTCAACAGACTTTGGCGGTTCGCCATCCTGCGCCATCGTGTATTCTGGGAGAGAGGCTCTGGATAAACTCAAGCAGATTGAGGGTAAAGTACTAATAGGCTGGCGGGGAGGGGATAGAAAATGGCCGTGACGATTTCGAAGCTCGCGGTGTCTGTATTCGTAGCTTTGAATGTTGATGAAGTTCTTTAGGCACTGGAGCTTCCGCGTACAAAGTGTACGGGAGCTTTCACGCATCGTAGTCAGCGGCGCTAGCGGACAGGCCCCGCTGCTTGGCATCAATTTTCCCTGAACATCAGAAAAATAAATTAATTCCATGAAAGCCTCTCAACCTTTAAAAACTCCCCCATAACCGCAAACATGAGACTCGATACCAAGGCTATGCGGTATCTGACGCCCGAAGATTGGCGAACCCTCACAGCCGTCGAAACGGGCTCGAAAAACCATGAAGTGGTTCCTACAGCATTAATCGGACAAATATCAGGGCTTCGAGGTGGGGTACACAAGAGTATATCTGCATTGGCAAAAGTAGGATTGATCGCACGACTCAAGAACGCCAAATACGACGGTTACCGCTTAACATATGGGGGCCTAGACTATTTATCCCTCAACACCTACCGAAAACGCAAAGATGTCTACAGCGTCGGCAACCAAATCGGCGTGGGAAAAGAAAGCGACATCTTCGTCGTTGCAGATGACAAAGGAGTGCAGCGAGTCCTCAAAATTCACAGACTAGGCCGAATCTCTTTCCGAACAGTCAAAGCCAACCGCGACTATCTACGCCACCGCTCCTCCGGATCCTGGATGTACATGTCGCGCCTCGCAGCTTTGAAGGAATACACATTCATGACGTCGCTGCGCGAAAACGGCTTCCCGGTCCCAGAACCCCTCGCGCAATCAAGACACACAATCGTCATGTCCCTCATAGATGCCTTTCCCATGCGGCAGATCTCCTCGGTCCCCGACCCAGCATCCCTCTACGCAGAACTCATATCCATGATCTTGCGTCTGGCGCAATATGGACTCATCCACGGCGATTTCAACGAGTTCAATATTCTGATTAAAGAAGACCCGAACCCCGAGTCCAACAAACCGGAAGATATAATCCTGACACCCATCCTCATCGATTTCCCTCAAATGGTATCGATTGACCACGTCAACGCAGAATACTACTTCGATCGCGACGTAAACTGTATCAAGCGATTCTTCGAGCGCCGATTCCGGTATACGAGCGATGCAAAGGGCCCTCATTACAGAGATGCAAGGAAACTGATAGGCAAGGATGGTGTCAAGAGACTTGATGTATCTGTTGAGGCGTCTGGGTTTTCGAAGAAGATGGCCAAGGAGCTTGAGGCGTATATGAAGGAAGTGGGCGTCGATGGGGACGGTGACCCACATGCTGCTCGGGGCGACGAGGATGATGATGAAGATGAAGACGAAGACGAGGATGATGATGAGCAGCCGCCAGATGGCCCCGAGAACCTTGTTGAGGATGCCGAGGCCGCTTCAAAGAACATGGATAATGGATCAGTCATTGTAGATGAAGCTACCGGTGATGATGTTTCGTTAGCGACCCTACAGCTTAAAGACAAGACGTGAGTCTCTAGCGCTTATATGCAACACATCACAGATTTACAGAGTACTTCATGCCATAATGACTTTCTGGCGGATGAGCTACTTGGGCATTGAGCCATATGCACGAAGTTCTTCAATGCCGTAACCTGGGGCTTTCTGTCCGAGATGTAATGAGAATGTCTCAAATTGAAGCAATTTGCAACTATCGGGTTCAGGATGTACATCATTGGAGGATCCCCGGAAGTAGACTTGCGGATGTTAAGTGTATTGAGGGAGGATATACGAATGCTTGATCAAGGAGCGATCAGCGAAACACGGCAAATACAGGAAGAATGCGAAGTTTCGAGGATTAAGCTCTTCATTCATGCTATAAACAGGTCTATCAAAAGGCCGTGAGCGTACTAGTAGTGTGTAAGACAGAAGAGCAAAGAAGGAAAATTTTTACAATGAAAACGCCCAATACTTTTTAGAATCCGTCCATCAATGTTTTTGACATAATATGATGTTCCATGCCATGAATGTCAATATGCCACACCTTGAAAATACTTTTGTATGTTCCACCGCTGTACCAGGTAGCAAGACTCGAAATATGTTGTCGGTACGAGTGCGAAACATAGCGCGCTATGTAACAGGTATGTATGTCTGCTGATCGGGTACGTGTATGATTAGGGTATTAAGCCGTAAGGGGCGATGTAGCGTATGACCGCGTAATGACAGGAAACAGGTAACGTGTGGTCCTATGGTAAGAAAATGCATAAGACCGCCGATGAAAGATGTAAAGAAGTGCCACGGTATAGACTCTCAGCTCGAAGGTTCAAGGCTTGCAAGCAGATGGAGAGGTAACTGATCCACCATGGGCGACAGCAGGAGCGTCTTGGTGGACAGTGACACCCTCATCAGTAGAGCCGTCGTCCGAAACCGTTGGAGTGGGGCCCGGAACCGTGCTACTACTTCATCAGTACTTGTATGGACTTTGAATCATGTACTGTGGATCATACATCTCCTTGGATTTGCTCGTCTCAGGCTCAGTCTTCACCTGGCGATCAATGTCCTTGAAGTATGGAATGGCATCAAGCAAGCTGCCATGACGATCCTCAGTCTTCACCTGGCGATCAATATCCTTTAAGTATGGAGCGTCAAGCAAGCTACAATGATGATCAGTACAAAGGTCGTCATCGAAAATGGGAGTTTCTTACCTGGTATTCTCTCGCTTCCAAGAACTGCTGCTAGTAGCACGAGATGCGGTGGGAAGGTGTCGGGTAATCTGGGAGGCTCGAGGAATGAGGGTAGTTGGCATTTGTGGAGAAAGTGCAAGCATGTCAGCAGGAGCGCCGTATGCACCGACGTTGTACTCGCTAGTTCGAAACTGACGGCGCTCTGTGGTGATGCGCTTGAGGTCCTTTTGGGCAGGGGTATCGGCATAGCGTACTTGAAGAAGAAGTCCCTCTTCGCCGATGGGCACACCATGGAACTGTTCAATGATATCCTCGCACACATCACGGCTCTCAAATCTGGGGAAGAAGGTCAATTGACATCAATTGTTAAGTCCGCTGCAAATGAGCTTACCTAGCAAACCCAACACCACGGCTATTGTTGTTGGCATCCCGGAGGACTCTGCTGGAACTGACTTTGTAGCCAATGAAGACAGCACCAAGTTCCTGGGGCTCATTAGATACGATGCAGAGGGAGATATGCATTGAAACTTACAGCTTCGGTCATGTTCTTTGGGAGGTTCGAAACATACAGGTTAGTGGAGTTGTCGTCACCCTCAGCCTTCAGACGAGAATTGAAAGACTCCTGTGAGAAGTTAGGGAAGCTCGCTCTCGAAGTGAGAGGGTGACTGACCCTAGCAAAACCAACTTCATACCCCATCTTGTAGAAGCCTCTAATGCAGAGCTCAGACTCACGGGTAGTGAAGTACTTGGCAAAACCGAACCTGTGTATTGTTAGAGCTGATCTTTAGGATGGAAGATAGAAGAACGAAGCTACTCACCCCTTGCAAGCGCCGGTAGAAGTATCAATGATGGCCTTTGATGTTTCAACCTTTCCAAAGCGACCAGCGTATGCAGCGAGCATCTGATCATCTGTATTTGGGTGGAGACCACGGATGTAGACATTGCGGTTGCCTGGCATTTGGTTGGACAAGCTCTGATCGAGAGTTCTCATATTTTCACGAGGAGTGAAAACGGCAGGAACAGCCCGGGGAATGGCTGGGTGCTGCATCAGCAATGCATCAAGATCGATGTTGATCGGGATGGTTTTGTAAGGAGCAAGACCCTTTTGGTCAGTGTGGGCGGGAATTTGCTGTGGTGAAGGGGTAGAGCCGAAAGGAGATCGGTCAATTGCAGCAATATGAGTACCCTGCTCACGCTGGGAGATTGAGCCATAGTATGGGGTGCTAGGAGCAGACTCGTTAGTCGAATACGAACCACGGCGATTCTCAAGACCAGGAACATCTTTGTGCAGTGAATCTGAGCGGTCAGAGTAGTAGCCAGCACGAGCGGAGGGGTAGCCAGACAGCAATGGATAACCCGGAACATAGCTAGGAAAAGGAGCTTGCGGATAGTATGGCAAAGTCGTAGGATAGCCGGTATAAGTGGTGTCTGGAATCTGTGCTGGAGCCATAGTCTGAGCAGAATACATGCCGGCAGGTGCGACCAAGTATTGCCCATCTTGAGTGAGGTAATACTGGAGCTGAGTGCTTCCCATCGTAGAGGCACCAGATGCCATGTTGGCACCTTGAATGGCAAGACCATTAAACTGGTTCATCATGGCCGCCATTGGGTTGCTCTCATTCTGGGTAGCACCCTGGGCGAATGAAGAGGTTTGACCCTGAGAGTCGCGCTGGGTGCGTAATTGCGGCTGGGTGTACATGTTGGCGGCGGAACGAGCGGGGAAGGAGTTCTCGGCGTGAGTCGTAGCCTGCTGGTAAGACATGGTAATCTGGATATTTTCTGTCAGTTATGCAGCGATTGACTGATAGTGAAGAATGTTGTAGTGGATGTGGGCAAACAGTTCGTTGTGGAGTACAAGAATATGGCAGATCGGAAATGCAATGTGAACGGCAAGGGGAGACGGGGTGATAAATATAAAGCAAGAAGTGCAACTGGGGCAGTTCAATGGCATGTGTTAAAAGGATGCAAGGCGGTAGCTGGCGAAGAAAGAAACGGGAAGATGGCATCTTACAGTCACAGTCTCTGGCACAAGAGCGTGTTTCTTAAGACTCTCACAAGGCAATGGGCTGCAGTATCAGAATTAGCAATGCATTCTCCGGATGGTGGGGGCAGGTGTACAAACCTTTGCAAGAAGAGCTGGCAAGATAGGAGCTCTGGGTTGCCTCAAGAAACGCGTGCTAGTAGTACAAGCAGCGATGCTTCGACAGGACAAGAAGAACAAGACAGGAGTTTTAGAATGATCAGGGTAGCGAGTGGAGGTCTAGAAGATAGGTAGGAAGCTATCGAGCCAGATTGGGTTGTTATGAAGAGATTGTGAAGGATTGGTGTTTGTTGATCGAAGTTGATGATGGGGGAAGAAGAAAAAGGGTCGGCGGAGGTGTGCAAGAAGAAGTGGGTTGTGGGGCTGCTGCTGTGAAAAGTGAATTGGGCGGAAGGTACGATGTTGAAAGTCTTAAGCGGGAGAGTTGAGTCGAGAGCCGGTACAGCTGGAGTCTGCCCGAAGTAAACAAATGAGGCAACTGGCAACTTCAAAGGTAGAACAACAACAGAGAGGAGAGGGCCACCCAGTCAATGCAAGCAACACCACACGCTCTTTCCGCACGCAAACCAAATGAGAAATTATTACCCAGCGTCTCGCCTGTCTGGTCTAGTGAGTGGATTGAAGATACAGATACAGATACTGAGATACTGAACAACGTGCAGATGAAGTGCATCCAAGGGGGACAAAGCCGCTCTTTATGGCCTTCCTAAGACACAAACACGAAGAGAGCTCCTCTACACTTGTTCCAGCGTATTTCAGCAGACAGGCAAGCCGTGCCTGTGCAGGCACCACGCAGAAGGCGTTTTCCTTTGATAGAGGCGTTCGCTGTTGCTGCACAATTGCTTGCTAAAAGAACAGAGCAGAGCAGAACAGAATGAACAAGGAAGGGGCTTTCAAGCAAAGACGAACCTGGTGAACTCTAACCTACTACATGCTCCTGCGCGCACCCAAGCAGTCAACGGTCTGGGTACCTACCTTTCCACCGTCTGCAGGGTCTAGTTTCCCACTGCGACTCGTCTGACAAGTCCAAGATGGTCTAATGTTGAAAATGACACGTCGTACAAAACTAAAGAACCCTGGCTGACCTATTTTCCGCCTCCAGATACCAGATACCCAGATCTCCTAATGGCGGATTTAATGTCAGTGCGGCAGCCACAACAAGGGACAGACATAGCCTGTTCGGACGCAACTCCCCTTCTGTTTGGTGTCTCTCCTCCCCACAATGCGGGATTGTCGCACTTTAGCTCCAATACTCGAGGCGTAAGGGGTTATACCGAATGAGGAGACTATGAAGATCTCTGCACGACACTCGGTTGGATGTTGTGCATAAACACGAGGGTGGCAGTGAATACTGTTAGGCTTGAAGTGAAAAAAGATGCAGCCAACCAATTTATTCATCACCAAATGGGCAGTTCTAGGACGTTAATAGCAACATGGACATTATTGAAACTGCCATACCGCAGCCTTGTTTACAGAGTTGAGTCGTGGGGCATGACAAGGTCGACCCTGAGAGCTCCTTGCATACCCAGCGATTCAGATGCTGGCTCTCAAGTAACACAAAAAAGCAAAATGAAAAGCTTAATGTGTTGATAGGCACCTATTCAAAGGCTTTACTGTGTTCCTTGGTATAGGAAACGCAATGGGTGCGGCACGGGGGTTCTTTGCGGGGCACTGAAGAGGCAGCATCCATTTTGTGGTGAATCTTGAGCGTGAAGTGAAGATTGTCGTCATCTGGAATCTGCTGGCTGGTGGTGTAAGAAGACCGTGCGGATAGAGGGCAGGGGCCCCTCTGCGCCACTACGGCTCGCTACCACACTTTCCCCTCCACATTCCGAGCAAAGGGGTAATATCCATATCTACTTCCACCTCCGCTTCCACTTTTGACTCCACCTGCTAAGAGAAGTCCACCTCACAAAGACTGCTGCTACAGGAAAAACAGGTAGAAAACCGGTCGTCGTCCACCGGCATTCTGCACTGACATCCCCGATTATTCATTAGTAGAGGCCCCCATGTGTCTCAGGATCTTATTGGCATCGGAGCGGGCCAGATCTCAAGATACCCCACGATTTTGAGATGTGACGCAAACGACCAGCCATACGGGAGCTTTTCAAGTCGTGTCGGTAGCTCAGGTGCCGTCTAGGCACGGGAACCCCTCCCTCTTCGAGCCGCCTTCGCAAACGCAGCCCGAAGAAGTGATTCGACCGAGAGCAGAGAATTTGGAGAGGGAAGAATATCGACTCAAGACATATCCTTCGAGCAGTGCAAGGAATGACTATATCACTCTTGCTCATGACAAACGGGTGAGTACTTTCCCATTCAGCACGCCAGTGTGTAAGATACCGCGACCCCGGTAGCTGTTTCTGTTTGCTCGAGATGCCGGCGGGCCTCGATACTTGTCCGAACCGAACCACTCGGATCAGTTGAGACAAAAGGACCCCGCTATCAAGTACTATACAGTATGGAAAAAGCAATGCGAGGTTACAGGTTCTCGAGATTGCTGTTGACCCTTCGCAAGCTATTCTACTCTCAGCTATGGCTGCTACGCTGATGAAATCATGCATCTATTTTCAAAACGAGGCAAATATTATTTAATGGGAACCCCACTTTTACGTTAAACTTCATTTCGTCTGACACACAATTTCATTTTGAAAATATTTTCTATTCACTCATCACGAACAACCTGCCTCCGTCATTTGACACCAGAAACTTTGTAAGAAGATTGAAACAACCATGTGCAAGAAATCTATGTAAAAGGTGTGAATCTTTATGCCCAAACAGCCGACACGAAGCTCGTCTCGGTATCTCATTCCCATCAAACGCAACTCTTCCTCCCAGCAATGCAAGAAAGTTCAGATGCCGTAAACTGGTGAACAAGAAGCGAAAGACTCCACACGATAATGCGGAATGGGTTGAAGAACTGCTATTAAATCCTCCATACCAAATTGTATGTCGTCGTCGTCTCGTCGTGAGAGTACCGATTCGAAGTAGGCATCACGACCAAACATCCTCCTATAATTTAAAACATTAGCAACTGCCCGTCTCGCTGATAGAACAATTTGGGAACGTACCTGGTATTGACTTGAAGATCTCATAGCCTTAACAACCTCCTCACCCTTCGCCTCTGGCACACCTCTCTGCTTCGCGATGATTTTCGCCAACACAATGTTGACCTCCCTCGCCATATTTGCTGCGTCACCACAAACATAAAAGTATGCCTTCTGCAGCAACAGCTCGTTGACCTCTTTGGCATATTCCTCCAGACGATGCTGCACATATACTTTCTTAGATCCCTCGCGAGAAAAGGCAGTGATGAGCTCAAACTTGTCGCCGAGAGCCTCCTTGTATTCCTTCCACTCTTCCGAATACAGGAAATCTTCAGACTGCTTTCTGCAGCCGAAGAACAGAAGCGTCCTGCCTACATCCTCGCCATTCTTGGCTTGTTGAGCGCGCTCTTGTACGAAACCACGGAAGGGTGCAACTCCGGTACCGGGCCCGATCATGATAATGGGCTTGGAAGGGTCGGAGGGGAGCTTGAAGTTCGAGTGGCGGACATGGACTGGGACGTGGACGCCATCGTACTTGTTTCGTGGGCCGGTGATGTCGTAAGTCAGTCCGTGAGGATCTGGGTTGGGGTCGCCATGTTGCTTTTGCTTTAGGGCTAGCAGGTAGTTTGTTGTTACTCCCTTAAGAGCATCTGTTCGACCTGCAATTTGCACCGACTCAACGACAGCGGTGATCGAAATCTTGTGCTTTTGAACCAGCGATGATGATGAAATTGAGTAGTACCTCGGCTGAATTTTAGTTAGACCTTCAATGAAGGCAGAGAAAGGAATGGCGGGCCACTGTTCTCCGCCTCCAATAACCTCCAATGTCTGGGCAATGTTCAAGTACTTGTTGCTGATTTTCTCGTGGAAATAATCTTTGTCGCTTCCCAACTTAGCCATTTCTGCCTTTGCATCTTCAGTCGGCGCGAATGGGGCCAAGGTTGCAACGAATTGACGAGAGACAGGAGCACAGATTTCCATATGGTACCGGACAATTGCATCGTAGGTTGTTGGTGCTGGGAAAGGTACTTTGGCTGTTGGATCCAGAGCCTTGACACTAATGACAGCGTCTCGCTTTGGCAAAAGGCCAGTGACGGCAAGGAATCTGTCCACTTCCTTACCTGCATTTGTTGGCCAGACAGCAATATGGTCTCCTGTCTGGTAGCTTAGATTTGACCCGCTGATATCGATTTCCAGGTGCAAGCAGTTTCGGTCTTTGACTGTGAAGATTTCCCGAGATTCGGCAATTGGGGCTATGTAGGGGTTGTGGGCGTTGTATGGACCCTTCGAAGTACCCTCGAGGTGCATCTTGTTGGGCTCTCCAAGGTAAACCTCAGGGGAATCTTTTGTCAATTCTTCCTTCTCGGTAATGCCGAACACGGGCTCGTAAACTGCCTCACGCTCTTCGAGACCCATCTTCTCTGCCAGAGCGGTCCACATAGGGTCCTTCCAGGCTAGAAAGTCTTCTTCCATAGTACCGGCTCCATCATCCCCTTCTCCAGCCGCACCAATCTTGACAGCTCCGAGCTTCTCCAATGCTTTGCTGACGTTGCGAACCATTGAGTTGTAGTGCTCGTAGGTGTTGTTGCCCAGACCGAAAGCAACGAACTTCAAGTTGCCAAGTGGGGGTTCGGAGGATTCAGAGAAAGTCGGCTCATCTCCAGTGATGAATTCGTAGAAATCAACGGCGTTATCGGTTGGCTCACCCTCGCCGTAGGTAGCCAGGACGAAAACGGCGACTTTGTCCTCTGGGAAGGTATCGAGATTTTCATATTCGTAGTCTTCCAAATCTGCCACCATTGTCTCCAGACCAAATCGACTCTTCCCCTCCTTTGCTAACCTAGAGGCATAATCCTCTGCTGTGCCGGTTTGAGACCCGTAGAAGACGACACAGTTCTTCCCCGTCTCATCCATCTTCTCCACAATGTTTCTCGTCTTGGCTGCCTTGTTGCCATTGGCGGCAGAGTAGGTGGAGGCATAGGGATCCTTTGCAATTCCCCAATATGTCCCTTTAGTGAAGTAAGCAACGGATCCGCAGAGGATGACGGCCAGGACAATGATGTCCAGAGTGTCAAGTTGTGCCATGGCGGAAGGTGGTGGGTGGATGTGGGCCCGAGACGGTGTGCAAACAGAGAAGGACAGTATTGAGTTCAGCGATCGAGGCGAACAAGAGGCGAGCAATAGATTGAAATGGGAGACGGGACCGTGGAGATTGCCGACTTAATATTGTCTGGGGATGTGTCGCGAGAGGCAAAGTCAAAGTCAAGCCCCGGCTGGTGAAGTGGTCGGTCCACTCCACTCTGGAGAAGATAGCGCGGAGGACAATAACCGTGTCCGGTTTCCGCCTACCTTACCTTACCTACTGATACAGAGAACACGGAGCTGTAAGGTAGAAGAGTTCCTCTGGTATTCGGGGATTGTCCAAAAAGACAGATATTACAATTCAAAAGTATTTTTAAGCAGAGGAGTCGACGTTGACCGTTTTGCCCTTGCTGAAGTTACCTATTACTGTATTGTCTGTCTTCCTATCGGCGTTTCCTCATCCGGCCGGGTGTACTCTTCGAAACTATCCGAAGATTCTCGAAGCGGGCCTTTCCGCAGTCAATGGTCAAAATGTACATGTATCATGAATCATGAAGGGGAATCATGAGGGACGACTATGCTTTTATGAAAGTCTCACGTGTCTGCTGCCTTGATTCTCTCCTCCCTTGGAAAACATGTGGCAAACCTGCCGGCTACTTGCCTCTCCATATCCGTGCCTAGTAGTTGGTACTGTATCTACGGAGTCGTTGATAGAAGAAACAAATATGCCACCCAAAGGACGCTTTGCTTTGCCCTTTCTTCATGCTTCTCGGGTCATCTGACATTGCTCTCACACGGGCCGAAACAGATCACTTGGGATCTCGGTCCATTTTCGGGCCATCTAATGTAGTTACGGAGGATATACTTACCTTTGGAAGCATGTACCTAGAGTCCGTACAGTAGAACCAGCCGTATCGTAACCTATGACCAAGTCCTCGCAAAGAGAAGGCCACGGAGTAGGTCTAGAGTAGTTCCTGTTCTAGTTCTAGTTCTAGTACTATGAATATTGTACGTAAACCTATACAGTACAGTACCTAGTCTCTCTAGTCTACTATATTTCGAGGAATTAAAAGACCGTCACGCTCACTCTCACTTTCACTTTCACTCTGTGAAGCGTTTGAGTTCTGTGCATTAGCAGTAGCATTTGTAGGTTTTATATTGCTTTCTTTATATTATGCCTATTTAGGGAATCTATTGTATCCACTGAGGTTTCGCGCCCAGGCCGTCTATTTGGTCCTTGCGGGATGCTACTAGCATTTACCCTCCAATTTATTTCACCATTGCGGACACAAGCGGCGATCCCCTTCAATCTCAAGACCCAACCATGCCACAGCATACGAAACCTACGCGATACACCTCTTCTCAGTGCTTGCTCGCCCTGGTGATGTGATGGAGATGTTGCATAGTTGATCACGTGTCGTTATGAGTGCCGGTATGTCCTCTAGTGTATCAGAAACACTCTAGGGGCTTTGGCTTTGGCTCTGGTTTTGGCCTTATCCCCCTTCCCCCCCCCCCCCCCCTTTTTTTTTTTTGAGCCTCTTGATTATTCGTCGCATATCCTTGCTAACTCTGTCTCGAAGCCCAAACACCAGAAGAGTTGAGCGAGAGATTGACAAACAGCTTCTCCCCCACAGACACCGAGGTTTGGAATGCCACGCTGAAACTTTCCACCACTACCTCGAGGAACGGGAACGGAAGGGAAAGGGAACCTCTGCCATCTCACACTACTCCTCATACCGCGGGGTACCTTGTGAACAACCACCCCTCAGACCTGCAAACGCCTCCGCCGAACCTATCACCACGTCTGCATGCCGGGAGCAGGTTGAACGACTCGAAAACGCATAACCGCCAGACCAGCATTGTCCATGGCATACAACATTCGAGAAATGGCAGCTATGCAAGTACTTCCTCCAGTCCACTCAGCCCTCAGATAATTGCCGCTGCTGGTGGAGAGAGGTCTGATGTATCCAACATGGGCGACCATTATGCCTCCACAATGTCAAGCATGGCTACTGGCACATCCTTCAGTTCGAACACGACATTAGTTCCCGAACGAATGACGAATTCTACGGAGAGCAGCAACCATAACCTGACGCAAAGGAGGGTGGAACGTATGCACAGTAATAGAAGCCGCAGAGAACATAGTCACCATCCCTCGCACTCGCGACATCATCATAAAGAGGAAGTCAAGACCGTGGGGGAATATGCTTTGCATGTCTTGTTCACATCTGTCAGTCCTCCGCGTTGTGCTCATCGTAGAAGTCCTAACAAATCCTCGCAGTTCATTGCCCAAGCCGAAGAGAAAGTAAACCAATGCATAACTATGCCTCTTGACCCAGAGCCTCAAATAGATCAAATATGCGGTCTTGGCGCAGATCCGACTTTCGATCAGTTGATTTCTGCTTTGGGCCATATTGCCAGCCAAAAGCCCAAACCTCTGATAGACTCAATGATGTTATGGCGCAGAAAGAAGAGCGATGATGCTAATGAAGCCCGTACACAGCTTCAACATGTAGGTCTCCTGGTCGCAAGGACGAAATCATACTTATCATCTGAACTAGTCACGGAACAATTCCCTACCCGGCCAGCTTATACGAAGAAATACAGAACCACCTCATATGCACCAAGAGGATACCACTGCTCCCTTGCCTTCCATCGCTGCCCGACAAGAACTTGTTGCCCAGGCCGAACGCCGGTCGACCGCTTCAATATTTATATTATGTAGGGTTTTGATAGAGGTCATCGGTCAAAGTACGTTAGCACGTATAACCCCCGAGATGGAAGACAAGTTGGAGAAAATCATATTTGGACAATTGAAAATCGCCGACGCGGATCAACTCAATAATTCGCCGTTAAAGATGGCAAATTGGTTTCTCTTCAGTCAACTCCTTGGAGTTATGAGCGAGATAAATTTCGACAGCGTTACCGATCGCTTCATTGCGGATCTTGAGAAGTCACAGAAAGACCTAGTAGGGAAGAGTCCAGCGAACCGCGAAACCGAAGGATGGATGGAACTTGTGCTTGGGGGTATGAAGCATTTACGCATCAAGACATACCCAGAAGAGGCGTGGGATCAGTCTTGCGATTTCATGATCTCTCTTAGTCGTTTCTTTGCCAGGTCGCATGGCCATCGCCTCAAGTATGCTTATTGCCAAGCACTCGAAATTCTGCTCCTCCCAGTTGCCGCGACCGCACACACGGAATTGAATATGCCAAAGTGGACAGAGGTACTCTCAACCATTAGACCTCGCCTTGCGTTAATGTTTGTGAAGCCTCGACACTGGTCTGTGGCCTTTCCATTAACAGCTACCCTACTATGTGTCTCTCCAATTGAAACCTTCGCTACCCAATGGCTTCAGCTTGTATTGCCATTGCAGCCCAAATTCAAGGATCGGTTTTCCAGGCCCATTTGTTTGCAGGTTATTTCTCGCTTGCTTTGGACCTATCTATACCGTTCATCTGATACCCTAAATGTCACCATAAAGAAGCTTGAGGAGGTTATGAAGCTAGTCTTACCTCATGGGAGAAGATCGTACATTTCGACAGATCCCTCAATTGCGGAACCCCTCATACAAATTATTCGAATCATCGGTTTTAAACATCAAGACTTTTGTTTCCGGACAATAGTCTTCCCCTTGATTAATGCCGATCTTTTTGCATCTACCAGAGAATTAGGCAACTTCAAAATAGAGCAACTAGAACCAGAGAAGATGGTCATTGGCATCAGAGCTTTCCTTGCAATCATGTCAGATCTTGAAAAAGGAGACCAAGGAAGACCGCCATTTCCACAGCATTACCAGCCATTACCATCCTACGACAGAACTCCCACATCTCCAATAATGACGGCGCCGCGAAGTTCAGTCCTTCCACCGCAGCCAACTCCCAAAGTAGAGGACCGTTTGTCCCGTCCTGTTCTTACGAATGCTCTCGGTGACGTGGCGAGAGAGTACTATGCAAGATTTTGTGAGATACTTGGCAAGATCACCATCATTTGTGACAATACTTTCGGTGGTCAAGCAGTCCTTGATGAAAAGTTCAACAGCCCTGCACCGAAGACCCCTATTGCAGAAACGTTCAATTTCGGCCGACGTGACGACCACCTAAGCCCATCAGATCAAAAACAAGGCTTTTATGAGCTTCTTCATGTTGCGGTACAGGCGCTTCCTCGGTGCTTATCAGTTGATATCCCCATCAAATCACTAGTAAATCTTCTATGTACTGGGACAGCACATGTTCAGTATAACATTGCTGAGTCCTCGGCGCAATCACTGAAGTCCATTGCCCGTCAATCTCAAGCCCAGCAGGTAACAATCGGTTTTGCACGATTTATCTTCAACTTTGATGACAGATATGCTACTATGTCAGAAGGCGGCATGCTTGGGCCTGGTCACATTGAGAGTACGCTCAAGCTATATGTTGAACTGCTACAAATATGGATAGAGGAAATTAAACATAAAACAAAGGAAGCTGTCACAGACGCCTCTGAAGACATAACTTCCGAGAAGCGCGGGATGAAGTTGGATATTTCCGGGATCTGGGCTCAAGTCGATGAGCTCGAGTCTCATGGTTTGTTTTTCCTTTGCTCTCAGTCCAGGAGAGTACGCGCTTTTGCAGTCACTGTCCTGCGTCTTATCACAGAATTCGATACGGCACTTGGGCAAGATAACGGTCGATTAATTCATATCCTCGAAGGCGACTCACTAAGAGTCATGGATTTCAACGATGAGCATCTGTCAGTTGCTGAGCGAAGCAGACTGCAGAGAGGAATGCGGAAAAGCAATTCACAGAGTGCTCTGATTGAGCTCTGCAGCAGTGAAATTTCATATGATACTACGCTATGGTTCAAAATTTTCCCGAATCTCATTCGAATCAGTTATGACCGTTGCCCCTTTGCTGTAACGCTCGGACGAGAACTCATCTGCAATCGAATCCTACAGATGTATAGAGGCATTGCGGCCTTGTCAGAAGCAGCTCGAGGTCCTCAGTACGGCTCATTCGACAGATATGAGAATGGCAGTGGTCGTATGCATTCAAAGCCGTCCACCACACCACCAGAAGTGTTGATTGAGCAATGGAAGCTGTATTTGATAGTCGCATGTACGACTCTTTCTGACAAAGGTGGCCAACAGCAAGCTGTGACTCCTACAAGTCAACACAATCGGAAGGGGTCAAAACCAGCACAAGCACAGGACAAGATTACTTCTGCTCGGTCTTTATTCAAATATGTCACTCCGTTGCTTTCTGTTGGGCCTGCCTCTATACGAGATGCAGTTGTTGTGGCTCTTGGGTCTATCAATGTCAATATCTACAAGACTTTACTAGAAGAGCTTCAAGATGCCGTCAGCCGATGTAATGACGATGCAAGAGCTCGAATACATCAACGAACCGCGAGTAGCCCTAGAAGGAATCGGAGAATGGACTTGCTGAGGACTGAGATCACCCATGTGTATCGGTTGACGTCACATTTCTTGAAAGATTCAGATATATATCAAGATGACTGGATACTGAACAACCTAGTAGTGTATACCAAAGATCTCAAATTGTTCCTCATGGACGGAGATGTCCAGATGGATTGGGAATTCCAGAAGCTTCGAAGGCACTATTGTGGCTTGATGGAAGAGCTGTTCGAAGGAATCAATCGCACCAAGGATCCTGCTCGCTGGATGACGTTCGAAGCAAGGAAGTCGGCATTTGCCTTGATGGAAGACTGGTGTGGATACTCACCAAATCAGACCCAGATACGGCAACGGGAAGATAGCATGAGACAATCGATGATCGATCAGCAAAGCCTAGGAGAGCGAGGGACACTTACTGCTGCTATGGAGATCGAGAAGAGAAATCTTCGAACAGCAGCGCTGAGTGCTATGGCAGCTTTATGCGGTGGGCCTGTCAGCATTACTACCGAGAGCCGAGCAAATCTCCAATTCGATATTCGACGTATGCTCTCCTGGATCGATACCATCTTCAATGTCGGTAGTGACAGAATGCATGTCATTGGGAGAAGGGCGCTGAAGAACTTGATCGTGCATAACAAAGATTTTACATATCTCCTGGAGAATTCAATATCGAAATGCTACCTCGCGGAAGTGCCCAAAGTTCTGGAAAGCTATTTCGAAGTAGTGACCCAAGTACTTCTTGAGCATCCTGACTATCCAATGCCGTTCTGGAGGTTGCTCGGACTTGGACTATATACCCTCGGCAGCGAGATGAGCGAGATTCGATCCAAGTCAGCTCATGTTTTGAGAGCACTTGAGGAAAGACAACAAAAAAGCTCTAAGATCCAAGACTATGATATCAGTATATCGGATAAGACGAAAGCAGTGTACAAGCTTGCGCAATTCGAAATATCGAAGCGTCTGTCAAGACAGCACCCCGAGTTGGCCTTCCTGATATTCTCGGAATTTACTGCCTATTTCAAGAACCTCCAAGCCCCAGCACAGCAAAACATGGTGGCTGCCATACTTCCTTGGATTCAGATAATCGAGTTGCAGCTCGATCCGAACGGGGGGCCCACGGCTCATTCATACGTACTGCTTACAAATCTATTCGAGATTACGATCAGGTCTAGCAGTGCTTTGCACAACGAAGTTCAAGCTTTATGGCAAGCACTAGCAACAGGTCCCCATGCGGGCAATGTTCAGCTCGTACTTGATTTCATCATGTCATTATGCCTTGATAGGCGTGAGCAAAATTTTGTGGAATACGCAAAGCAAATTGTCGTTTTCCTATCAAGTACTCCGGCCGGAGTCAAGGTTGTGGAATTCTTGCTGATGCAGATTACGCCCAAGGCCATGATTCCAAATGAGAAACGCGAATTTATTCCCCCGCCACCCGATGCTGTCAAGCTACCTTATGTTGCTGAGCTTTCGGAAGCACTTCCAATTGGGGCTAAGCAAGCTGGCTTCTCATTAGGACAGTTGTCGCTAATTCTACTTGTGGATTTGATGGTGTCTCCAGTCCAACTCGGGTTGGAAAATGTGCCACTTCTTCTCCAGGTCGTTACTATACTCTGGGATCACTACATTCCGCTAGTGCAAGAACAAGCCCGCGAGATGCTCATTCATCTTATACACGAATTGGTTATATCCAAGATCGATGACGAGACTACGATCCCCACGAAAAAGTCCATTGAAGGTTTCATTGAGTCGATTCGACGACACGATTCCGCGGTTGTCTGGGGCTATGAAGACAACAATGGCAAAGTCGACGATCAAGATAACAAAGTTCCTGCAGGGATGGAGCTTCTTACGACTGAGATGGTGAAGGATTTCGAAGTAACCTATCCCGGCATTCAGGAACAGTGGAGCAAATTGTCTTTAACTTGGGCGACTTCTTGTCCCGTAAGGCATCTGGCGTGTCGTTCTTTTCAGGTCTTCCGATGTATCCTTACATCTCTCGACCAATCCATGCTGGCAGACATGCTTGCAAGGTTATCAAATACCATTGCGGATGACGATCCAGATGTCCAGACTTTTTCAATGGAAATTCTGACAACTCTCAAGACACTCATCCTCAAACTAGAGCCTGAAGACCTTTTAAACTTCCCACAACTGTTTTGGACCACCTGCGCGTGTTTGGATACTGTTAACGAACGCGAATTTTTGGAATCTCTTGCGATGTTAGAGGAGCTATTGATGAAACTTAAAATGGCGGACCCCTCTGTACGAATACTCCTCATGGATGGCCGACCCCCAAGATGGGAAGGCAGATTTGAGGGCCTTCAATCTTTAGTCTACAAAGGTCTACGTTCATCGCTTTGTCTAGACCTGACACTGAATAACCTCAATGAGCTTATTCAACTTCCAAATGACGATCTCATCGGAGATGATTGTCGCTTACTGTTTGCCGTTTTGGCCAATTTCCCAAGGTTTCTGCATGCCATGGATCAGGAATCAATCGATGCCGAAAGCATCAAGAGCGCTGGCATACTCGCCGAAGTCGCTGAGGCCAAAGGATGTACCACCATTGCCAGAGCTTTGACAGGATTTGCAGCGTCACGATACCGATCAAGTAAGGACTTCCTCGCACAGCTGGTGTCTGCTTTGCGGGAAACGTTCTTTCCCCAATGGGAATTTGGCAGTCTGACCTTCCTTATGGGTCTTTTGACAAATAGCATTCCATGGTTTAAGCTCAAGACTATGCGTATCCTCTGTTCCGTCATCCCAGATATCGATATGAAAAAGCCAGAAATTGCGTCGTACGGACCTGACTTAATCTCGCCCTTGCTAAGATTGTTGCAGACCGAGTTCTGTACGCAAGCTTTGGAAGTCTTGGACCAGATTATGACTATGGCTGGGACATCGATGGATAAACACCATCTTCGCATGAGCATGACGCGGTCCTCCTCGAAAGCGATCAAGAAGGAATATGAGCGTACACAGAGCTTGTTTGGAATACCAGAAGAGTCAGGCTGGTCTATACCCATGCCTGCCAAACATGCCGAGACTACAAGAGCGAATGTCCATGCAGCATTCTACATGTGCCAGAGTGCAGAAAGCCAAAACGCAGAGCCTGTACCGACCCCGGAAGTCGAATTCCACGTGGACGACTTCCAATATAACTACTTCCCGACACCGGAACGCACTGAGACCATGATGTCAGATGAAGGCCGGGGCGACCGAAACATTGGGGACTTGGTCTTGAAATTAGACAGCCTAGACGATTTCTTTGATGAGCCCCTCACGTCCCCCACCAGTGATGGGCGATCCTCCCGCACAATTACAGAAGCCGGATTTTCCGCCGAAGGCTTCGATTCTGGAGCCCAACTCTATGACGAGCAAACAATCCCCATTCTCCAGCAATCTCTCGCTCGCAGCAACAATACCTCATTTCAAAACGGTTTCACGGAAATGCGCCCACCAGCCGGAAGGGGCGACACGAGTTCCACAGCCATGAATCCCGGCGCATTCAACCTCGCTCCAGGCGCCGCCTCTAGGCCAAGCATGCACTCCCGCAGCGTGACATCTCCTTCAACCAGCACACCGAACAATTACCACAGCAACGTCACAACGTACCTATCCGATGAAGACTACATCGAAGAGGTATTCTCCGACGAAGAAGACGAGCGGTCAAAACCCGTTGGGACAGGCGAAGGTTCCTTCTTTCTCGAAAATATGATTAAACCTCTCGCATACGGCACGCGTTCTGGCATGCGGAGACTTACGGGCGGAAGATCGAGAGATAATGAACGGTTGAGAGACGGGCTGCGAGCTGAGAGCAGGAGGGGCATTTCTGTGCCACCGAAGAGTCCCCGGGTGCCAAAGGTACCGAGTGCGTATTTGAATATGAATCAGCAGCCGCAGACGAAGAATTTGAGTCCGGAATAATATGTAGAAATATAGTCAGTGAACGAAAATTGGTATTTAGTGAGCGATATATGGAGTATATATAGATGGGCAGGCATTGACAGATGACAGATGGATGTATAATAGAGTGCAGGACTCTCTTGAAATAAAACATATAGAAATTATTTAGGAAGCAAATAAATATGTCAAAGACGTCCTAGGTTATGGCAGAAGTGAGATCTAAATGACTAGCTTCAATTTGATCGAGATTTCAGTAAGCTGGAGACCTATTAGTGACGACTAGTCGCCAGAACACCTCGCCGAACAGACTAGACAGCTCTATGCAGATAAGCTCTATACTAAGCAGGCTTTGCAAGATGCTAATAATATCTGGAAGGCATATCTAGCAGCATGCGCCTAGGCAGCAAGAAATTAGGCGGTTGTGATAGGCTTAGTTGTGATGGGCTTAGGGTTATAATAGACTTATGCGGACTTTGTTGTGGCAGACTTGGTTTTTACGCTTTGATGGCTTTAGTTATACTTGGACTTGGATTTGGACTTGGTTAATTGCAAGAAATGATATGATTTTACAGAGTAATCTCGGCGCGGCGGCGCGGCTTAAAGTCGGCTAAGCGAGGAAAATATTAAGCGAGCTCGGCAAGCTCACAACCCCCCCCCCCTTTAAACCTCACTGCCTAAAACATGCAGATAGCTCTAAACATGCCCAAAAATAGCAAAAAATACTCCCCATAGTTGCCTTGCCCATTCTCGGAATCGAACCGAGGATCTTCTCATGTCCTAGAACTCTACGAGTGAGACGCTGTACCACTAAGCCAAACGGGCTACTTCTGAGACGAGTTTGACCAATTTTTAGCTTATTAAAATATATACTAGTATCAAGCAAGCTCGAATTATCGATAAAGAGCTGTCCTATAAAGCAATTCTCGAATATGGGGTTTAAAAGAGAAAATACATATTACTACATAGTTAATTTACTACTACGGTGGATGTAAATTAGTGGTTAGACTGGGAGAATCTTCAGCTCGTTGTATCTGAGGATGATTTACCATTCCCATATCATATAATTCTACGCAGTACGAGTAAGGCATAGCTTATCATAAATACGGCAACCTACTTTGATAATAACGACAGTGCCGTTTTAAAAAGACTACGCCCCCCCCCCCGTTTTGCTGTAATCACTAAGCCAAACGGGCAGTTCTGGTGGTTCTTAAAGGGATTGCTTCGCCAGTGACGTAGGCCGAGCAAACGCGTCTCCCAAGGACATCTCAATTGCCCATATCAACATCTTCTCCACACCTACCGATCTACTAACAACAACCAAATTCTCTCTCCCAAAAATGCCCCTCCCCCGCGCATCCCTCTCTTCCTTTCTCACTTCCGCCAAATCTATCCTCTCAAACCCCTCCAAACACTCTACACCTCTAACCTTCATAATCGGCAACGAATCCGCCGGCAAGTCCTATCCATGCACCCTCCACCCTCCTATACCGTCTACAACTAACTAACTTCAATCGCAAAATCCAGATCTTGACTCCATCACAAGCGCCCTCCTCTTCGCCTACCTCCGCACCTACGCCCCCACCTCCCGCACATTCTACATCCCGCTATCCAACATCCCGCGCGCCGACCTCTCGCTGCGTCCCGAACTCATTCCCGTTCTAACGCGCGCAAATCTCAAGCCCAGTGATCTCCTCACACTATCCGACCTACCCCCACGCTCATCACCCGAGCTAAAACATGCGAGATGGGTGCTTGTAGACCATAATGCCCTTCAGGGCGAGCTGGGGAAGGCGTATGGGGGGAATGTGGTGGGTTGCGTAGATCACCATGATGAAGAACACAAGATACCGGTATCTAGAAGCAGTGGGGATATAGAAGAGCCGAGGATTGTGGAGAAGAGCGGGAGTTGTGCGAGTCTTGTTGTGCGATATTGTAGATCCGCATGGGATGGATTGAGTCTCGAACAGGCAGATGTGGAGGGGGATAAAGAGTTGGCAAGCTTGGCTGTGGCTGCTATTCTGGTGGATACACAGAATTTGACGGCGGAGAGTAAGACGATGGAGGTTGATAGGGAGGCGGTGGGATATTTGCAGCGGAAGTGGGGTGGCGAGAGAGGGGATAGGGAGGGCTATCTGGGGGAGATTACAACGGCGAAGGAGGATATTGGGGGATTAGGTTTAGAGGATATATTTAGAAAGGATTATAAGCAGTGGACGGAACAGGAAGGGTTTAACATCGGTGTTAGTTCTGTGGTTAAGGATCTCGGATATCTAATAAAGAAGACTAAGGATAAGGGGAAGTTCTTTGATATTTTGCGGGAGTTTGCAAGCGATAGGGAGTTGGATGTTTGCTCGATTATGACTACGTCGCATGAGGAGGGCGCTTTTAGGAGGGAATTACTTGTTTGGGCGTTAAATGAAAAGGGAGTTGAGGCTGCGAAGAAGTTCGAGGCGAGTTCTAGGGAAAGGTTAGGGCTGAAGAAGTGGAATGAGGGGCGTTTGGATATGGATAGCGAGAAGGAGTGGAGGAGATGCTGGTGGCAGCAGAGAGTTGAGCATAGCAGGAAGCAGGTTGCGCCGCTTTTAAGAGCCGCAATAAATAGTTAGATAAAAAAACATATACATAGAGCAATTACACCCGTATTAACAACGACACCACGGTATTCTTCTTACGCAAGTAATACTTCGTATCGAGGTAAGTTACCTCGGTAGGTCAGCAGAAATCGGGTCTTTAAGAAGAACCTCGTGTTCAACGCTCGCCTGACCTGACCGCGAAACAATTTCTCTCGTAAGCAAAACATTCATATCCCAGCAACACACCGATGTTTCAAGCCGAGCGGATCAGGCAAATACAACGAAAATACTTTCCATTCCGAAATCGGCGGCTTGAAGAAAGCCCCGCTTGAGGCGTGATGATATCGAAAAGTTGCCCATTTCGAGAGAAAAAGGCTCGCTACTAGGGGGAACAAGAACTGTCCTGAATAATCAATACTTGTACCAATATTTTGAAGCAAAGTGAAGATTCTCCGCTAATAGTACTGTAGTAGGTAGTCGTAGTCGTAGCTGTAGTCTCCCGGTCTGTTGGGTTTCGCAGGGTGAAGGGTGATCATATTGTGAACCGTGCAATCCCGAGCGTGAAAAGTCCCGTCTGTCTGCCGAGTCCATACAATCCCCGGGCATTATCCTATAGACATCAAGTCGCCTCGTCACCATTACAAAATAAAAGGGACATCGTGAATCTGATTTGTTTTGCACACGCCCACGCCCACGGAATCAAAAGGATGGATTCATACGGAGCTACTATATTACTACACGTGGCTGAAAGCTGCCATCGTCGACTCCAATCGCCTGGACTCGACTCAAGCGCCCCACGCCCCCAATAAACTCTCTTTCTGCCATTACGCATGGTCATGTCATGGCCATTATATGATTGCCGCCAACCAGGAAGTGTGCGATCAAGATGGGTCAGCTCGTACTGGAGAGAGAGAGAGATCTACATTTTCGACTTCACTCATTTCCCTTTACTCGAGTACCTCCGTATTAATCCTTGACCGACCGAGCAAAGACAAAACAGTCAGCGCCTGGAGATCCCCACGTTCGCCCATCACGAGGCTGCGCTGTCAATTACCACACCGCTGACTCCCAACCGCACTTGACGCTCACCCGACAACGCATTTTTAATCCCCTCAGCGCGGGGTCGGAGGTTGGAAAGGGGATTTTGTACTGGAAGCAAAGTCAACAGCTCCTTCATTATAGTATATTTCTTCCCATACCAATACATACCACGTTGGTCGGTGTTCGAAATCATCTGTACTGTATATGCCAAGCACAACCCGATGAAAATGTTGGCCGCAGGAGGGACCAAAGAATCGATCCCATAAACCTCAGTCGCGCTTTCCCTCGGGGGAAAGACACAAGCAGAATCATTTCGCAAAATGGCACCGCTTTCTTTTGCCATTGCAGAGACAATGTATCGCTCCCAAATCATCGCGAGAGATCTCAGCGATAATTCCACCGTTTCCACAACTCTGTATACAGCTTCACAACAAACTACTTTGCAAATTCTTGCTTTGACGTTCTCGACTATCAGCGTGGCATCTGCAATACTTGCTTTCTACTGGTTTGTCAAGATGCGAAGGAGTTTCAGGCACGAGTAGGTCTTTGGAATTGCTACCACCACAGATAATTCCTAACATTCGGCAGTCTCATCATGCTACTCATTCAAAGTGACATGTTCAAAGCGCTCTGGTTTATGATGTATCCGATTGTTACCTTTTCAAGAGGCCCTGTTCCTGGCAATTCGAAATTCTGTCAAGTCAATGGATTCTTTCTGTCTCTAGGAATTGAAGCATCAGGTAAGACCCCCGTTCTACATTCCGGCAAAAGCTAATGCCTTGCAGATTTCGCAATTCTCCAGATCGCCCTTCATACCGCACTATACATATTCAAACCGAGGATCTCCAGCGGCGAAGGAGGTCTTTACCCATATCGAAAGTTTGCATACATTTGTTGGATCATCTTCCCGGTTCTCATGGCATCACTGGCTTTCATCAACGGCCGAGAAGCATACGATTCAGAAGAAACATATTGTTACCTCCCCGTTCGACCATTCTGGTATCGACTTGCCCTAGCCTGGATCCCTCGATATATTATTTTCATGGTTATTCTCTGTATATATGCATCGATATATTTCTACGTCCGATACAAATTTCATGGTTTCAAGAGGGCGGGAAAACCCCAAGGCGCAAGAAACAGCAATTCTCTGGATTCTGAAGGTACAGAACGCCCTTCTAGAAAACTCAGTACTCCTGCACCACCAAGTCTTGCCCGCCACGGCCTGATACCAGACTCTCGCAAACAGTCCACAATTGGGGAAGGGCGTAAACATTCCGCGTCGACTATGGGTTCTTTCCGAGAGAGAAAGGCCAGACCACCTACTGGTATACACCGCTTCATGTGGTCAAATATCATTGGGTCGACTAAACCAGCTGGCTCGTCATCTACACCACTCGAGGTACCAGCATCAGATATCGATTCTTTTGTTGGTCCCTTAACTCCACAGCCTCTACCCGACCTGTCATCCGCATCTCCGATGTCTCTTCAATCCCCAGAACCTTCAGAAATGCCTTCTCGTTCTCGAGTGACATCCTGGCGAGATACGATTGTCCGCCGCTTTTCTCCTCACCTCAGCAATGGCAACACCACAGAGCACTCTCTTGTGAATATCCATGGAATTCTTCGACACCCAGATGGGAGCGACTCACCGCCACTATCACGGCTAGAACTCGTCAATTCTCTGGGTCAAAACCTTGCTAATGCGGAGATGGTGCGTACCCGCGACAAAATCCGTCGACAACTCCGATTTCTGTTCATATACCCATTGGTGTATATTGGGATGTGGGTTGTGCCTTTTATATCGCATGTTCTGCAGTACGATGATAGATTTGCAATCAACCCCCCTTTTGGATTGAGTTGCGCAACCACAATCTTTGTTTGTTCTCAAGCAGCTGTCGATTGTTGGCTATTTTCCACCCGTGAGAAGCCTTGGAGGCAAATTCCTGGGAGCAGCGGAAGCTTTTGGGAGAGTCTTCAATTCTGGAAAGGGTGGGAGGGTGCAAGTAAGAGGAAGGATGTTCGTGGACCCGGGAAGACGAGAGGTGAAATGGTCAGAGAGGCTCGAGTCGCATATCGAAGAAGAGACCAGGAACTAGCTCAGAAGCAGGTAGAAAATGGATTGGGATCTCGGGAGGACAGTAACGCTCCGAGAATATTAAAGGAATGGTGGGAGCATTCGGCTGAGACGGGCATGAGTCCTGTCGCCGAAGACGTCTCAAATCCTATGGAAGACATTGTGAGATCAGACGACTCCACTTCGACAAATGCGACTTTGACAAACGTCAAAACGACAAGCGCGCAGGATACAGACGGGATGCAGTAGCACTTGAAGTTTACGGCATCCAATTAGGATCATGGATCCAGTATATAGTACATTAAAACATACGGCTGGGCATTGGCATCGGGTTAACAGCATTGGGAATGGCGTTTCGGCAGGTATAGATGCATGGACTGGGCTTGCATATCTGGGATTGGTTCCGGAGAGTCTACGGACCCGGGATGGCGTTCTTGCATTGGTCGGAATTGCCATGTATATATTGTGAGAATTGTAGTCTGTAGAGACTAAAAAAGCTTGTACACTCTAGGTCGTCCTCGTCGTCAAGATGCGTGACTTGTGATGCCGATAAGTATACTTTCCAATACTCTGATTTTCCGTGGATACTCTTTTTTAGTACCTGCTATATTTCACTGGTGAGGAGCATTGGCATCAAACCAACGTGTCCATTGAGGACACTTGTGGATCGTTCTGATAAGACTAGATCCATCACAACGCAGACATGGATCTCAGCAGACTCAAGCGTGATTCAGAACTCCCTGAGCCACCTAGGTCTTGCATCAGAAGAATCGTTCGGGAGGAAATCAATATCAATGTGACCCCTGGCTCCATTCTAGCTGCTCCTGTCAGCCCTCCGGTCCCCAAGGGCATTCTGAAGAAAAAGACAGTCAATTCTCGTAAAGGCTTTGAGTTCGAGAAATTGCCGACGGAGCTTCGATTCAAGATATGGCAGGCTATTGTTTCGGAACCCCGCATTGTTGAGGTCTTCATTACAGATGGGCACCGGAAAGGTTCTCGTCTTATATCATTTACTTCAACCACACCAGTCCCAATTTGTCTCCACATTAACCAGGAGTCTCGTCAACACGCCTTGAAGCTTTACCAACTAGCTTTCGCGTGCCGCTGTGAAGGCATGTACAAGGGCAAGCCTACTATCTACTTCAATTTCTCAAACGATGTGGCCTACTTCAAGGTCGAGAGGTCCTTTTCCGGCAAAAAGAACACAGGCTTCACCTAAACTCTCTCCTCAATCTTGTCCATGCCAGGACGTACAAGCCGTTCGCATGGAAGCAGCTCAAGAAGGTCGCTATTCCAATCACTCAAACACAAGGCCACAGTTGGCAAAGTTCGGTGAGGTACCTCTCCGTGTTTCCCAAGCTCAGCGAACTCATTATTGTCGGCAACGAAGTCAAAGCTAAAGAATTGTATGAGGAAACTGATGACGAGGAAGAGAAAGCTTTGGGCGTCCTGGATCATGGAGCTTTTATTAAGCCCGGGTGGATTGACATGGTGGATGACCTAAAGAGGCGCTTTGGCGAGCACAGTATCGAAAATCCCGCGAAGAGCGTTCCCCAGCCCACAATCTCTGTCAAGCTTCTGGTCAGAGAAAGTAGACAGGAGATACAAGAACAAGCGGAAGGAATGTATATGTTAGGCAGATAGTGCATTTGCTATGGCTCACTGGAAAACACAGTACATTTAGCTATTGCTTTCGGGAACAGAGATGGATGGCAGTTCAGGAGAGGAAAAGAATGCTTGCTATGTATATTAATATGGGAATATCGCTGAACGAGCTGCACTGATGGCTACTTATACACATTTGCGTCATATATGTCTAGCACTTTATGAATCAATATAGTCAGTTGCTAGATAAGATTTATTTCTTTTCGTGTTTGTGAGTTCGCCTTGGGTTTAAGGTGAAGTATGGCTATTCATTCATTTCGTAATTGCACTGCTATGGTATCTATAACTATTTATTTTCACGTACTTTTTACCACATCCAGCAGTTCCCATACATACAACGACTCAGTCCTTCCGTCCCCTCTCCGTCTTCTTATACTTCAAAAACCGGACCAAATTAAGCACAACCTCATCAACCCTCGCCCTCAACTCCCCAAACCTCCTCTTATCAACCCCCTTCGCCAGCTTCCTAGCCCCCGGCAAGCAATCCTCCAAATGCTTATAAAACCCATCCTTCCAAAACACCTCCTCGTCAAACTCATAGCTCTTATCAGCATATATATCCATAATCGCGTTCAAAGCCTCTACTGCATCAGCTGCAGGGATGTCAGGCAGCGAAGAAAGTGTCGTGAGCAGAAATATGCCGATTTCGCGGTTCAGTGGTACAGGGCAAGGAGACAGCGCGAGGCTACCGAGGACGCCGAGTGATTTCACGCCGAGGGATTGGAAGGCGTCTTCCTCCTCGTCCCCCTTCTTAGCCGCGCCGTTACTATGTTCCGGTTCTGGACCCAGACTCTTCGAAGCTTGATACAACGCCATGAACTTCCGGTGCTCGTCAGCTCGGAGAGTGATTTCTCCTCCCACGCTCCGGGAAACCGCCCAAGCGAGACTGGTGATCGCGGACGCGAGTTCGATGTCGGCGGTGTTGGAGGCGAGGACTGGGGAGATGATTTCGGTCCATGTGCGCTGGGCTAGTGTTGACCAGGATTTTTTGAGGCTGTTTAGGTGGCCGGTTGAGAAGTCGATGCTGGAGATTGTCCAGGCGATGTTGTTTAGTGCTGAGAGGGCGCAGGAGTGGATGCTGCTGTTTGCGGATAGGGATGGGTGGGCGAGGGGCAGGATGGCAGGAGTTGCGCTGCGGATTAGAAGGGAGAGGGTGGGCTCTTCGCTGGGGGAGGAGTCGTCTTCGGATACGTCTCCTGTGACTAGTTCCATGTCTGCTTCGATTTCGGACATGGACATTTCCGAGTCCAGGGCGTCTTCTTCTTTGTCTGCGGAGCCGGCGTCGTCAACATCGGCGTCCATTTCATCGGGGTCAACTGGCTCGTCTTCGAAACCTTCGAATTTCTCTTCGTTCTTATAGTCATGTTTATGACCATGCTCCAGAGCCTCTTGAAGACTTGTGGAAATAGAGGCAATAATTTCGAGGGCTAATTGCAGAACCTGGTCTGGGCTGGAATGGGTGGTATTGCCATTGGTGTCATTGCTCGATGGGCTTGTATTTTCCAGTGTATGGACCAACGTAGGAATCAGAGTCGCATCTGAAGCTCCTTCTATTGGCGTCTTGTAATCTGTCCATTGCATTGCGGTGAATATCTTGTGCAATACACCACATGCCGATACATTCGTGGGCGATCCTGAATCTTTGATTTGCATGAGCCTTTGCAACCAATCTCCATTCTCAACGACTAGTTCCGCCAGTGGTTTGTTGTCTTCCAGCAAAGTTGTCAGACATGAAAGGACTTCATTTTGGACTTCGTTTGGGGTAGGCTCGAAAGATAATAAACCGAATAGGAAGTTGGGAATCGTTGATATCTTCGATATGGCTTCCACTATCTCGTCTTGTGCTTCTGATAGAGAGGAAAGAAGGCCGATGGCTGAGCTAGTAAGGGTCCAGACGAGAGTCTGCTGTGATCTGGGGAGCTTCGAGAAGGGTGGATCTTGTGATTCGATGGTTTGGATAATCTGTAGATTTTTAGTACACAAATACAAGTACTAAATAGCTTGGTATAACATACGGTCTTGACAATTCCTTGAATGCTAGTCAATACATCCTGTCTATACAAATGTATGCAAAAGTCTGCTTCCTCCTCCAGAGCCAAGTTCCTTAAAATCCCCCACCCCGCAGTTCTTGTGTCGAGACTTGAATCTGTGAGGGTTTGTTCCAAAAGTATCTTAACAATCTGTTCCCTTAGGAGAAGCTTCCGGAATTTTGTATCTTCAATCAAATTGGCAATCGCAATAGCGGCCGCAGACCTTGTCTTCAAGTCGGGACTTTGCAGGTCCTTCAACACTGGCAGGATCCGATTCTCGCGAATAGATGCAAGCTCTGGGTCGGAGGGCGGTTTGGGTTTCCCAGTAGGATCCGCCCGGTTCTTCTGTCGAATTCGGGGTTTAGATTTGCCCATATCTCTCAAAATCTTAGAGTTGATATAATTCTGGTGGATGTGAATGTGTTACTCGAATCTACAAGTAATCTTACAATTTTGTAATTTTTTTTTTTCGGTGGGTTGGATAAACGCAACCCCGCGAAGTTCAGGGGTCCTGACTGGTGTGCTGTGCGTACTGTACCTAGCCTGAATCCGGCCGGCGCCTTTCAGCATCGGTCACCGACCCCTCCCCTCCCCTCCGCTCCCCTTCCCCCCTCATTAGAAGTTGAGGTATTTATTTTGCGTCGACGCAGCCATCACATATTAATACCTACGCTTCCAACCTCACCTCAAGATGTCTACAACTACTACAGTCACCCAGACCGAGCCCATCACGGCTCAAAACATCCTGCGACTCTTCCCCGACATCGACACCAGCTCTGCTGGCCTAGACGGTCACGATGAGGAACAAATTCGATTGATGGATGAGGTCTGCATTGTTCTCGACGAGAATGATAAGCCAATCGGAAACTTCAGCAAGAAGATATGTAAGTTGATTCGATCTTCCATGTCGAGACATCTCGCTCACAACTCTAGGCCATCTCATGACCAACATCGACAAAGGTCTCCTCCACCGCGCATTCTCTGTCTTCCTCTTCAACTCCAAGAACGAATTGCTTCTCCAGCAGCGCGCAACGGAAAAAATCACATTCCCAGACATGTGGACAAACACATGCTGTTCGCATCCACTTGGAATACCCGGCGAGACTGGTGTTGAGTTGGATGAGGCCGTCGCGGGCGTCAAGAGGGCTGCCCAGCGCAAATTGGACCATGAACTTGGAATCAAAGCTGCTCAGGTCCCTATTGAGAACTTCAAATTTCTGACAAGGATTCATTACAAGGCCCCGAGCGACGGAAAATGGGGAGAGCATGAGAGTATGCATTGCTTTCTCTTGTTCTGGTGTATCATGCTAATGTGCGGCTGACGCAGTTGACTACATCCTATTCATCAAAGCCGATGTTGATATAGAGCCCAATATGAACGAGGTTTCAGCCACTCGATACGTTGATGCAGATGGTCTGAAATCAATGTTCAATGATCCCGCCCTAAAGTTTACGCCATGGTTCAAACTTATCTGCAATACATTGCTATTTGAGTGGTGGGAGCATCTAGATGAGGGTCTCGACAAGTACATGAATGAGCAAGAAATACGGAGGATGTAAAAATGGGCGTGGGATGGCTTCGGGATATGAGCGACAAGAGATACGAACCGTGGGAAGATTCTGCAAGAGTCTGTAAGAGGAATTGGCAACGATAATCGGTGCAGACACGAGGAGCGATATACCCTATAGGCACATGCAACAATCGAGCATTGCATTGCATTATTGCATATGTACTCTCTGGGCAGAAGGAAGTTCTTATCTTTTGACATCAACAGGTAGCATTCCTCGACCGCTTCCTTCATTGTCATCATTTTTGTGTATTTCTTATTTGAAGTATCCAAGTTCTTTCACACCCCAAGAAGTCTCTTGTTACACTTCACTTTTCCACTTCCTATCTGATCTCCCAATTGCCGTTCCGCTGTTTCACGATTCGGTAGCAAGGACCTAACCTCTCTTGGCATGTCCATGCGGACCTTCACCCCACGACAATCGAGCACTCGCAGTTCTGATTATCAACCATGGAACACTCCGCCTTAATCGACCTCGTCAGTACAGGAAGTACCCTGTTGTGCCGTCGAACGACGTTTCTTCAGATTGGCTATTCTAGGATTACTTGCATCAAATGCTCACGGGATCAGTAGAGCCACCCAGTCGGCGGGTTCTCCGTCCCTATCTCTACATTTCAGGGTCAATTCGGTTGGATGCAAACCGACGATGGCTTCCCTTAGTGAAGTGGGGGCCCCGGATACGCTACGGCTACTGCTGATCCACGATATCCACGCTTTCACAGACGAGGCTACATAAGCCCAGGCTTATCTCTCTTCGCTCTTTCCCTCCTTCACAGCTTTCAATCTTCACAAGAAACAACTCTTCCAAACTCCTCAGACATCAGCACTCAAACGCAGACTATTTGCTATCCAAATACACATCGATACCTCAATCAGACTATCAAACTATTGCTTCCTAGACTCATAAACAGCTTTACTACCTGTTCTTCGATCAAGCAACCTTATTGCAGTGAATTGTTATACGGACTTAATCCGTAACTCCTCACATCCTAGATAGGATACCTAAATATCAACATTGATGTCGGTTGATATACGCCAAAGCCTCAATTGCCTGCGATTTCCCTCTCGATACGAAACTGTATCGAGATCGCAGCTCTCTAAACAACATACAGGAGATTTAACAAGACCCGCTGAAAAACCGTCCTGTCCGTCTTGAAATGCATTTCAATTAAACCTCAACTAACATGACAATTAGAAACACCAATCCTAAATCTTCAAACATAGCCTAAGCCCCCGTTTCACCGCAATCATGGCGCAGAATAGTAATAATAATGGCACTATGACTCTTGAAAAGAAACGCAGCCTCTCCCCAGAATCTTCTGATGAAGTCCGCGTACTCGGCATCGCCGAATATGAGCAAGCTGCCCAATGCCTCTCTGAAGCCTTTGCGGTCGATGAAGTAGCAAGGTATTTCGTAGATACGGATGATATGTCCGCCTACTCCGAGGAGTACAAATGGAAGCTTCATTGCGATATCATCCGTTATCTCACTGCTGCCCATTGCTACAGCGGCATCGTCACAACTATTGGTCCTGATTACGACGCTGTCGCACTTTGGTATTCACCCCCTTCGCACTGCATATAGTCGGATAATAAGCTAACTGGTACCTTGTAATAGGCTCGCACCCGGAACAAACGTCGATAGCTTCTGGACGATTCTCCGCAGCGGTCTTTGGAGACTCTACTACAAGCTCTCGGCCGAAGGCAAGACGCGTTTCTTCAAAGAGTTCTTCCCGCTCTTACACGACACCAAGCAGGATGTGATGGGTGCGCGGGACGATGACTCCTACTATCTCGTCTACCTGGGCAGCAAGCCTTCGGCGCGTGGCAAGGGGTATGCGAGGAAGTTGATCCAGCATATGACTTCCAAGGTACGTACTATACCCTCTATTGCTTCTGCCTTTCATATTTAGATGGCATGAATCCTAGGATGAAGTTGATTTGTGAGAATTACAGGCAGACATCGAGAACAAAGCTATGTATCTTGAATCCAGCTCCGAGACTAACCTACCCTATTACAAGAAATATGGGTTTCTTCATAAAATGGACATTACGCTTGAGCGTGGCCCTAAGCCCATCAAGTTGCACATCATGGTCCGCGAACCGGAGATTGTGGCTGGGAGCTCGAAGGGTGCAGGGACGGTACAGATTGGTGCTTTTTGATGAGTGTTAAGACGGCGAGACGAGTTCTCTTCCTTTTGGTTTCATTGGGTTTGTTAGGTGACAGGTGATATTTCGATTCTTACCCCGGAACAGCTTAGCTGATTGTTGGGGTACTCGTTTTTGGGACATGGTTTGAAGGTCACCGTGGTATGCTTTAGAAACGATGGTGGTTGCTGAGACGATTTCTTTAACACTAGCTAAATCAGAGAATGCTGCTTTTCATCACTATTGCATGTCTTCGTGATCATCTATACAACGTGCTAGCGTCTACTCATAATATTCTGCAAATGCGTCCAAACCCCAGAACGCCTAATGCTTTCCCTCCCTCATACTGGGTAGAAAAGGTGACACTTATTCGAATGTGCCAGGCTGAGTAGGGTATCGAAGCGTTGTAACACGGGCATAGCATATATCCGCCGTAAGATCCTCAATCTAGTACTCCAGCACAGCCCATGTCTCATCATCAACGGTCGTAAAGATAACCCCTTCTCCCAACAACTCATCCCCAGCCTTGTACACATCATTCGCGGGAACATGTAACTGCTGCGCTATAACATTCACGTGCAGCCCTTCATTACTCTGCGTCGACGACTTCAGCAACTCATACACCTTCCTCGCAATAGGCGACATTCTTGTCACCTTACTTGCATTCGAGCTTCCACCCGCCGCACCACCATTGCTGTCCACGAACATCCCACCGTCGCCACCTCCCTCTGCCTTGACTTCAGCACCTGTTGGCGGGCCTCGTGTAAAGTATAGATGCACAGCGGTCGCTTCGAGCAGGTGGCAGCTGATTTCGTTGAAGTTGGTGATGGGCCGCAGGACGTGCACTGCGATGTGGCGCTTGTTGTTGAAAGCCTTGATACGGCCCCAGACACGGAGGTACTCGCCTTCTTTTGGGAGCTGATTCGTGCTATCCGCTATGGCATCGGCGTCAATCCATTGCTTAACTTCAATTAGGCCGGTGCCGTCGTCGAGTTTGTAGGTTGTGTTGGTGGCTTGCGAGGAGACGCTGTTGATTTGGCCGACGAAAGTGATCTGGGTGTGTGAGTGTGCAATTCGGCTATGGGAGTAGTATATCTAAGTACCTGCGTTACATCTGTACCATCTATTTTGAATTCGCTGTCAGGATGAGGTTGTTGTCTTTGTGGAAGTTAGTTGGAAAGTAAAATCTGTGAAGAGGGGTAACTGACGCCTCAATGAGTTGCTTGATGGTAACTGGTCTCAACGTATCTTTTCCATATGTCTTCGCGCAAACTTAGCAGCTGTGGTTTCATAAAGGCAGTAGATATACCTTCGTGCCACCAGGACTATCTTGACTGCCTGATTGAGAGCCATTCATAAACCCCCCTCCCTCGGCAGCGGCGTTCTGGTTGCCATAAGTCGTCGTGGAGTATGCTCCTTGATATCCGTAGTTTGCTATTGCGAGTCAGAATGATAGGGAGCGCGATGAAGGAGGGGATCATACCCATTTTTGTATATTGATGGACTGCGTTGTGGTTAAGAGGAAATAGTCGTTCAGAGAGACGCGTCTGTATTTTGGCCGCGTGCGCGTAAAGTGCTGCGATTTTTGGAACGATCACGTGCCATATAATGTAAACATTACATCCTGCCTAAGGATAACCGACTATTATAGGTTTCCCAAGATGGGTATTGATTTGGGTTCCTCGAGGTCTAATAAACCTAGTCCGGGTCAAATGTTTTGAAAGTCATCTGTTATATTATCTACCGGTAGTGCAGCACCTCATTCTGTATCTAATTTCACGTTCCTTTTCCTGTCCGAATAGATGATTACGGGTATTGTAAAGGTGGACTTGATAATATCACGTATATTTGTATATAGTTTTTATTGGTTCAGTATGATTGAGAGAGATGATGCCGCTAGTTAAGTATAAGCTGGCTAAGCGATAAGACTAGCTCAAAGTGACTTGATATGACCATGACTTCCTCGCGCCTCGGTCTATTTCTCCCTTTCTTAAATGTACATCTTAATTTGCATCAAAACTATCAGTCGTTTGTGTATGAGATCAATTCGTTATTTCCAAGACTGATCCTTCCTTCCTAATAATTTTATTCACAGTTCGGGATTCTTTTCAGGCGTAGGAGAATCAATCAAGTCGTACTCTACCTATTCTAATTCTATCGGTGAAGCAGGTGGGCACTATAAGCTATACCATTTGTTAACGATCTATCGTCACTGCCGTCCACAGTGATCGACTCCTTACTGTAGCTTGAGCCATTGTCACTGGTCACTCTCAACTTAAGGCCGCAGCCACATGCTTACCATGCTCACTCGTGCGGGGAAGACAGGGTGATTTCAAGCATGGCGCGGTAGTCATTTTTATCCTAACACCAAATACGGAAGGAGCTCATGGATATACATGGCGCTTGACAGTTTTTCGAGCTGCAAGTGGAACTGGTCACCAAATGTCATGTTCCAACAAGGAAATAACTGCAACCTCTATGCAGATCAATCACCAAATTGATACTCCTTGCCGTGTGATATTGCCAGGAACGCAGTTGCTCCAACATCGTTTTACGGAGTAAGGTAGCGGCGGCGATGTCCAAATGATTTTAACTATGCCGGCCCTCCTCTATCGTCTTCATTGATATCCGCAAGCACCTCTTGTAGTCTCATTTACAATGCAATTTTTTCAATCTGTTCTATTTGGAGTTCTCGCTGTTGAAGTCGCCGCTGTGCCATTCCCATCAAATCATGTCCTCCATGAGCGCCGAATAGATGCTCCAAAGGCATGGATCAAGCGAGATAGGGTTGCTGAATCGGCTCTGCTTCCTGTTCGCATTGGCATGACCCAGAGCAATCTTGACAAGGGTCACAATCTTCTGATGGATGTGTATGACCTCGCATTCGAGTTGTTCGTAAAAACATGCCCTAACAGCTTTATTCTAGTTCCAAGCACGATTCTTCCAAATATGGCAAACACTACTCACCTCAGGAGGTTGCTGAAATTTTTGCGCCCTTGCAATCAAGTGTAGATGCTGTGCATGACTGGTAGGTTTATTATTATACAGATTTGCTTGACTCTTTGAGGAGAGCTGGGAGCCTAGGAGCTGGCCCCAGAGTCCATATGCAGGCTCCCGAGAAAGCTCTCACGCTCATCGCCTCTTTCCAACAGCTTGAGCTTTTGTCATACTAATATGTTAGGCAGGCTCTCATCTGCTGGCATTGCATCCGAGAAAATCTCTCGATCTACCAATAAGCAATGGATGCAGTTTGATGCTTCCGCTTTTGATTTGGAAAACTTATTGAACACGAAATATCATATCTACGAACACACCAAGACGGGAAAGCTTACTGTGGCATGTGACGAGTATGTTAACATTAAGCTTGTACTTGTCGGTGTTCTAATCTTGTTTCAGATACCATGTCCCCGCTCATATACAAAAGCACGTGGACTATATTACTCCTGGCATCAAGCTTGTTGCTCCTTTCAGAAAGAGCAATGAAGACCCAGAGCTGCAAAAACGCATATTTGGGGTCACAAGCGGTCACAAGCTTCCTCCTCTGCTCAAGGGTCTCGGAATGACCGTAGAGGCAATTCTTGCTGTCCCTGAACTTCTAGTCTGCGGCACTGTTGTCACTCCAGCATGCATCAAAGGTAATATTGTAACTCTAGCTCTACGGCACCAGAACTGATCCTTTTAGCGCTATACCAAGTTCCCACAGGATCAAAGGCAGACCCCTCAAACGCCCTTGGTATTTTTGAAGACCTTGGGGATGTTTACAGCCAAGAAGACCTTGATCTATTCTTCTTGACATTCGCGCAGTCAATCCCCCAAGGCACCGGGCCAAAACTCGAGGCTATTGATGGTGCTACAGCACCGGATCCTGTCCTCGAGGCTGGAGTTGAGTCCGATCTCGATTTCCAGGTCTCTTACCCTCTTATCTATCCGCAAGGAGCCGTTCTCTTCCAAACCGACGACCCTGTATACGAAGCAGATTACGTGTACGAGGGATTCCTGAACAACTTCTTAGATGCTCTAGATGGCTCTTACTGTAGTACTGTTGATTCGCTAGACCCACCATACCCAGATCCCTCGAACGCCACGGGTGCCTACAAGGGAGCTTTGCAATGCGGTGTTTACACGCCGGTGAGTACTTATAATCAGAATTCTGTATCTCCACTAATGCAATGAAGACAAACGTTATCTCCATCTCCTACGGTGGCCAAGAAGCAGACTTGCCTATCGCTTACCAACGTCGCCAATGCACGGAGTTCATGAAGTTGGGAATGCAGGGTGTTTCTGTCGTTTTGGCTTCCGGCGACTCGGGTGTGGCGGGACCCGCAGGAGATGATAATTCGGATGGTTGTCTTGGTACTGGACAAATCTTCAGTCCTGACTTTGTAAGCAGATTTCTTTGTCTAGCGTCCTATTTTGCTGCGTTAGGACTCTCGAAGCGTTTTTCAACCGATGGGATCTTTCTGTTGGCATTAATGATGGTACTAATTCTTTGGTAGCCTGCCACATGCCCCTATATCACCACTGTGGGATCAACCACCCTCCCAGCAGGAGGTAATGTCACCGATGATGCTGAAACTTCAACGACTCGTTTCCCTAGTGGAGGTGGATTTTCAAACATTTACGCAACCCCCGAATACCAGCAAAGTGCCGTCGACGATTATCTTACAAACAGTCCTCCACCCTATGTATCATACTCAACTACGGACAATGGTGCTATTGGCGCCGATGGAGGCATTTACAACAAAGGTGGAAGAGGGTACCCAGATGTCTCTGCCGTTGGTGATAACATTGTTATTTTTAATGCGGGAGCTCCCACTCTTGTTGGTGGTACTTCAGCTTCCGCTCCCATCTTCGCTTCTATTCTCACCCTGATCAACGAGGAGCGTCTCGCGGCTGGCAAGTCGACTATTGGTTTTGTGAACCCAACTTTGGTATGTCTCGGGTCCTAGATTTCTATGGTGTATTGCTAACAGTCTTCAGTACGCGCACCCAGAAGCCTTCCACGACATAACTGATGGCAGCAACCCCGGTTGCAACACGACTGGCTTTGCGGCTGCTAAGGGCTGGGACCCTGTGAGTGGGCTCGGAACGCCTATCTACCCCTCATTGTTGAAGGTATTCATGAGTCTGTAATGTGTGTGAAGGATTTAATGAATAATGTGAGAAACCGATGTATATAGTGGCATCTGGATTGCCCCATGCTCTTGGACAGAATGAGAAATCATGTTTAATGATACAAATTTGTGCAAGCTATATAATCATGACAATTTATTAATGTATCTTATGCTATTACAACTGCATGTTACAAAGGGATACCAATACTATTTTTTGGTATCAAAGTTTAGCCATAAAAAGCAAGCATGCTAGGAGTTAAGGGCCTTCCAATAAGCCAACTTGTAGTAGCAAAAACCGACTTTGCGAAGGTTCTCAGGAAAGTAAGGCAAATAATTGAACTTCCTACTCGACGAGCTTCGTCAGATCAAGCATAAAGCGTCAATCAAAAACACCGACTTGTAACAACGGGCGTTTCGCTCGTTCGTAAGTACCTAGGGACTGCACCTTGCACCTTCGTCAGGGGTAGCGAACACGTGATGCCCAGATTAACACTTTGACCTCAGGCCCTTATCGCACCTTTCATCATCGCGACGACGCGCTCACTCTCTCTAACCCTCATCCCCCAAAGCCGGCAACCTAGAATTATAACCTTCCAGCATCATCGGTGAGCCATGACTATCAAGCCCCAAATAGCTGACGATGATATCGATGCACTTGAAGCTCTTGATACCGAGGAAAAGGAGTTCATCAAAGTGAGTCCCTCCTACCCCACCCCCTACTAGGATCTGCTAAGTTCACCTCTCCAGGATGCAGAAATTGATCGCATTTTGAAAGCCTTCCGTCTAGATGCGTACGTATACCCAGCTTGTCGACCCCTGCTACGAAACTGACCTCTTTCTTCCCAGCTACGCAGTCCTCGACCTCCAACCCGGAGTCCCAGAATCCGACATCAAGAAATGCTATCGCGTCAAATCCCTCATAATCCATCCCGACAAAACGCGCAATCCCCAAGCCCCCGATGCCTTTGACCGTCTCAAAAAAGCACAGACAGAACTCATGGATGAGAAGCACCGCGAACGCCTCGATGAAGCCATCGCGGACGCGCGCACGCTCCTCATCCGCGAGAACAAGTGGACGGTCGATAGTCCCGAGCTGCGGACCGAGCAGTTTGCGAAGGATTGGAGGGAGAAGTCTAAGCTGGTGATGATTGAGAATGAGCATAGGAGACGGAGGCAGGTGAAGGCGCAGATGCAGGAGGAGGGTAGGGAGCAGAAGAAGGCGGATGAGGAGTTGGATCTGCGCAAGAGGAAGAGGGAGCATGAGCAGGATTGGGAGAGTACGAGGGAGCAGCGGATTGGGAGTTGGAGGGATTTCCAGAAGGGCGGCGAGAAGAAGAAGAAGAAGAAGGCGAAGCCTATTGGTTAGGTATGTAGATTGTGGGATGGAGTTCTAGGAATGGTATTATGGTGGGCGTAAGTGCGCTTGATATATATGCTGCGGTTTTCTTGGAGGTTTAAACCATATATTTTACTACAGCTCGGTGCACAGTGCTCGGCAGGAGGTTACATTTCATCGTTTGGGGAAGTAGGAGAATAAGTAGTGCCGTCGCATCCCAATATCTGCTCAATCTCACATCCACTAGCGTGGAATTCTGCAATATAAGGAGTGTCAGTATTTCGGTTCTCAGCAGCGCCAGAGATGCCTATTCTGACAAGTTGCGCAAAGACCCTGACCATTCAATATCATGCGAAGGTCTACTTGCATTATTCCTTTTCTGTTGCCTGTGGCGTACGTGTAGCTTGATTCCCTCGCAGATGCAACTGTAAGTTACTTCTGTGCCAGCATGGAGTCCTTGGGATTATACGAAGAAAGGGATAAAAGGGTTGTTTCATTACAGCCAAGCAAGAACCTGGGTCAAACGCAACTCTCACCGTAGCTTCATAGAAGGACGATACGACAAGTACACAATACAACGGACGGTGCTATGCTTAGGATATAGTGAACGAAGCGTTGAAGATTCTATCTCCACCACAACTGGCGAACCTTGTATCAAGATAGCGTTGGATGCAACAGCAGCCGCTCATCTGAATAAATGTATCTCAGTCTTGGTTCTAGACTTCCTTTGTACCTGGACCGTTGGCAAAAAGAGCTTCGCGAAAATAATATGGTTGTAGAGAGCTTTGATCAATGGAGCCATACAGTACTTGTCGCATCAAACAGTGCCATTCTGCGCTTTGATTGGTCTGTATTTGTGACGGTCCTGTTCCTGGCCTGCTATGCTACGTGCACGTGCCATCTCAAGCTTGGACCGCTGGATCGGCGTCGATGGTCTGAACGTGCTTGTGTCCAATGGTATCCACCCTCGATTTGATTGGCCAATTCACTGTTTTACATGGGTACCTTAGGCAGCTAGTGACGAAGGCCGGTACTGTTCCGTATATTAGGGTCCGTTGCGTGTGTGTGCCGTCTTTCCTCCGTAAGGGCTTGTATGAAGTTTCAATACCTCATTCTTTGCACTGCTCTCGTTCTCTTATGGAGAGGGTGAAACTGCATCAAAAAGCGCATTTCCACACCCACACCCACGACTCGCGCGTGCGTCATTGTCTCCTTTGCAATTCTTCAAGAGTGGATGCGAGTCAGAGAGTCCAAGACCGACTACTAATAACGGATCCAGCACAATTTTCAACCAAGTGCAAGCAAGTGCAAGCCCGTGCCGACAGTGCCGTCTGCCAGTAGCGGGGCTCTAGCAATGAGGCTGTAACCTTAAATCAGCTACGGCAGGGCTCGGCCGCTCTCCGTAGGTAGATCTGGATATTGTGCGGTGTGGTGGGTGGTGGGTGGTACGACTGTGACCTGACGACTATTTATACCGCAGTCGGAATCACTTGTCCGCTACGAATACAACCGAGTAAGTTCCCGAAAAGACCACTGAGATGAGAATAACAAATGAGGAAAACCCCTACGCAGACACAGAGAGATCCTCTTGTTCGCGTCTTCGGTCGGTCGTTCTACGGGGCCGGGGCGACTACGGAACAATGACCCGTTTTTCCCTTTGGAATACCACCGTATATGAGACCATCAGTTTGCGACAGACAAATCAACGAGATAAGTCCGGTTCCAGACTCGTGCTGGAGTGGAAGAGCGGCACCAATTCATAACGTATTAGGCGGAATCGGACAGCGAAGGTCGGTGATAATGAGTGCCGCTTTTTATGGCCTCCTTTTTTTTTTTCAAACTCGAGATAGTGGCATTTTATGGGACCGGTCCACCCTTTCGTGAAAACGGGCCCGAGAAAAATATCAAACCCTAACATTTCACCCACAGTTCTTCCTTTTCTGAACATCAGATGATGAGCTTCTCCCATAGTAACACGTTTTGTCTATGACATTTTATCCTCATATCTTTGCTTAAAAGCTGGCCGCGTCCCCACCCCACACTTTCTTTCGACCCATTAGCTTTTTTAATCTTGGGGAACTCCAGTACTCCTCAATATTCTTAACTCAAAATCTCTACATTGATTTGAAACTGTAAGTGGACATGATGAAGCTCTTCAACAGGAAGAAGGAGGTGGTCGCAGACCCTACCTTTGAGAAAGATGGCGCATCTCCCGCCGAAACTCCAGCTACCTTGACACCGAGACGTCTTTCAGAAGACCCTAAAGTCGCTGCTCCTTTGCCCGCACATGCTGAGGCCAGAGTTACTGTCATCGCCGTTCTTCTAGGTGCTATTGCTTCGGTTGGTGGATTCATATTCGGATACGAATCTGGTCAAATTTCAGGTACGTAGTTCAAATGTATATTTTGCATTTCAGAGCATTGGCTGAAGTATACATTTCAGGATTTCTCCAGATGTCGGATTTCAAAGCCCGATTCGGTGAAAACGGCGCATTCAGTGCTGCTCGTCAAGGAACCATTGTCGGTCTGCTCTCTGCCGGAACCCTCGTAGGATGTCTGGCAAGTGGATGGATTTGTGACAAGTACGGTCGTCGATATACTATTTCCGCCTCGGCCTTTTTCTACATCATTGGTGTTATCATCGAAATCACCAGCGATACACAATGGGTTCAATTCGCCATGGGACGATTTGTTGCAGGATTAGGAGTTGGTGCCTTGAGTACTAGTGTGCCTATGTATCAAAGCGAGAGCGTACCCAAGAAAATCCGAGGAACTGTCGTGGCCTCATACCAACTGCTCATCACCTTGGGTATCTGGACTGCATACATGGGTAAGTTAATCTTTGTCTTTCTCTGCAACCTGCGTTTACTAACAAATCCACAGTGAACTGGGGTACTAAAGGAACCTACGAAAACTCTGCCCAATGGAGAATCCCAAACGGTCTCTCTTCACTTTGGGCTATTCTGCTCGGAGTCGGTATCTTGTTCATGCCCGAATCCCCCAGATTTGCCTACCGTATGAACCGCGTAGACGAAGCTCGCAAGAACATGGCTCGTCTCAATGGCGTTGGTGAGCATTCACTCCTCATCGAAAGTGAGATTGCCGAAATCGAAGCGAAACTCGAAGAGGAACGAGAAGGCGGTGCTACCCGCTGGTACGAGGCCTTTACTGGCGATCGGATGCTGTATAGGATCATTCTGGGCATGGTATTGCAAGCGGGCCAGCAACTCACGGGCGCCAACTTCTTCTTCTACTATGGCACAACCATCTTTCGCTCAACTGGTATATCCGACTCCTTCATCACATCGATCATTCTCGGCTCTGTCAACGTAGGAGCGACGATTGCCGGTCTGTGGATTGTCAAGAATTGCGGACGAAGAGTCAGCTTGATGTGGGGAGCAGCTGTGATGTGCGGATGCTTCGTGATCTACTCATTCCTTGGTCATTTCGGCCTGGCCGTCGCCAATTCGGGATTTTCCCAAACTGCAGGCTACGTTCTCATCGCCTTCACCTGCGTCTTCATCGCTGCCTTTGCTACGACATGGGGCCCGTTGGTCTGGGCTGTTGTCGGAGAGCTGTACCCGGCAAGATATAGAGCAACAGCCATGGCTCTTGCTACCGCCTCCAACTGGCTCTTGAACTTCCTCATCTCGTTCTTCACCACGTTCATCACCAATGATATCGACTACTACTACGGTCTTGTCTTCGCTGGCTCCTGCCTAGCGCTCTTCTTCATCGTCTACTTCTTCATGATTGAGAGCAAGGATCGAAGCTTGGAAGAAATTGATACCATGTACATCCTCAAGGTCGCCCCTCGCAAGAGCGCAAAGTGGACTCCTGCGGATCATGTGATCGGTTCGGAACATAAGGAAGCAACGCCAACCACTGGATTGTTTGTGCAGCAGGAGGAGCACAGACCCGCAAACGAGCCCGAGAGCGCTGTATAAATTGTTTAAAAAGTGATTGAATAGCAAGAGAAAGCGCTGCATTCTACGCTGTGCTGTTGATATGGTATAGCTCATTAGATTATAATAGTAAATGTATATTAAACTCCTCACGTTGGACAAAAACACGTTTTGGGATTTTAGCGTGCCACTTGACTCTTCCTTCTCGACAAATATCACATGACTCGGGTATTCAGCCTCATATCACTAACCCGTATCAGGAGCATATTATCGGACTTTTTCAATCTCCTATAGTGCTTTACGGCCATATGGACAAAAAGAAGAAGCCTCTCAGTGAACGGAAGAAAAAAAACGACACACATTTTATAATGTGCCAGGGAGAAGAGACATTGTTGGAGTTCTTTGTTGTACCTACTGCAAGCGCTCGGATGTTTGTTGTGAAGCTCGCTGGAATCCGAACCGCAGTATGATTGGCTTATAACACGAAGGTCATCGTGTAAAGTTACGCAAAGCAGCCCGCGCAACCTATACCTGAATCAGGACTCGGCAGGAATATTTGTTGCTTTTCTCTGCCGTCTACTTCGGAGTTGTGAGTGGTGCAAATTACGAAGTATTATGCATACCATACTTATTGGCTAGTAGGATGGAGGAATTGAGGATCAAGCCCGTTGTAAATTAGGTGCTATGTAAATGTGTGACTCGCATCGAATTTACAAAATATTGCTCTTAAAAAGTATGATTGAGACTTTCGCAGACGATTACTATATCTGGACAGAAAATGGAGGGAAGGAAGAGGACGGCTTATGCGAAGTACGGTATCACCAACTGTTTCAAAGATGAGGATATAGTCCTGGAGGGAACCCATTGGGTCCCTGGAGAAAAAAAATGGGAATATAGATTTGGAATTGAGGCACCATATGTACAGATCGTTTCGGGAAGGATTGCCGCAGTTGATAGTAAAGTGGAGAGGTAGCGCGAAGAATCGCGCTGGAAGAGTGAGGAGGTAACTTTTGAGTGGTCGAAGGAGACGAGGCCGAAGTGCAATAAAACAATTCATACAACAGATAGGGAAAGAGGTGCGGGATTCTGCATTATCTAACCTCGAGCGATCAACTATTCGGACTTGAAGAAAGCTTGGCCTTGTTAGTGAAAGCGAAGTGATTGACTGTGAGTGATGACGAACACGACAACGACTTGCAACAAAGTGAAAAGTAAGACCAAATGGGAAATATATACGACATGATCCAGTGTTGACGCGCGCTCCGTGGAATACTCGTGCAGAGCCTTCAACGTCTGAATCAGGTCCGTGGTTGCAAGAAGGACGCAATGCAATGGTTGAGTGTGAGTGGTGAAAAACACGAAGCCGACTTGCAGCAAAACGAGTTGAAAGCCGTATTTGGAAGGAACTTCTGCATAACAAGACCAACTTTCAAACGAGTCTCGTAATCTGACAGAAGAATGCGAGTTGAAATGCAAGGAGTGGACCAGGGCTTCGTAAATAAGGCCATAGAAGGCTTGCGAGATGATACACACTATTGAACAACAACTTGAAGCTTGAAGAGGGGAACGCTGAGTGGTGAGACTCACGAGCGCGACATGCAATACAACATAAATTACCGAATAAGGCATTCCATGGTCGAGAAGTGTACACCATATGAATTGGCGTGGTGGACTCGCGAAGTCATATGTGAGGCCAAAGAGAGAGATGTGGGTGTGAAGATTCCCGAGCAGAATTAAAGAGTAGGCGCTGAGTGGTGCAGAACACGAGCACGAAACGCAACAAAATCCAAAGAAGGTCTTTGCATCGTCTAGGTAACATTGGAAGCTGTAATCTACTAGATGTCTTTTTCAAAAGAGGATACAGAGAAAATGTTTCATGCGAATACACTTGAGGGAATGAGAGAAACTCCGATCAATCACTGACTGCCTACAAAACGTACTTTTGTGACCGCCGATACATTATTCATTTCCTTGTATTACCCTTATCACAAATCGAGGGAAGGAGCGATCTGCTGTGAGGACTTTGCATTCTCTAGACCAGAGAAGTCCCAAATACTCCAATTGCTGTCTACTATCTTCCACGACGTTTACATCTCAGCTCTAACAGCTTCACCCCGTCATATTCCCCACAAACTCACGGCAACCCCTCTCTCCCCGCCGTGTTTACTCACAAGCCCCTTCCTCCTAATTGACACCAACGACCCCTTTTATCCTGGCCCTTCACATCAGAACTAGCAGCGCACCACAACGCATTCCATGAGCCTTTCTCCAGACCCAGCACTCTGAGCTCTATAAGCAGCTGAATGGGCTTATACCAGAGTGAAATTAGGCGCCTTGGGATGGCCTTCAAACGTCCTCATACTTCTAGAACATAGACTCAAACCCACCTACTATAACACCATACTGCTCTAATGAGAACTGAATGGAAATGCGATGTGTGATGAAAAGCGCCGCGTTTGGCAGAAATGGGATTGGTCATGAGGTGGAAACGACTTACAGCGACGAACCAAGCATGTTTGCGCCACTTACAGATACTCATCTTCACAAAGGGCGCCCGACATGATAGAACCACAAAGCTAACCATCTCATTCGTCTGGAGCAGAAATCCTTAACTCCATTCACCTATGAAGGCTCCATATCTATATGCCTAACCAAGTCTTCCCTCTCTCGTAAACATAAAAACTGACTGCCGCCATCGGCACAACCTTGACATATCCAATTGTCAATCCAACGAAGAACCCAGACATACCCCTCTCTTTCAGAATCAACTTTGCAGTCTCTCCAATGCCTAGTCTATGCCCGTCTCCTACAGTACCTCCGACCTGCATTCTCCTCCTAATCACTTCTAGCGGGTATGCTGACGTCTGTGATACCAGCCCTGCTACCCCACCTGCCAGGAGTTCTGCCCAGTATCGGAGAGGAGCCGGTTTGTCCTCAGGAGAGTTTTGGGGCTTGGGCAGAGTCGTGTGGCGAGAAATTAGGGGGTGGCGCAGTACATCGCCTGCTGTGTCGTGCGTGAGGAATGACACTCCGGCATATGGCAACATTCCCATTATCGTCGCAGAGAACCCCCTATAGAAGTTCCCGAGTCCAGAACTAGGCGTTACAGCTCGGACTACCGTCGCCGTAGCTGCTATGACTGCAGGTTCGGAAGAAGTGGGCCGAAGAGGTGGAGGCGCTTCGTTGTAAATCCGTTTGCATATTTCAACCAAGGAGGATCGCGAATCGTGTTTTGTCTCGAAGGCCAGGCGAACTCGGATTACTTCGAGTGGGTATGTGAAGAATACAGAGGTTACACCTGCCATAGAACCTGATATGAGCCGTCTAAAGGGAGTTTCGTGGTGGGGTCCTTGGATAAAAACTGAGCGGATTTGCTCATATGCTAGGAATTTGATAGCTGCGTAAGGAAATATTCGAAGAATAGTAGCAGAATGCCCGCGGTATAGTCCTAAAACGCCGTCCTCCTTGTAGATAACTTTCATAGCCCCTACAACACCGAACCAAGACCCGGTGTATTTCGCAAACTGAGGATTGCTGGCTTGGAAGAGAATCTTGACTCGGTCGAGAGGCGCGACTAATGTTTTGGCCTATATATATCAGTACCATTGAAGCATGCCAGCTAATTCTAGATTCAACATACAGCAGACCCCGCCAACCCCCCCGCCACGCCAGTCTTCCATATGTAGTCGAGACTCTGCTTCTGCGGCTTCCGTGCCTTGGGCGCTATGGTATCGTCGTCTGTGGGACATATTGCCGGTTCTTTTTTGTGCGCATCGTCCATCTCTCGTGATTTGTCCTGGAGCTTCGCGGGAGGAGAGACATTGAAGAGGGCCGAGGGCATTCCTTGCCGCCCAGCAGGCTCTCAGGTATTATATTCGGGCGTTAAATTGGGTGGTCATTCCGTCGCGGTAGGTATACAATGGGGGAGGACGGTTAGCAGTTGTGTATAAGTATATTTTCGTTTGGCGGTTGATGCTGCTGATGTTTGCAAATGACGCTTTAACTCCGGGTGCGCTTTGCCTCGGGTGTAGCATGTCGGCGGCACTTTTCGGCAGAAGGGAGAGAGTTGTCTCCCGCTCTTTGTGTTCTCTTCTCAAGGAGTCATGTTGATACTTATATAATTATTAAAAATCTGAAGACGATTTATAATCTATAGTCCATCATGATTGCAAAAAGGCAAAGGTGAGAAAATTAAATTTTCGATGCAGCACGTGCTTGTTCATTCCTCTCTTAGACTTTGATTTTCTTGTCTCGTCTTTCACTTCCTTCACTTACTTTTTATCGAGCGAATCAACATTTTTGTATATTTTACTGTTTATTTAATGGCACCATGTATCCTCTACCGGAATGATGATTCGGATGTCACTTTGCTCGACATCCCTCGTTCCATCGAGTCAGCTCAAGGCGACTCGACTAAGAGAATTATCTCCTCGAGTCCATTAGAACATCCATATCCTTCAGTTGAGCCAAAGTCGGCGAAAGCTAAGGCAAGACTGGGAGAAGTTTCAATAGAAGACCTATTGCTTCAAAAATATGTGCAACTTGCTTTTGATGGATTGAGGGAGTGTTACCAGGGGCCATGGTGCCTTCCTCGTGCAACTGGGCATCCTGAGATACTTGCCCGGGGGAAGAAACGCAAAAGGAAGGAAATATTAACAGACGAGACGGGTCAAAATGATCGCGAGTCTGATCAGCTCAAACATGAATATCTGGTATCAGATTCCATACAGAATAATGTACATTCATCACTGATCAGCAACCACAATTCCTCCACTATATACCACACGACTTCCGACGGACTTCGTGCTCGATTACCCCCACACGCAACAGCTTTATATGGAGATATAACTACAACACTTGAGACTTTCACCCAGTCAGCTCCCCACTTCAAACTTATAATTATGGATCCTCCATGGCCCAATCGGTCGGCACGACGGAAGAGCTCATATTTTATTTCTTATTCCACTCCTGAAATCAATACTTTGCTATCCTCAATCCCTCTCAATGACCACCTAGCCGAAGATGGGTTGGTGGCTGTATGGGTCACGAACAAGGTCGTGTTCCGTGATATATTGCTGCAAGAGGGAGGTCTATTCGATGAGTGGGATATTGAGTTGGTGGAAGAGTGGGTTTGGGTGAAGGTTGCTGTCAATGGAGCGACGATTTGTGCGCTAGACTCTGCGTGGAGAAAACCATATGAGACTCTGCTGGTAGGATGCAAGAAAGGAAAGAAAAGAACTGGAAATAAAGATGTGAAAAGGAGAGTCATAGTCGCAGTACCTGAGCTGCATTCGAGAAAGCCAAATCTCAAAGCATTGTTTGAGGATATGATGGGGACTGAGAAGTATGAAGCGCTGGAGATATTCGCTAGGAATTTGACGGCTGATTGGTGGGCTTGGGGGAACGAGGTCCTGAAATTCCAAGCGGATGAACATTGGATTGACGAAACCGATCTTTAACACCCTATACTCTGAACATGGTATTTATACATACTCTACACCCATATCTACCGAATCGTAACAAACTCTCATTCGTCATATTTTAACATCTTTCTCTACCTCCACCGCTTCCCCATCATCTTCCCACTGTGACGCCGCTGGTGTCCAAGTATCCTCCCCTCTCAGGAGGGCCTTTGCTTGTTCTGCTATACTTTTACGCTCCGCTGTTGGCTTCTCACGTATATCGGGCCTGAACGTAGCTTCTGTCGCCTCACGTTCTTTCTTCGCAGCGTCATGAGTATCTTTATCCCACCTACAGCACTCCATTAGCATTCATCTCCCTTCCAAGTCCAAATGCCATTTCCAATCTCTCCCACAGTAGAACTGTAAAAGGAATAACGTACTCATCAAAGTTTGTCGGCTCTTCAGGCCACACAAACGGCTGCTCCATCTCTATCATCATCTTCTTAATACTCCTTGGTCTGAACCACCTCCGGGGCGCCGGTCTCTTCGCACCCGGTTTATCCTGCCTTAACTTCTGCTGCTGGATATAAGACCGCACTCCTCGTACGGGTACCCCGTAGACATTCCACATGTAATCACGTAGGTCGAGCTTGTTGAGGTTTAGGGGGACGATGAAGGATGCAAAGGTGGGAGGGAGGTTCGGCGTGCGGAGGAGAGTGAGCGTGAAATTGGGTCTGCGAGGTTAGCATCTGGATCGGAGCTGGGTTGGGTTTGGATGGGATGTGACTGCGTACAGGAAAACTTGTTTCTTTCCTTGAGGCGATTTTCGCACAACTGATCTGACCACTGGGGCCACAGCCGTAGCGGCGGTCGTAGCCACTTGAGGGGCGGACATAATGGTGATGTTCGAAGGACGTGAAGTTGTTGATATGCTCTATGTAGAAACCATGGGTAAGGCTAAGCGCATTGGAATAAAAACTAGGCGCGCTGTAGATTAGGCGCTCGGATATAATGGTTATCCGGATAAAGGCATAGTTTCGGGACTTCAGCGGCACGACGTAACTACCTAGGTATAAGCTATTGAGCCAGCATCAGTACTAGTATATAGTAACGTCAGAGGTGGGGTCCTAGTCAATTCCCCTCCTAAATCTCCTTTTACAGGTCCTTCAAAATTATAAATAAGCAGTTTTCTCTGTCTCTCCAATTACTAAGTCAGCTTGTATATCTTCCAGAGTCACTCATATCTTCAATCCAAGTCACAATGGCATCCAATCCTCCCTCACAGTGTTGCACCGTTGGTGTCAAGCATGAGTACATTCTCAATGTCCCAGCCAAAAACAAATACTGATCGATCGACTCCTACAGCGGCAAGCCAACCGGCAAGTCTATTAAGATTGGAGGTATCGATGCCTACGTTGCTGAGCCTACTGGCAAGACTGTTCACAAGGACACTGCTATTCTCTACCTCCCCGATGTAATCGGTATCTGGAAAAATTCCCAGTTGATGGTGGATCAATACGCTGCGAATGGCTACTACACCATCATCCCTGATATTTTCAATGGGGATGCAATGTCTCTTAACAGACCCGATGATTTTGATTTTATGGGTTGGTTGACTAAGGGTTCCGATGGAAAGAATCCCCATACCGTTGAGGCGGTTGATCCTATTGTTCAGAAGAGTATTGAGTACTTGAAGGAGCAGGGATTCAAGAAGATTGGTGGTGTAGGATACTGCTTTGTGAGTTATAAATCTGTGTGCTATATATAGAAGGAAGTTAATAGAATGGATAGGGTGCTAAGTATGTTATTCGCTTTATGCCTAAAGGTAAGGGCATTGACGTTGGTTACACTGCGCACCCTTCGTAAGTTTGCTTCCTACCCCCTCTAGTACTTTCTTACTAACTCAGACCCCCCAGTTTCGTCGATGAATCCGAACTCCGTGCCATCGAAGGCCCTCTCTCTATCGCCGCCGCCGAAACTGACGAAATCTTCCCGACTGAAAAACGTCACCAGTCAGAAAAAATCTTGGCTGAGACGAAGCAGCCATACCAGATCAATCTGTACAGTGGTGTTGTCCATGGCTTTTCTGTTCGCGGCGATCCGAGTGTCAAACACGAGAAGTTTGCGAGGGAGAAGGCGTTCTTGCAGGCTGTTCAGTGGTTTGATGAGTATTTGATATGACTGCCTACAGCTAGTACGATAAGACTATAGGTATAAATGAAGGGAATAGGTTGACTCCGTATTTACTAGGCACAAGGGGTCAGCTAAAACTATGACCAAGTGCAACAAAGTAGCACAAATCAATGACTGTCTTACTCAAAACGAAAAGGGGGTGTGATAATCCCTCCTGTTTTTGAGCTTTCACATCTATTAAAATCTCTGAATCTGCTCTGAATGTTTAATGAAAGTCTATTGTGGTAGCTATGACTTGCTCTAGATTCTATTCTAGTATGCCGACTTCGTTCTATGTCACAAACCCAATCAATACAGAGCCCACCCTCCACTTGCAGAGATTGTCTGCCCAGTAACCCACCTACTGTCTCTCCCTGCCAGCCACGCCACAATATCAGCTACCTCCTCCGTAGTCCCCAGCCTCTTCTCAACAGGCGTTTCCCCCTTCTGCTTCTCCACAATCTCCTTCGGGATATTCTTCAACATATCACTGTCCACAGGCCCCGGATTGACCATATTGACCGTCGTTCCATTCCCACCCAGCTCAACGGCCCAGACCCTGGTTAAGCCTTCAAGTGCTGCTTTTGACGAACAATAGAGGCTGAAGCCAGCAAAGCCCACGCGTGATGCTACTGAGCCGATGTTGATTATGCGGCTATGGGGCTGTAGATAAGGGAGTACGGCTTGTGTCATGAGCAACGTACCACGAACGTTGAGATCGTAGACGTGAGCGAAGTCTTGGGCCGTGAGATCTCCCAGCTTTTTGTTCATCTCTACTCCGGCGTTGTTGACCATGATATCAATCTTTGGATCTCCGCCTCGCCAGTCTTTAATCGACTGAACAATCTTATCAGGAGAATCGACTTTTGTGAGGTCGGCTACCACGCTATGGGTGCTGGGTTTGTGGGGTAGGAGACTGATTTTTGAAGAGAGAGATGAGATGAGAGTGCTGCTGGAGGGAGATGTGTATGTTAGGACGACGTCGGCCCCTCGTTTAGCGAGCTCGTAGGCCATGCCTGCTCCGAGACCTCGGGAAGAACCTGTTACTATGGCTGTCTTTCCCTTGAGGGGGAGATATGCTTCTGAGGATGACATGGTTGTGCTGTGCTCTAAGAAATTGTAGTTGCTTGAAAATGGCTTGAAAATAGCAGTGGAAATGAGAACTTGGCTGTTCAGACTGGGATGGAAAAAAGACACAAATAGACGAATTAATGGAAACGGAACGAGAAACAGGACATCCATACTCCCTTTTATACTTATCGCAATTGATCGACTCTCTAATGGCCATAGGAGAGGATAGGATGCTAAATGATCTGGGTTTTAAGACCGATAAACTTATTCGGCGTTAAGCCAAACTCGCCCAACGATTGGTCACAAAAAGCGGCATCAACGTGGGACATGTCACCCAGCTTAAAGCTTTAAAAATTAGTGCCGCTTTTTTGGTGCGGTCCCGAGGCTTCCTTATCACGTCTCTCTCTAAAAAGCTTTGCTATCAGAAAGGGGACAAGATTTCGAAGGGCTGAGATCACTCTTGGAACTCTTGACTTTTTGAACTCTCCTACCCTCACCAGATTATTGCCGATCGCGAACAACGAAAGGAATTTTGTAAAGGGTGACTACTTATGTCCCTGTCTGTCATCATTGGTGAATCAAGCTGTGCTCCCTCCTCCCAATTTAATAACCCCGCGTTACAAGGCTAACCTACCGCGCATCAGACAACTCTACAGGTCAGGCATCTTGAGTATAGAGATCGACCCAGTTTGTCCCTGTCCATGAAACGATGTCTTCAGGGTCTGTATTCCAATCGCATCCACTCAGTGGCCACACAATTAATTGTTTTGCGCAGATCCTTCAAAGACCTCACCAAGGCAATCCATTCCTCAATCTCGAAACCTTCCCTTCCACTACCAGACGACCTCGTCGAGATAATTCACGCGTACCTCGAGAAACACGATGAATCCGATTCTCAGCGTCTGCAAGAAGAGCTCCTCAATACTTACGATTCGTACATCCTTGATAAAGCTTCACGCTTTGCGACCTTCCTTGCAATCCTCCGCACACTCAAGCCTGCTCTTCGCGGAAATGGCAGAATGTTACAGTGGTGGGACAAGCTTTCTACGCCGGTATTGATCAACTTGGGACAAGAAAAGGGTCTGGCAGTGGAAACGCGAGATACACTGCTAGAGATCCTGGCGTACGATGAGGATGACCCCGAGATCGAGGATGCAAGGTTGACGAGCAATGTTATGGCCCATAGCTTGGTGGAAACTTGGTTGGAGAAATCTAGATTTGCCTCTGAGGAAATGGACAACCATGATCGCTTTGTACAAGAACAGGTGCAGTCGATCTTGCTGGCGTTTGGGAAGAAACGTCCACAGGTATGCGCCGGAATTCGAGAGGTGGTGGTTAACTAGTTAACGATACTGACTGCTGCAGGATTTCTTGAATACGATCAACAAATACTTTGTGAGTAAAGACAACAGAATTCTTGCACTCGCTCTGCTCAGCGAATTCATACGCTACCAACCTCCACATCTACATCTAGTAGGAAACCTCTTGTCTCGATTCATGTTTCAAAGTACTAATGGATTATAGATTCTCCAAACTCCTCTGTTCGAAAATCTCCTTCGATGTCTTCAAACAGATACATCAACTAGAGTTATAACTTTAGCTATGACACTTTTGATAATGCTCTTACCCCACATACCCAGCTCCATGTCCAGATATCTTCCTCCACTTTTCAATATATACAGCCGAATGCTATTCTGGGATCGAGAGCGTAGGAGTCCGCAAAAGGAGATGCATGATAGTTCCGACGAAAAAGATGAACCCGCCCAGCAGCCTGTAGAAGCCGACAAGTCTTGGGATAAGCTTTCGTATTTGCTGGAGTCAGATGACGAAACAGTTCCAGAGCTTTTACATTATTTCACTTTCTTATATGGACTCTATCCTCTCAACTTCATGAGCTATATCCGAAAGCCTCAACGATATCTCAGGCATGCGAATTTCCCAGGTGCAGATGATCTCGATATCGAGCCTACGGAGATCAGGCAACGAACAGAGCCGTTCAGACAGGTTCATCTCATGCACCCCAACTTCTTCACAATGACCATAGAATGTGAACTCAAGGACCATAACCGCTGGATGCCAATTGAGGCAGCAGATGTTGTTGCTGAGTGCATGGCTTTATACAATCCGACGGAGGACCATCCCATGTATGCATCAAGATCAAGAGGCATTGCGAGAAAAGCCGATCCCAATTCAGACATCCCGGAACAGTCGTTACTGGCTAACGAGGATGATACACCGTTCCAATCTCGACATCACAGCTGGAGGAACACGCAGTCTACAGCCGTAGCGTCTGCAGACGGGTTTCGAGGCTCCGGTCTTCACAGGAAACTTTCACAAGCCAGTCAATCCATGCCCTCAATTGCCGATTCTCAAAGCATACACGCTTCCGAGCGACTTGATAGTCCAACATTGCCAGCAACGATGCTAACTTCTCCGACTCACAACCAACTCCACGATCTATTAAACGGCGCCAAGCCTGCTCGTACCAGTTTCTATCAAGCACTTACTAACGATTCGGTTGCATCACTGGCTCTTTCGAACAACAACGATGCCAGTTCTATTCATGTAGATGCATACTTAGCTTCGCTGTCTCGCGACACAATACCCAGATCCCCAGGTCTCCAGCCCGCGAACGCAGACCCAAGCCTCAAAGTCGCCTACCTTCATCGCGAAATCCAGCTGCTGCGTAACGATTTGAACTTTGAGCGATATCTGAAGCAACAACATCTCTCACACATAGGTCAGCTGCGAACGAAGCAAATTCGAGAAGCGAGAGTCGAAGCCGAAACCCAGAATCTGATTAACGGGAATCGAGTCCTCAAATCTAAACTTGAAGAAGCCAAACGCTGGAACATGCAAATCAAAAAGGAGACCGAGAAGAGCAAAACGCACTCTAGGAATTGGGAGAGTGATCTGACTGCCAAGCTGAAAGTCTTGAGGGAAGAGCAGAAGAAGTGGCATGTTGAGCGGGATGAATTGAAGGGGGACTTGGAAAAGGCCAAAGAACGCACCGAGAAGCTGAAGCAGTTGGTGATTAACAGTGAAGCGAGGGAGCTGTCTTCGAGACAAAAAATCCAAATCGTGGAAGCAAGTCTAGATGAGTTGGAGCGTTTACGAGGCCAGGTCGAGAAGCTGACACTCTCGGTGCGGACATACGAGGCTGGCGAAACTGAAGCTGTCGAAGCAAAGGAGGGCGAAGAGGCCGCTTTGAGACGGGTTTCAGAACTGGAATTGCAACTCAAAGCCCATGATAAAGCACACCAGGAAGCCAGACTAGCCTTTGAGCGCGAGATCGAAGCTTTGCAGCCTAAAGACGAAGAAGAGAAGTGGCAATGCAGGAAAGATGGCATCACTCAGGACATGCTTGACAGTGCTATGGAAAACAGCCGAAGTCAAGTTTCAGTGATTCAAAAAGCACATAGTCATTTACTCAAACGGTTCACAACCCTCCAATCAGCATACATGGACCTCAGGGAAATACAGGACAGCGGCGCGGATGAAGCTCTTCTCAGCCAAGGCATTCAGGCTACCAGACCCGGCCTCAGTCAGCCCAGCTACGGTATTTCTGGAAGCCACACATTTACCGATTCAGATGCTGAAGGCTCATCAAGTAAACCCCCTCGGAAGAAAGCGGTGAATTCCTTTGGTTCTAAGGGTTCCGAGTCGCGCAGTACGGGGTATCATTTCCAGTCTCCGCAGCCGTATAACCCTGGCAAAACTAACACGTCGGATGGTGATACGACCTCTCTGGACACGCTAGGGAATGTGAAGCCCAAGATCAAGCCGCAGAGTGAGGTCCGGGTATATGGGCGAGGTATGTTCCTACCTATTCCTTATTCTTGTTCTATTATTTATCAACTCGAACTAATACACGATTATAGGAGGTGTTCAAAATATAGGCAAGAAGGATAAGGAGAAGAAGGAAAAGGAAAAGGCGAAAGATGCCGTGAAAGACAATACTGACGCGAAGAAAGACAAGAAAAGCGCGGGGATCAGGGGAATTAGGGGATTTGTGTGAAAATCAGGAGTTTGCTGGGAAAATGCGGAGTTGGGGAAGGGAGGAAAAGTTTGGTTCTGTTCTGGTGGTTCATTTATGAGCGAGGGCGTTTGGGATGGTTTGTATAGGTTGTAGTATAGGGTCGATATCTATTGGGAACTCGAAGGCAAAATTACCTAAGCTTGTCATGTATAGTAGGAAAAGCTGGCTCATCATCAAAGAAATACAGTCTTAGCTGAATTCATCCCAACTCGCCCTAAAAAGGCTTCCAGCATCATGGTACCTACTCGGGAGCACTCACTTACACATGAATACTACCTACCTATAGGTAATGTCAATGGTCCAGCCTCATCAGCGTCCACATGGAGCTTATCACCGAAAGATACAGTCACTACTTCGGGGCCCCGGGGGCGCTAGGCGCTAGCCTCCGCAGACTAGACAGGCATGACATGCACGCATGCTTGTATCATATTTTCTCGTGGACGTCATGGAAGTTCTTGTCCTCTAATACGAAATGGGGTTTTTACCAGATAATATCCACCAGATATGTGCATTCAAGGAACTACGATATAGACGTGCAGAGCTTCTCTTTCTACTGTGACAAGAACGACAGATGCAGAAAGACAACACGAATGGAAGAATGGACTCGGAGATGTTGACGTTAGCTTGGCCTTGTATGGCATGGTAAGTGTGAGGTGAGGTAGGTGCAAGTAGATCTGCCGTGTTGAATGGTTAGTGACCAGGAATCATCTTGTCCATATCACTAAGGTAGCCTCAGTCCACCTTTATCCCATTTAATCGCCACTGTCCAAAGCTGTAAGCGTCATGTATTGCAAACTTGTTATTGGGGTGACTGAGGGAGTATAAGTTCACTCTGTCTCCCTTTTCACTGCAGCTTCAGGTGGTATTTTACAAGCATTCAATATCGCTAATATGCTGTTCAAATCAAGCATTGCTGCTGGCTTACTTGCCGCAGCCAATGCTGCACCCACCACTACCACGGCCACTGGGTCTTCCTCAGCCTCTACTTCTGCCTCTGCTTCTGCAAGTTCATCACCATTCGGAGTCTACTCATACAATCAGGAAGCCTCAATCAACAGTGCTGCGGTTGCATCTGTCGCTTCTTTTGCTGGTATTCCAGCCTCTGAGATCCCAGGTGCAGACGTTCCTGTTTTTCCGGTTGTGAGCAGCCAGGTCAACGGAACTGCATCGCATGGCCCATATTCAGGTAGCGCTACAACAACCGGTGCGGTCAAAACAACAGCTCTCGGAAGTGAAATTCCAGTGTTGCCACCAAACCCAGTGGAAACAGGTTACGTGCCCAATGGTCTGCTCCACAACCCCCAGCCAGTGCCATATCAGCCAGCCGGTGGACTTGGTACCAACGGCACTGAGCCCGTCTACAGAGTTCAGTCCGATTTCGACTACGAATCCATCCTCCTTGGTCTCTACCAGGAGTGGATCGAGCTTGATCTGTTTCACAACATTCTTGCCACCTTCAACGAGAGCGACTTCACGGCTGCAGGTCTTACTCCGTCGGATCGCTTTCTCATCGAGTTCATGGCGGACCAAGAAACCGGACATGCCACCCTCCTCAGCAATCTCCTCGGAGGACCAGGAGGGGCTACTCCTCAGTGCACATACAACTACCCATTCACCACTGTTCACGAAGCCTTCGACTTCACCCAAAAGCTCACCCGCTTTGGAGAGTCTGGTGTATGGGGTTTCCAAGCCCACTTGGATTCTCGAGAAGTTGCTCAGCTTCTCGACCAGTCCATCGCCACTGAAGCTCGTCAACAGATGATCTTCCGTCAATTCGCAGGCCTGTTCCCAATGCCCGTCTGGTTCGAGACTGGTATCCCACAATCATGGGCATGGACTCTACTCGCGCCATACATTTCGTCCTGCCCCTCCAACTCCAAGCGTCTTGCCTGGCAAAACTTTCCTGCTTTGACGGTTTTGAATCAACCAAATTCTGCGCGTATCAATGCCACGCAAGGTTTTTTCAATGAGACTGCAGGCTTCGGTCCAGCCGCACCTAGCTCTGACCCCCCAGCTGGGCAAAATTGCGTCGGGAACAACGTCACTGGCTTCGACTGCTCCGCTGGTATCTCCCAGAACCGCAGCATTGCGCTCTCTTACCCGGGACGCAAGGTCTACTTGGAGTGGGAGAATCCGGGAAAGCCAGTAGGACCTAATAACAGCTATGTCACTTCGACTAGCGCCAAGGCCCCGCAGTTTGTGCTTTGGGTTTCGCAGTTGAATGCTACGTACTCGCCGTTGACGAACATTACAACCACGAATGGGACAAACTATGGTATGACCATTCAACCGGATGTTTCTACCTACGAAGGAGATCCAGCTATCAATGGTAAGTGCACTCTTTCGATTGAAAAATAGGCAAAAGCTAATGCGTTTCAGGCACCATGTTCATCGCACTCACTGATTCCAACATCACATACACTGCTTTCAATCTCAGCGCTGTCAATCCTCACGTTGCAGCCGGTCCATTCTTGTACCAGGCTGGATAAGTGTTTTAGAAGAGACCTGTCTTATTCTTACTGAAGGGGTACGATAGAGATAGAACTGTATTATCGTACCGAAGCGTATAGTAGAGAAGACTAGTGCCTCTGAGAACTGTCTTGTCGTCATAGAAAGGGTTAGCAGAGAAAAAATAAAGAATATAATGTCTAATGCCAATTCCTCATTCGTCTACTTACATGTCTCCGGGTGAACTTGCTATGGCCAGTGTGTCGCTGAAGATTTTGACCGAGAACACCACACCAATAGACTCGGCTATAAAAATAGCGATCAAGTAGATCGAGATCAGAAATGGAAAATGATGTTTACCATCCTCTTGAACGATAGCATGATCCAGAGACGAGACCTGTAATAGGGCGATTGCGTTGTCCTGGGTTGTGTGCGATTGTCCGTTGTAGATGTCGTAGGCAGACGTAATCGGCCATGCAGGCCTGACCTCTTCAATTATGCTTCGAAGAAGATCCGTATTTGGCGGCTCAAGCGAGACCTGCGGGCACGAGGGTGTGTATTGTGTGTTAGGGTGATTATGACTGTAGAGTACCAGATAGCATCTCCTCTATCTTGAATCGTCCGGTCTCCATTACATTATGGATGGTTCTCTCCACAAGCATGCATCCAGACCAGACAGTGGATGCGGGCATCAATCACATGATCGTCTCACCATCCCTGCTCAGACATGCTCGCCTGGAAACCATCAACCTTGAGACGACAACTGTTCCGTCAGATCGTGCAACACCGTCTGATGTTATAGCACATTCCCACATTAGCGCTTCATATCCGCAATTCCACCAATCGTTTTATGGGATGAGCTTGTGGTGCCTCAGAATGTGGCGGAGATCATTCACAACTCGTCTCTCATCACGAACACGCTCCAGCCGCCATCACCAAACTCAATCTCATCTGAGCGCATGAGGCGATCCAAGACCTGGGAATTTGACAGCTGCTAGGGAACCTTTCCCCGATCTGGCTTCTGACTTCTCCGTGGCCAGTCGGTGCACGTACCGGAAGGAGTTCAAGCCTCAAGGGTAGTCCCCAAGCAGCCACAATGACGCCCCATATCCGATCAGTTGGTTGCAAGAGGCGGGTAGGCCCATCTTCAGAACTGGATGGCACGAACTCCGCAGGAAACACCATGTTGTCTGAGTATGATCTGCAGCGCAGTAGATTGAATAGCTAGCACGAAGGGTGACAGGAGGGGGTTCCCTTGTGGATCACTTGGTTTGATCCAGACTTGACGAGGCGGTTAACTGCTCTGATGATTCAGGTTATAAGTCTCTCACGGCCACTTTGAATAGACTTCTTTCTTTTCATCGCATTATCAGTCTTTCTTTCAGTTCACTTATCCGCTCTCTTTTCTCGGTTCTGTGAACTTCCAATTCTATACATTCTTTATTGCTTTATTCGCAACAACCTAGGCCGGTCCTTTTTACACCTTTATAAATTCAGATTTTCTAGTCACTCACTGCCTCAACGACATCATGAAGTACGAAAGCCTTTCCCTCATTGCCTTGATTGGCCTCACATCAGCGGCACCTATGCCAGCCGCCGAAAACACCATCCCACGTTACATACTTCGTGCGCGTGAAGTTCCTCAAGAACACTCTCACAACCGATTCATTGCTGGCACTAATGCCAACTTGGATCTCAACAATCCTGCTGGTATCGTAGATGCAGTCTTTGGTCTGCTTGGAAATGCTGCCGCGGCATCTGGTGCTGGAACCATCACCGATCTTGACTGCCTTCATCAAGCAACCGCCGACCAAGCCTTTACCAACGCTAAAGCAGCTGGCAATGTCACTGGACAGTCTGATGCTTTGTTGTACGCTGCATTGGAGAGGAACACAGGGTCAGTTGGACTCGCAAGTGTTAGCTGTACAGAGACAGCTGTGAACCCAGAAATTCAAGCCGTCCAGCAACATCAAGATCCAGCTTCAGCCGGGGCCGCAGCTACAAACAAGGCCATTGTACTTGCGCTTGCCCAGCAACTGTCCTCCATCGGAGCTAACCCTCAAGACGCACTTCTCTCTGGCACCTTCGCACCCGGCAGCGTAAGTTACCATTACTTACTTGTTTCTACTCGCGCTAATAACACTAGGTCACCGACACCACTGGCGCAGGAAACACTTGTGATACTGCTGATGATGTTGAGGGTTGCATTTTCTCCCAGAACCTGTTGGTTAATGACGCGACAGCCGCAGAGATCGACGCTGCTGTAGCCGGCGGATCAACAGCCGTTGCGAGCAATTCGACTGCAGTTTCAGGAAGTGCCGCCTCCTCGAGCTCTGCGACTAAGGCCACAAAAGCTGCCAAGGGGGCTGCCAAGGCAACCTCTTCAGCGAGTGCAGTAGCGGCAGCAGCGACACCAGCTTCTAGTGCCGCTTCTACAGGAAGTAAGGAATCACAACATCACTATTTACTAGCTATCACTAACAATGTCTTAGCCAATGTCCAGACCTTCACTGGAACTCTCGGCGGTGCCCCTCCACCAGTCGTTTCCTCGGCCGGAACCCGACCTTTCTCTGTCAACGGCGATACATTCGTGAACGCAGGTGCCGCTCTCCAACGTTCATGCTCCGTAAGTCCATCCTGCGCAATCCTGTTCGCTCCTACTAAGTATCTCTAGGTGCAAAACAACGCCTGTGCAGACGCTGTGAACTCTGGTGGCTCTGGCTCAGTCAGTGATTGCAACACCCAAGAAACCGCCTGCAACGCTGCGGCTGCGGCCAAGAAGGTGAAGAGCCGTGCAGCTCTCGACTTTTTCGTCGCATCTCATCGCCGTGCTACTGCCTTAAAGGCATCTGCAAGTAACTCTACGGCTAGTACTACCACTTCTACAGGCAGTAAGTCCCTACCATATCCATCACATAAACGTAGCTATTATTAACAGTTTCTTAGCAAACGTGCAAACTTTCACCGGTACGCTCGGCGGAGCCGCACCCGCTGTTGTCCAGGGCACCGGTGCTCGTCCATTCACCGTCAATGGTGATACCTTTGTCAACCAGGCCGCTGCTCTCCAGCGATCATGCTCTGTCCAGAATACTGCGTGTAGTAATGCAGCCAACTCTGGATCGCTTGCTGGAACAACTGTTGGGGACTGCAATACGCAGGAAGCTGCTTGCAACGCGGCTGCAGCTTAGATGGGCTGGGAAAGAAGGAATGGAATGCAGATGGGGGTAACTAGGCAGTGGCGTTTATTGTGTAGATATAAAATCTAATTAATTAACGTCTGATGTTTTCCTTGGCTTGGTGCTCTTTTACAGCGCTCATCGCTTTAATTCCCGTAGAGAATTATGTATGCGAACGTTCGAAAACCAAGCTTCTTTGTCAGCCCTTTGCCATGTTATGATTATAATGTTAAAGTCGTGTGTGCGTTTGAGACTCTGCTATCATTTTCCCAGGAATGCTGAGACGTTATAGTACCCTATTGATTTCTAAAATAGGAAAAATTCCTTATAAGAGCTGATTTTTGTTCTGAAAGTAAATTATGCCTGTCATGTCGGGGTTTCACACCCTTTTATACCGTCGGTCTTGACGATACCCCCTGTTGGTATTACAAGGTGGTCACTTCACTACAATTGTAGTGTCCGTAGGTTGGGATCTTGGTGGTTGCATTCGTTGTTGGTTGAGATTATGCGTCTTCGCTTAGTCAGCTAGCGCTTTCGTCACATCCCAGTTATATTCCCCCGACAACACAACCAAACCCCCCTCCGCCCACTTTGACAAATATTATGTAACACCTACTGACATAACCACACTACGACTGCGACTACGACTTATAGCTGCAGAAATAGACTAGATACCATTGTATATTAATATAAGAATATTCGGAACCACAAATCACAAATGGTCGGGTGGTGTAGTTGGTTATCACATCTCGTTAACAGTTTACTGTGACAATAAACCGAGAAGGTCCTGGGATCGAACCCCAGCTTGATCATAATTTTTTGGCTTATTATTTTGCCTGGCTACTCTAATTGCTCAGTCTTTCTTTTATAATATTATTAATTTACATGGTGTTATTATTATTATTACATATCCAGTATGTGTGGTATACTACTAAGCGATGCTCGCTAAGCCTACCTAGAACTAGAGTCTTTGTATAAATGCGCTTTAATATCCTACGCTTTGATATCTTTTGTATTATTTTTATTGTTTTAATCAATGCTTTGTATCTTATTTTCTACTCTTACAAGCTTTATTAATATACGAATGCTTGATCAAGGAGCGATCAGCGAAACACGGCAAATACAGGAAGAATGCGAAGTTTCGAGGATTAAGCTCTTCATTCATGCTATAAACAGGTCTATCAAAAGGCCGTGAGCGTACTAGTAGTGTGTAAGACAGAAGAGCAAAGAAGGAAAATTTTTACAATGAAAACGCCCAATACTTTTTAGAATCCGTCCATTAATGTTTTTGACATAAAAACCGGGGAATTCTATATTACTTCCATAGTGTACTATCTGAACCAAATATGAAACATCAGACACTATAGGACGAATTCTTCTCTTCTGCTAACGATCGTAGGGCATCTATAGGTTTTGAATAACAAAAGATTACATTGATTTTTGTTCCGCTGACCCTTGACACATGACAAGAATCCTTTATAGATGTCTAATCACTCCCTGATCTAATCATGACTTCATAAGCCCTCAGGAAGAAGAAAGCTGCTGCTGGAGGGCTGATATTTGCGCAAGAAAGAAAAATCAGCAAATATGGAAGATCTAGAATTTAGCAAGCTAAAATCTTCATGTTTTTTACTCCTTCGACTTTTCTACCAACGAATAGTAAAGAAACCAAGAAAACAATACACAGCTCACTGAAAGAAGCAACTTTATGCATTGAGCATAGTTCACGACGTCGCAATATGCTACGTGAGATTGGGAGTTGTAGTGTCGAAAGGCCTGGGGGAGGCGAGGAAGTGGGTGATTTTGATTGTTTCGCCACCGATAAAGATCTTGCACAGCAACATACCTCAGGAATCGGATTTGCTTTTAGACACTAAACGGCATGTTGCTGAAGGTGAAGCTGGAAGATTTAAACGTGGTCACTTTGAAACCACGACCAAAGAAATCACAAGCACATACCAAAATGTCTTCAACCAAATTCTGTCGGTTCCCTATAGCAGCGTAGTAGAATATTGATTGTACGGGCAAGACATTCTTAAACTCTTCTTTTCCTTCTCCTCTCCTTCTCCATTCACCAACAAACAGCGTATGTGGTATAGTGCTAAATCGTCAAAGTGACTGGTGCGTTGCAGTTTCAGAGACAGGCTGGTTCCACAGATAGCTATGTGATGAAGTCGTTTGTAACAAAGAACTAGTTACTGAAGAAGTTCCTGGAATATATAGCCATTCTACTATATCTATTCACAACTCCTTTGACTTTGCTCAAGCGATAGGAACAATCAAACGACGATTTCTAGGGCGTCGTTTTCTTCGCAATTCTCTCTTTGCAAGATACCACAGGCCATGCCTATCTATTGGGACCCCAAGCTGCCCCTTCAAGTTACACCTGCGGAAGGCCATACCTGTACGGGGATGACAAAAAAGGGGGTTCGTTGTCAAAATCCTGTCAACAAGGTCGATCGAGCACTAGCAAGCAGGATCCTCGAGGACCTCTCTGAAGAAAACATAATGACCCAAGGACTCAGTGATAAAGTCTCGCGGTGGATACGAGTGTTGGCAGAGCTTACATTGTGCAAAGCAGTCCACCGAAAGAGTCAGGTTCAAGATGTAGTCGACCGGTGGACCTTGACCATCATGAACTACATCGAAGTGGAAGAAGAGCTTAGGGGGACTGAAGTACATGGTCCTCCACCTGTAGCTGCTCCATGGCATGTCCAACTACCATTCCGACAGCCACAGCCTGCTCCAGTTTGGAGAGCTGCACGCCCTCCACCACGAGGTGTGGAGGCTCCGGCTGAACACTTACCGGACCTTAGAGTCGGAGAAGCCAGAGCGCTGCGTGACCGGGCTCCTGCCCAACGACAGAACCCACCGCCGCGCGATCAGCATATGAGACAAGAGCCACCTGTCGATGGGGGGGCTTGGATACATCTACGGGCTGAAAATAGGTATTCACCGGCTGATCCTGAGAACGACCGTCCAATGCCTCTTGTACCTCATTTCCAAACCTATCCCGAGGCTCCAATAGAGAACGTGACACAACTGCCCCAACTGCCACGGCCTTTAATTCCTCCTCGACCAGAAGCCCAGGTAGAGAGAGAACCACGATTAAGTCGACGTATTG